AGATGAAGTAGAGGTTCGGGAGATTATATGTGGAGTTTCTACGGAGGAGGATTGTAAAACTGCTCATGGTTGGCTTAGGGATATGTATCAACGGGATCAGTTCTCTTTCGCTACAAGGATAGTATCCCTAGATGTTGAGGACGTGAAGGTTACCTACTTTGATACTTTGAGGATGGCCGGAGATTTAAGTTTCAAGCCTGGTCAGAGGATTGCTAAGGAGAAGGATAAGAACAGGATCCCAGGGATTGAGAAGGATTCGTGGAAGCAAATCCCTGGTAAGATAATGATTGGCAATGGTCTTACATGGATGCTTGTGATTTCTCTGGATCTAAAGAGAGATGAAGCTGGAGTTTATCTAGTCAATAAGATGAAAGTTCAGGATGGTTTGCTATGCATTCTCAGAGACCTCCCCGTGTCTACTGGACTTGGAGTCCAGCGAGATATTCGGGGAATTGAGGAATTTTATTCCTTAATCTCTGGGTCTAGAGTTGACCTTAAAGCTGGATTCCTGGATTTGGTGGTTCTAGCGACTGTGGCAGGGTATCAGTTTTCCAGTAAAAACATGACATGCTTGGGGGTTCAAGTGCTAGGTTCCCTGATGAATAAGACAGTGTCTACTGGAGATGACCTCTGGGGTCTACCTTGGGATTCTATACCTGCAGCGTTGCAAATATACGGGATTGGTGATTGTAGGTTTGGTTTCCTATCCTATAATGTACTGGCTGGAATTATCCTGAGGGACCTTTTTCCTGACCCTGATATTGTATGCAGAGTTTTAGAATGTGATCAGAAGCAAGCAGTAGCCTGGTTCCTGGATTGGTTAGTGACGAGTTTAGAAGGTCTGGAGATTCATGCTGTTTCCTAGGAGTCTGCTGTTTCTAGGCAGGATATGCTGAGATGCTTGAGGTTCAGGAATGCCAGAGGAAAGCTAGAAGAAGTGCATCCTAAGTATGTTGATATTTGGTGTCAGTTACTCGGGTCTTGGCCTTCTATGGTTCATGGAGGGTGCAGGTTCGTGATCCAGCCTAGGTTGTGGTTCTTGGAGCAGATCAGGATATTAAGGAGAAGTAAAGTGCAGTGGATGGACGGAAGAGTATTAAAGATGCCAGATGAGGAGGATGAGATATATGCCAGGTTTGGATTAAGTGTGGATCAGATCGGATTCCAATCCTGGAGAAACCCTGTGGATAAAGTTCGAGGTCTTGTGCGTCCTCCTGGAATAAACGTGGAGTTGTTGGTATTTGATCCTAGTGTCACAAAGAATACTGTGATTGGAAGGAGGTGTGCTGCGTTAGGAAGATCTCAACGATGGGCGATTCTGGAGTGGGCTAGGTTGAACCCGGAGAAGATCCGGTTTTTCTTTGCTAGGATGATCAGAGATAAAGGGTTCAGGATCTTCTATAAAGGGATTTATGATGCTCTGAGGTTAATGCACAAGCGGTTGTTTGATACCAACGCTCCCAAGGTTGGGAGAATAGAGGAGCAATTGTGTGGGTCCTTGGATAATGTGGTTATAGAGGAGCGTGCCGCATTAGAGAGGGCTGCTCAGATGTATAAGATCAGGATGGAGAGAGTTCTTTGGGTTGAAGGAGTTAGAGCTGATTGGGAGTTCAAGGAGCGTCCTAAATGGCGTGATGGAATGCCTGCACTTCCTGCCTGGAAGAGGAAGGAAGGAAGGAAACGAGAGAGGTCGTCATCCAGAGCTCAAGGGAAGAATCCTAAACCTAAGAAGAGAGCGAGAAAAGTTCTTGGTGTTGGATCAGGTCGTGCTCTGGTCCCTGTTCAGTCTGCCTCTGGCAGAAGTGATCCAGGGACTGAGAGCAGTCTAGTTCGATACAAGGTTTCTGCTAATCTTGAGAGAGGTGATGAGATGGCGGAGAACTCAGATGAGGTGGTGATGATAGATGAGGATGGAAAGGTACTAGAAGTTCCTGATGATGAAGATGTTCTTTTGACAAAGAAGAGGAGGGCGAGTTCTAGGAGCAGGAGTGGAGTGTGCAGTTTGGAGAGGAGAGTGATGACCTATGATGAGACAGTTGAAAGTTTCCAAAGAGTATTGGATTCTGATGGTGAGCTGGATGATGATTTCCGGTTCGAAATACCTGAGGATGTGGAGAATGTGGAGGTGTAAGGTTGGGTTATGCCCCTCGGAACCTAAATGCTTTATTTCAGCTATTTGTTTTATATAAATATATATTTTTTGAGGATATGATGTCGTCTTATTTTTTTTACCTGGAATGTATGGGGTAGAAATCATGCACTTGGTTTCAACCTTTTGCTAGCTGGGGTCTTTATTAAAAATGATTTCTTTGCCTTTGCTCTTTGGTTGGGGAGTGTTTCGTGAGTACCCTCACGATATGTTGCGCCCCTGAGAAATGATGGAGAGTACGGTGGAAAAACTTGTTTGCGTACAGATCCTGCCAGCCCTGTTTAAACTGTTGACCCGGTACGCCTTAGTCTAGTGTTAGAAGTTGTGTCGTAAACATATTACACCGGTTTTCTTGTTTTATGACCGAATATTTGAAAAAGTGAATACTAAAAATGTGTTCTTTTTCAGAATAAAATTGTTTTAGTCTGATTCAACTGATAATAACGATAATCGGCCTTGTAAGACACGTAGAGGTACGTACTGGGTCATGGTTTCCTAAATATTGTTTAGGGTGATTTTATGTATGAATGAGAGTGGGATGAATGTTGCATTTATTATTTTTTATTACTAGAACAGGGATTTTCATAAGTCATGAGATTGCTCTTCTTTGGGTTATGTCATTTGAATTAATTGGTCTTTCTTTTTACAAGATTGAACGTGTATATAGCTGGAACCTGTTCTAGAAAGAATGGCAGGATCTTCGCGTAGTTACAATCCATCTCGCAAGCCGGATATTAGGTAGCCTCTTATTTTTGGGAGTTACTGTAAGTTTATGATTTGTCAAGTGCTCTGGGGGCACGAAACACCTCCGTAACCTGACCTCCCTAGGGAAACCAACCTTTGATAAACCTCGAGGTTATTCAAAGGTTGGTATCCCTTCAAAGTAATCATAAATTGAAATCATTATAAATCAATGCAAGTTACAATTGAAACAATGTTTGTAAATGAGAAGATTATCAGAATATATTCATTTTGTCCATTCTCACCATGAAGCACAAGAAAGTTGCATTTTAACCCATTGGTGGCTGGGGTTATGTGACAAAAACTTGTCCCCCCCCCTGACCCCTTGAAATACCCCACCGTGACCCCCTTCTCCTGCATCACGGTAGAATTTGTCAAAACTATTAAAATTAAAAGGAACTAAACACTGGCCTCAATCTCTAACGTTCTTATAATCCCTATATAATTGCGATCTGAAGGTCAGACTCAAAACCATTAAAATGACCAAACGTCGACTGTTTGATCTAATCGAATTTGACAACTTGAAATATAACTTTGAGTTGCAAATATATAAAGATCATAAAAGCGGATTTTCGACGATCGTTATCAGTTCCTTTATGTTTATCTTCTAAGAACAATTGAATGGTGAAGCGATTGAAAATAAAGTAAACTAGATCTAGAAAATAAATTATTAAGTTAAAGTAAAATCTTGATATAAAAAAGTAAACTAGATCTAGAAAATATATTAATAAGTTCAAGTAAAATCTTGATATAAAAAAGTAAACTAGATCTAGGAAATATATTAATATGTTAAAGTAAAATCTTGATATAAAAAAGTAAACTAGATCTAGAAAATATATCAATATGTTAAAGTAAAAATTGATATATAAAAGGTAAATTCGAAAATATTTACTGAAAGAGGCTTTCATTAATTGTATTCTGAAATAGACGAAGGATATCTCATGCATTTTGATCATGGACAAATTGCTTTTAAGGATGCGTTGTTAATCTGGTTAATCACGTACGTATAATTATAATACGAATATCGGTTATGTTACGTCTAAACTCTACACTTTATACACTATTACGCTTCCTTTCAAGATTTTTAAAAACAATATTTTTCCACGCCATATATGTTTTTGTCTTTTCCTAGAAGCAAGCAAAATTAGAAATAATGTTGACACTAAAGTTGCAAAGTGCAATTGCAAAATTTGAAATAATATCATATTCAGATAAGCATTATATTCAGTCTTTGCCACAAACGGAAAGATATTTGCCACCTGGCATGGTGTTTTGATATTTTGAACTTAGATTATTTAATCTAACAGAGTTCATGTTTCAAATATCTAAAGTCTAGAACATTGGGTTGCAAAGATATAGGGATTGGAAAATCAGAGTTTGTGGCAAAGACTCAATTCCTTTTAGGCCGATTTTGTAATTAATCCCTCTATTATTTCTTTAATTTCTATTTATATTACATGTGTGTTTGTCTGACAAAATGGATGAACTGATCAGGCTCAGTTTGTTCAACCCTATTCCTGCTGTTTTTTGGAGAGCTGAAATTTCTTGACTTTTTCAAAATCTAATCTAATCAAAATCTAAAAAATGGAATTCTTTAATAACTTCGTGAGGGTCAAGGCCTACTGCCTGAAAAAGGCCTTTTTTAATTTTTACCTTAAATTTACGTACCTTTCCTTTCATTATATATGTATAACTCTATTTTCATTAATTTCCTAATATCTAACTCACATGGTTCATGCGTTGACTTTGCGATTTTATATCTCATTTTTCAGTATAAACACTGTTTGTAATCAATCTTTACGCAGACATTCCACTCAAGCTCCATAAATAGTTTAAATATCTCCTTCTATCTATCTATCTATCCCTCTATATCTATCTATCTTAACTCTGGTTTCTCTACGGTATTAGTCGTATCTAACTGGCCTAGGTTACCAGACGGGAAATCATATTTTTTCTTCCTTTTTATAAAATATATTTGATCTCAAGGACAGATTAGTGATCAGAATGAGCTTCTACAGTGATAATATTTAAGAAAGATAATTATCAATTATACACAGCGGGCCCAAAACCTTCCATTTTAGTCCATTTTCTTGTCCATCGTTGCTTAAAAAATTCTACATAAATTTCTACAACATAAATACTTATTTGGAAGTAACCACTTTTAAAAGTAAAAAGTAATGATATTTCCGTCATCTTACTTATCCACAATTAAATATATTGTTAAAGAGTATCGTTGTGAATTGTTAAGAACATCTTTAAATAATGGATCCTTTGAATGTAAGAAGACAGTCCTTTTCAATTAATCCATAAAAAAGTGCAACTAAATGAAAAAATTTACGTGATGCACAAAACAAAAAGTTTCACATTTCATAAAAAAATTGAAATTTAATGGATTTTAAAAACGTAAAATGAACTAACTTTAAATGAAAATAAAAATGCTCCCCAGTGTTTTAAGCTTTATACATGAATTTGATTTACAAACAATGGAAAAAATGAAGCAAACAGACGATTTTAAAAAGTAGCATACATCCATCTTAAGAGGAAAACAGGCAAAAAAACAGAAACTGGAATATAACCTAGGTTATTTTAAGTGTTTAACTATTCCATTAGAATATTGATAGAAAACTTCTGTCAATAATGTTTGAAGCCATAGATAGTACATAGGGATAAAAACTATCTCTAAAAACCAAATAAATATAATTTGTTGGAAAATAGCACTTTACACGTTGCATTTTTTATTTGACATAATTGGTTCTTGTCTGATAGGTTACTTTAAAAAACATGATTTAACTTGCTCTTGAACAACAAACAATAAAATGTTATCCATGCTATAGCAATGCTCTTCAACTTATTCAGTGTGTTTGGTTCTTACTTTTACAAACAGAATTTAATCTTTTAAGTTTTATACGTTTATTTTGTGTTTCTTCATTCTATATTCCCTATTTTATATCTCAAGCATGATGCAACTGGAAAACACTTTGCCCAGGTTATAAAATTATCTCCTCTGACCCTGAAGTATCTAATTATCTTAACAATTCAAATTGAGTTGTTCTCATTGAAAATATAATTTTGTGTCGGTGCAAATGACGGTGTGTGTGTCCAATGTCCAGATGCAGGAACAGGATCTGTATCCTGGTTTCTCTAACCTAGCTCAGGGTATACATTTTAGTAGGAACATACACACACACACACAAACATACATTATGTAAAACGTTTCGCCCAACCAGTTCAAAATTTCCAATTTATCTAATCATTGATTAGTCGTATATATATAAGCATTGACAAAGGCGAACACAGGAGATAATTTAGGGTTTTATCACCTTAAGGGGGGAGGGGCAGAGAACTTTTTTGTAGTTCTTTATTTCGTTAAATGGGAAAAAGGGGGCTTTCCCCCCCGTTTCGAGCTTCTAGGGTGGGCCAACTCTACATATCCCTAATCCTTTAATCCCCCTCTCCATATAGACCTGCTTAAAGTTGAGCGTATTTAGGAGTATCAAGGACTAGGCGATTTCAACTGGATATAGAAGAACGGAATTGAGTTTTTGCCGCAAACTCTTTTCTAATTTCAATATCTTTGCAACATGAAAGCGTAAACCTCTGATATTTCTAACCTAAACTTTAATCCTACAGAATTTATAGATTAAAAATATCAAAGGTCTACGACTAAAGTGTCGCGCAGATATGGGATTAGAAAATCTGAGTTTGTGGCAAAAAGTCATTCTTTTCTTTCAAGTTTAGTTTTTAACAGTTTTTTCAGAAATTTTTCAGATTTTCAGTAAGTGACAAATTTTTGGCATATGTTTGTATTCATAGTTGTGTTTTGAGAAATTGAGAGAATGAAATCATATAGATACAGTAACAACCAGAAAATGATGGAATAGGAAGACGACATATAGCAATACTAAACTGTACTTGATGTTGGTAGAAAGCAGATATTTTTACTAACCACTAATTAAATCAATAATTTAGTGAACTGGATCATTCGTCTTCCTTTTTCAGAGTTTTCTGGTTATCACTGTATATAAAACAGGATTTGTAAAAAGAAATTTTCGAAATAATTGATGAATTATTTATTTGATTTGTTTCACTCTGCTCTGATATCATTTCATATGGGTGTTCCATTCTTTAATGTTAGAATTATATCTTTCAAAGCTAAAAATTTTTTGTCATCAACATTAAAATTTCAGGGAAAATGCATCCAACGCCAGTAACAGTTAATCTATAATTTCCAACAACTAGACAAATTCAAAATAAACAAATTTTTGGAAAAATTCTGTAGGTTTGTACAATTCTATTGACGATTGAAAATGATTAAGACACTCACACACCTTCTTATTCTCAATAACATAGGTAATATATTATTATTTACACTTATTTTTGATTATATTTTAACGTAATAACATTTTGGAATTTTGTCATTTAAACTCTGTATATTTTCAGGATCGTTAACAGGACTTATTAAACGATTAGATGGAAAAGGAATATACACCAACTTATCTAAACAACAAGCATTCTTGAACAAAATGTTAGAAAATGTTAGAAACATTTAAAAAGTAAAATTTTTAAAAACTTTTTGCGATAGAATTTGTCGTTATTTTACACTGTGAACAAAGCAGTTCAGTATTTAACCTCATCGTACAAAGAAAGAATTCGTTATAAAAAACTCCCCAAAAACGACAAATTTTCAGCAAAAGCACTAAACGCCGTTATTAAAAGTTATGCCATTACTAATGTAATATGTAGGTTAAAATTATAATAAAGTACTAAGTCCACATCGAGAGATGTTTCTTAATTTTAGAAATACACTGTGTGGGTTGGGAGGGGAGGGGGGGCGTCGCGTTGGACAATTTCAATAGTTCTTAACAAGGATAAAGGTTGTAAAAGTGATATGGGCCTTATAGTTATTATTTTACAGAGTGAACAGTTTACAGGGTGAATAGTTATACAGGGCTAACATTTTACAGTGTTTACAGAGTGAACAGTTTACATGGTGAACACTGAACAGTCTACAATAGGATTTTTTCAGCTTACAGTAATATGCTTTGAATTCATTGGATACTTTTTTTAAACTTCTTTTTTTGAATTGTTTCTAAAAGTCAAATCATGGGAGGATTTGGAAAAATGTTTTACAATGTTCCACAATCCACTTTGATTTGTCGCAACGCCTTAAGCTTTGATTTTACCGCCTCACTAATACATTTTAAAAAGCATTTGTCTTTAGCTTTAGTTTTAAAGGGGTTATTGGCTAAATTCTCAAAGTTTTTTTGCGTGAGAGATTGCAATTTTTTAATCACAGTGCCCCTTCCATCATAAGGTTGACCCTTGTTTCTTTTTAATTCATTAAATCGAATAAGAAAACGCAATGTAATATGGGTCACCCAGTATATTAGCCGGTATGAGCTGGAACCGTTAGGAAACTATATAATATATCTAAACAATCAGGATATGGGGGGAGGTCAAAGAATGGGGGGAGGGGGGTCAAGGATACTATACAATATTCTAGGACAGAGTGTTTAAGCGGATATATGTTTATATATGTATTGTATAAATATCAAATATTGGGAATACTGAATCAATTTATTAAATTATAACCTTGTAGATAAGATACATTCCTACAATTTAATATATAATCTACAATCTACATCATATATTTAATTAGATTATATAGAGATGTAGATAGCTGTTATATTATATATGAAGAAATAATGAGCAAATTTTTATTAAGCTTTTAACGAATGATATATCAATAAAATCATACAAATTACAATTTGACAAATGCATAAGTTGGTTCTACTGACAGATGAATTGATGTTAAGTAGATTAGGCAAGCATCAACTCAGGTAAAATATATATATATTAAATTTGATTTTAATGAATATAATAAGGAGAACACGTTTAAAAAGATAGAACCACAGGGCCTTGTTAACCTATTGAAAAATACACAATATTCAACAAAAAAATCGGAATTAATTTTTTTAAATCAAGTCTTATCCAATGAATTAATACATTTTTTTTCGTATCTTGAGAAATAGTTTGTTGTATAAAACTTTTAAACTAATGAATTAATTGTTTGTTGTATAAAACTATTAAACTAATGAATGAATAGTTTCTTGTATAAAACTATTAAACTAATGAATGAATAGTTTGTTGTATAAAACTATCAAACTAATAATTGAATAGTTTGTTGTATAAAACTATTAAACTAATGATTGAATAGTTTGCTGTATAAAACAATTAAACTAATGATTGAATAGTTTGTTATATAAAACTATTAAAATAATGAATGAATAGTTTGTTGTATAAAACTTTTAAACTAATGAATTAATTGTTTGTTGTATAAAACTATTAAACTAAATGAATAAATAGTTAACTATTAAACTAATGAATGAATAGTTTGTTGTATAAAACTATTTAACTAATGAATAAATAGTTTGTTGTATAAAACTATATTAAACTAATGAATGAATAGTGTGTTGTATAAAACTATTAAACTAATGAATAAATAGTTTGTTGCATAAAACTATATTAAACTAATGAATGAATAGCTTGTTGTATAAAACTATTAAACAAATGATTGAATAGTTTGTTTTATAAAACTATTAAAATAATGAATGAATAGTTTGTTGTATAAAACTATTAAACTAATGAATGAATAGTTTGCTGTATAAAACTATTAAACTAATGAATAAATAGTTTGTTGTATAAAACTATTAAACTAATGAAGAAATAGTTTGCTATATAAAACTATTAAACTAATGAATTAATAGTTTGCAGTATAAAACTATTAAACTAATGAATGAATAGTTTGCTGTATAAAACTATTAAACTAATGAATGAATTGTTTGTTGTATAAAACTATTAAACTAATGAATTAATAGTTTTCTGTATAAAACTATTAAACTAATGAATGAATAGTTTGCTGTATAAAACTATTAAACTAATGAATGAATAGTTTGCTGTATGAAACTATTAAACTAATGAATGAATCTATCAGGGGAGAAGGTAAGGAACCAGTATGGAAGGATGGAAGAGAAGGAGATGTAAATGAAGAGAAGGAAGGAGAAGAGCAGATAGGACTGAATTATACATTTTATTTAACTCCTCAACTACCCTCAGATACAACACTACTAGGTAACCATTTAAAAGAATTAAAGAAAAAAAAGAAAATTTTCAGATATACAGGGTGTTCCACGAAACATGACAGTTGGTGAATAGTTGAAAATGTTTTCTTCCATAATATGTCAAGTTGTTTGCTACCAAAGAGAATAATAATAAATATTTTATGGCATCTATATTATAGTAAAATTGATCTCTAAGTAAAATATATTTGATTTAAGTTTTTTATACTAAATAAACAGCAAAAAGTCTTTAATTTTAATATCTAATACAGTATGGAAGAAGATATTCAAAACTATTCACCAACTGTCATGTTTCGTGGGACACTCTGTATTTTTTGATTATAGGAATAAATTTTCAGTAGAAAAAAAAATAATTTACTAAAACAGGAATATTTAGTATTTGTCAAGTCTAAGATGGAAAACCTTCATGAAAGACAACTTATCAGGTAAAAATTCAATTTTAGATACATAGAAACCTTAAATATTAAATACATCGAAAGAATTTATGAAATGCCGCCTTGACAATTTTTCAATGGGGTTTATACTACTTTACGTAAATTTCAGTATTTGCAAAAATAAATAAATATAGCCATGAAGATGTGGGAACAGTTTTAAAGAGATTCATATAATTATTTGATTAAAAAACTAAATATCTGCAACATTCCATTATCAGAAAGTGAAGAATACGACATTTGATAAACTCTTTCGATGTATTTAATATTTAGGGTTTAACTGTATTTGGAATACATATTGAAAAATAATAATAACGTGAAATATGTTAAAATAATATAATCATATAATTAGACATTTTCATTATACTTGATCATTTCTTTTTTTCCTTTTCTTTCTCTTTTTTATGTTGTTCTTTATGTTTATGATAATTTTTTTATTTTTTTTTCTTATTTATTTCTTATTTTTTGTTTTTTTCGAGATAAATCAATGAAATCACTTTTTAGAGAAACCTGGGGAGGTGTTCCGAAACTAGAGGGAAAAACTTTAAAAGTGATTTTTATCATAGGAAATTCATTTTTTACATTTTTTATTTTACATAATATTAATCATGTCTGATCAAGAATGAATTAGATATCCATATATTTGTTTCTCTGCTAAAGTAACCTGCACGTATTCCTTACTAAAATAATCAAGGAATCATCAGATTTAAACACTTTTTAAGCTAAACAGCGACGCTATCTTCTACATTATTGATTAGATTAAGGTTTCAATGGTATCGTTGAATGGCGGGTCACTAAAATTACCAAGACAGTTCCTATAAAGTCGGGGTTCAATGGATCAGCTGTCAATCGGTCAGTTTTCAAGGGGACAATTGGTCAAGTGGTCAAGTGGTCAAGGGATAAGTTATTAAGCGGTTATTTGTCAAGGCTGGGGTTAATTATTAGCTTTTGTTCTTCAAGCGTCAAGTTGTTAAGTGGCAATTTGTCAAGCGGCAAGTTGTCAAGTGGCAAGTTGTCAAGTGGCTAGTTGTCAAGTGGCAAGTTGTCAAGCGGCAAGTTGTTAAGTGGCAAGTTGTCAAGTGGCAAGTTGTCAAGGGGAAAGTTGTCAAGTGGCTAGTTGTCAATTGGCAAGTTGTCAAGTGGCAAGTTGTCAAGTGGAAAGTTGCCAAGTGGCAAGTTGTCAAGTGGCATGTTGTCAAGTGGCAATTGGCTAGTTGTCAAGGGGAAAGTTGTCAAGTGGCAAGATGTCAAGTGGCAAGTTGTCAAGGGGAAAGTTATTAAGTGGGTGGTTGTTAAAGGGACAGACCGGCTATCCACCTAAAAGAACGATTTTGAACGTCGACTGTGCTCTCAAACTCAGGATTTACAGATCTTTAAAAAGTTTTATGTGCCTCAAATGAATCCTAAAGAATTTGTCCACAACACTACATACTCAGTTCAACTACCTTTCATAGCCGGTCACTCCCTTTAAGCGGTCAATTGTTAAGATTTAAGAAGTTAGTTGTCAACCACTTTATAATCAAGCTGATGATTATCAAGCTGCTGATTATCAAGCTGATGATTATCAAGCTGATGATTATCAAGCTGATGATTATCAAGCTGATGATTATCAAGCTGATGATTATCAAGCTGATGATTATCAAGCTGCAACAATCATTTGTTAAAAAGTTAAATGAATTATAAATAGAAGAGAATATGAATAGAAAAACTCCTGTGAACACAATAAGGAATTATAAACCACACAATTTTTTTTCTGTGATTTGTAGAAAGTAGAATGTAGATTTAGTTAAAACGTCAATTCTCACATATACAAGCAAATTATAGTCATGAAAAATTCAATTGCTTATTTTACACTCACCTACGTACCTGCATACAGAGAAAAAAGGGTTTAGATGAATGCCGCGTACACGAAAGTAAAATCTATCTTTATCAATTAAAGGGAGTGCTCATGAAAACAAAAAATCCGAACTGGTTTTGATATTGCTCGTTACCATTGGAGCTACATATTTTTCTTTAATACACCCGGGTAGATATTTGTAATTTATTGAGTTTAAAAACTTGCCTTTTTTAACGTCAAAGTTGTTTGGAACTCTTTGCATGTATCTTTTCTCCTTTTTTCATCAAACATTAACAATAAATAAAATCAATATTTGTGGTTTATAAAGTGTAGAAAATTGGGAACATTTTAACATTAAATCCAGATCGTTATACAGCAAGGTAATTCAAACATTTTATTTTTTTAATTTTGAATATTCATTTTTTATTTTTTAGGATACTTTCTTCTCAAATTCAAATTCAAAGAAGAAGGGAACATCTTCAGGTGATTCTATTAGAAAGATCGTATTATTTAGGATTATTAATTCTTAGCCAATAATAGATCAGCTTAAAGAAGGCTTATAATTATAATTTTCAGTGTTGAGATTATCAAAACTGGTTGAACTAGAAAATATGAAGTTCCATGATATTCTGCTAGGGACCCCTCAATGGTAAGATATTCTGCTAGGGACCCCTCAATGGTAAGATATTCTGCTAGGGACCCCTCAATGGTAAGATGTTCTGCTTGGGACCCCTCAATGGTAAGATATTCTGCTAGGGACCCGGCCCTCAATGGTAAGATATTCTGCTAAAGATATGATAAGATATTCTGCTAGGGACCCCTCAATGGTAAGATATTCTACTAAAGATATGATAAGATATTCTGCTTGGGATCCCTCAATGGTAAGTTATTCTTCTAAAGATCCCTAAATGGTAAGTTATTATACCAAAGAGCCCTCAATAATAAGATATTTTACTACAAGGACCCTTAAAGATTAGATGACTAAAATGAGAAAGAGTACATTGATGATTACATTATTCATTAGGATGGGCCCTGAACCCCTGGTTGGGGTTGAAAGTCTGGTAGGAATGAGATGGTTGGTTGACCAGGGACCAGGGATACTAGAACAAATAAGGAATTCATCATTCATTTACAAATTTAATTTTTGGACTTAATCTGAGGTCCTATAGCTTCTTCCAGATAGGGGGGGGGGGGGGCGTAAAAAAGGAAACCTAAACAGGATGGAATGGAAATAATATTTGTTTAAAATTTATTTTTGAATATTGGTTTTAACAAATTTTATTACAAAATTGTATAAATAATCATATGATAGCAGCATCTGGTTTTATGATTTAGAAATCAGTCTTAGAAGCCTATATCTCTGAAAGTAATAGAGATATCAAAGAAATAATTTAGGACAATGTTTCTATATATAGTAGTGAGCTATAACCAAAATCTCAGCCAAATCTAAAATTTTTGTCAAAAAAATCTCAAAAACACCAAAGGCAATTGCCTTCTATACTTTTTTTTATGATCAAAAATAGATTTGGCTAGATTTTAAGTTATGGCTTTATAATATATTAGGGATCTCAGATCCAAATTTTTTATAGCTGAAAAGGGGTTCTCCAATGATGTCTTCATTTCCTAATAAAGGTAAAGGTTGAGAGATCCCTTCCAGTTTTCCTGTTTAATTTCCTTTTTTCTTAATGTTTCTTGTAAATTCTCACTTTTGGGTATCTCAGAGGAGCTCTTAGTGACTTCGAGTTCTGGAACTTTGGGTAATGGGAAGTTGAGGATAGGTGAGGATTGGGGTATCAGGAGTGCTTTAAACACTCCGTTTTCCCATGTTTTATCCTGTATTCCCAGTTTGTGTGGAATTTGAAAAGGTTTTTCCCATTGGAGTTGCACCACATTACAAAATGGGGAGAATTGTGGCTCTGCGGATCAGAATGTGGCATTTTTGACAGTAGTCCATTCTTCATAGCTGGGTATCGCAACCGGCAGAGTAAAAAACCAGCACAATTGTGCTTGGTTACCGACCTCTCAGGATTCTTCTTTCTATATTTCTATTTTTCTTCTTTCTGGAGAGAGAGGGGAAGGAACTTTCCTGTTTTAAGGTGTGGTGCCGCCATGTTTAATTTTTTACAGTGCTGGGTACAGGATGGAAAAAGTATGATTAAGAAAGTTTCCATAAGTTTCTTCCCTTAAAGTCTTTTCATTAATAATAAAATGATGATTTCTCTAGATTTGTTGTGTTTACCACAGATGATGTTTTTATAGAAATGTAAGTCATTTATTATTATTGTTATAATTATCATTATTTATTATTTAAGTTACCACCTGTTCTATTTCCTAACAGCTGTATATTGGAACTCTCCTCCGTTCCTAGCTTGTGATTTCCGCACTTCAGGAACCAGGTAGAAATACGGAATTATTCCGGATTTAAAACTCTACAGGTGTTAGCGCTCATTTAATGTCTGAAATTTATACTTATGTTAAAAAAGCTAAAAATAATACCTCTTGTTTTCTATTGCTAAAACATGAAACCCAAAAATATCAAAATTTGATTCAAAGATTTCTTCTTGTTTACCATTTATATATTCATAAACAATGTGCAACAGAGATTGAGTTAGCTTTTCATAATTAAACTGGGAGTTAAGGGCGCTTCACGCCACTTTTCATATTTTAACAATTGCTTTTCAGAACGCCTTTTTCATAATAAGGAAACTTTTTCTTGGATTTTTATTTGTATATTGAGGAATGCTGTAAAAACAGACAAGCTAAATTTTTATATATATACACTTGTTGATTGCATAGTGTACACTGTACAGTGTAGTCCTATCCTTTACTATCTTGCATAATGAGGATTTTTGTAGGAAATATTTGTTTAGTAATGTGTACATAGAATACTGTAGCACTGCTGGGTACATAATATCTCCTTCTCTTCTCAAATCGTTCTTAAAGGTAATATGCTAAATCATGTACTTGTTGTATACAAGACTTTAGTATTTTTCAAAACCTTCAATACGATCCTCCACTTGCCCTGGTCTATATGGGATCTACATGTTGTACTTGTAACATATCTTGCCCTGGTCTATATGGGATCTACATGTTGTACTTGTAAAATATCTTGCCCTATATGGGATCTACATGTTGTACTTGTAAAATATCTTGCCCAGGTCTACATGTTGTACCTGTAAAATATCTTGCCCTGGTCTATATGGGATCTACATGTTGTACTTGTAAAATATCTTGCCCTGGTCTATATGGGATCTACATGTTGTACTTGTAAAAGGAAACTCTTATAGAGAAAAAAAGTTAAACTAAATATTTTCATTTATTTTTAGAATCAATATTTAGCTAAAATTTGCTCATTTACGAATATAGAGATTACCATTCACAATCATGCTCTTTCTTTTTTCAAGTGGACATAAAAATTGGTGAAAACATCCCGGGTTTTCAGCTGCGAGATTATGATAACAGCGACCCTGGTGCCGAACTTTTAAACTTTAAAAAGATCCCTAATTTATTCCAAAATATTTAGGAATCTGAAGCAAGCATTTTAAAGAGAGGACAGACAGAAGAAAATGTACGGATAGGTCCGGATATAAATACATTGGATGGAGGGGTCCTTCATGAACTTCCTGTAGAAGAGACTCATGAACTGTATTCCTATCCCAAATCTGGGAAAAGTATTGATGAATGGTTGACGGGAGATGTTAGAGTTATTTTAGGCGTTTCTCCTCTCTATCTAAATTTAAGGTTCAACAAATGTTTTTAAACTTAAAAAAAACTTTGTGACTTCTTTTCATTCTTTTTATCCTTTAAAGTCTGAGAGATTATCAAAAACCAATTATTATTACTACTTTCCATCTTTATTCTTTCAATTGCTGACGGTTCTATAGAAATATGTCGTTTTTAGATATTGTTACGAGGAACTCAGTGTGGACAGATGGTTATCTAGTCATCTTTCTAACCCTTTACCCTTCATCTTTCTACAAATACATACTAGGTATCTTTCTAACCCTTTACCCTTCATCTTTCTACAAATACATACTAGGTATCTTTCTAACCTTTTACCCTTCATCTTTCTACAAATACATACTAGGCATCTTTCTAACCCTTTACCCTTCATCTTTCTACAAATACATACTAGGTATCTTTCTAGATCTTTACCCTTCCTACATATACATACTAGGTATCTTTCTAGATCTTTACCCTTCCTACAGAAACATACTAGGTATCTTTCTAGATCTTTACCCTTCCTACATATACATACCAGGTATCTTTCTAGATCTTTACCCTTCCTACAGAAACATACTAGGTATCTTTCTAGATCTTTACCCTTCCTAGATATACATACTAGTTATCTTTCTATACTTCACTTAACAATATACTTTTTCAATTTTATTCTGAAAAATACAAATATTTGTTTCAGTGACTGGTCAAAGTTGTACCGTACTGTTTGGAAGAAATCAGGAAAAGTTCAGCACAGCTGATCTTTTTAATATTTGCTGTTTTACTTCAAATTCAAAACTTCTTTTTTCAAGACTGCCTGTATAGAAACTAGTTTAATCGTTATATAAAGAGAAACATTTATTTTTTTCAACTATTGGTATTCCTTATTTTTTATGATTTCATTATAAATGCTTTCCTGTGCTTTTGTATAAAAAATGTAAAATTGTAAAACATTTTAAAACAAATTTAATTCATATCTGTACACAATGCATGTACACTGTTCAATAAACCTTTATGTTGTAAACTGTACAGTACTGTTTCAGCTTTACAATATTTATTATAGATAAACCAGTACTAGGTTCTCATTGATAAGTTAAAAATTACAAGTTACACATCCTGTCTAATTTGTATAATCTGTATTAGTAAAAAATTATTTTTTATTTATTTACTATTTTCTATTTATGCAGTGTAAATGTTACTGTACACAGATACCTCTCCATTTTTGTTCTTTTGACTAATTTATAAAATATTCTTGGTGTTGGTTAAATGGGGAAATATTGAAAAAAATATTTCATCGGTTGTAAATATTTGGTAATGGGTTGTTAACATTATATGAAATGCATAGGTATAATTATATGTTCCGCTATGTAATCTAAATATAAAATATGTAAAGTTTGTATATAATTATTGTTGTAAAAATGAGAAAAGAAATGATTTCAAGTCTCTATTCTGTCGATATGTCGTGATATTGGAACCATGATTGTTCTGTGAACTCTGTCGATGATTTGGAAGCATACAACTCTATCGAACAAAGTGATTTCTGGAACAATAGTATTGTTATCCAAAACTCACGGATACATGCTCGGTCTGAGCTCCATATTACCTAAAAACAACAAGTTCTTAAGAAGGGGATTATCGAAATATTCATCATCTTTCTGATGATAATATTAGCCTTTTTTAAGATAGTTGGATTTTGTGGTTGGCGTTTATATCATTACAATGAAGACGACTTTTCTATTTAAGTCTCGATTAATAACAAGCTTTTTTTAAAGTTTACATATAAACAATATAAGCAATTTGTTTCCATGTTCATAGCTCGGCAGAAATCAAAAATTGAAATCAAAAGTCGAATTCATTATTTTGATGTTTACGACGACGACTGTAGTTTTTAAGAAGGGGGGATTATTGCTACCTAGTATAGGATAGTTTATAAGACAGGGGAATATGTTACCTAATATAGGATAGTTTATAAGACAGGGGAACATTGTTACCTATTATTGGATAGTTTATAAGACAGGGGATTATATTTACCTATTATTGGATAGTTTATAAGACAGGGGAATATAGTTACCATATTATTGGATAGTTTATAAGACAGGGGAATATAGTTACCTATTATTGGATAGTTTATAAGACAGGCTTGATTAGAAGAATCTGAACAGGGTTGCCAGTTAACAGGACTATAACTAAAAAATATAATTTTATTCCTGTTTCCAACGTAGTCGTTTGTGTATTTTAAGAGCTTGGAAAGGAATTAAATATTCAACTCAAACTCTAATTTTCCAATTCCTATATCTTTACAACCTGAAGTTGTAAACCTTTGATATTTCCAACCATAATTTCTGCTGGATCAAGTTTTCAAGTTTGATATATTAAAGGTTTATGTTGTCTAGGATAAAGGGATTAGAAAATTACAGTTTAAAAATAGATTTCATTTCTGAAACAAAAATGGGGGATGAAGAAAATGGTGCATGCATGGTGAATAGTGATAAAAGTATTGAATATACCTTTGAAAAGCTGAATCAAGGCCTGCATGCCTCCAGCTCTGTACATGGTACAAATACCCGGGCCCGTACCTTCCTCTACTCATGTACATAAATACTAAATAGTCATGAACCTTCCTCCACTCATGTTGTATAAAGTCATGTACAGGGCAGCTATGTAGGGGGGGGGAGGATATTATCCCCCCCCCTTTCTCATGAAAAATAATGGAATAATGGATTTTCAAGTTCCATGATTTAAAACTTTAACAATTTAAGTAAATGTCTTATATCTCCGTCAATTTTAAAGATACAAAGAAGGTAGACCACATTTTGGAAACCTGTTTAGACTTTTAGTCCTGTTTTTATGCCCTCTCTATCATTTATCTGTTATCGGAAATCAAAGACGATATTTAAGTCGTCTCTCAATTCCCATGTTTATTGGGACATCCTGTATCTAATTATTTACCTTTCTTATTTTTGTACACCATGGCTACACGATATTGTAATTATATTTATATCTAGGGTTAACCACTTAAAGGATGAGACTTAAATGACGACCTTAAACTACAGGGTGTCCCACGAAACATGACAATAGCAAGACGACTTGAAAGTCGTTTTTGATATTTGAATTTATTTGTGACATTTAGTCTTCTATCTACTTTAACATGTATGATTCTTGAAACAATTATCACATAATTCTCCAAAAAGTGGTCTGCGTTTTTTGTGCTTTCAATATTACCGGAGATATAAAGAGTTTGGTTCAGATTTCAATTTTGTTAAATAAAAGCAAAATTGTCGAAAGCTGAACGAAATTGTTCATATCTCGGGCAATATTGAAAGCACAAAAAATGCAGACCACATTTTGGAAATGGCAGGACTTGGGGAATTTTGTGATTATTATCTCTAGAAATTTACTAAAATTACGTTGACAAATAAATGCAGCAAATTATATCAAAAATCAAGACGATATTCAAGTCGTCTTGCATACTGTCATGTTTCGTGGGACACCCTGTATCAAAAACTAAATATCTCAAGGTTTTCTGTCGTAAATTAATGGTATTAATAATGATTTTTCTAAAAAAGAAACAAGATCATAACTGCAGGGAACTATATAATGTAAATGTGTTGAAGAAGGTTAACTAAATTCTTTATAGTCGTCTCTGAAGTCTCATCCTTTGTGGGTAACCCTTTATTTTTATATATAACGAACCAACGGTACTGTAAAACCATGCTTTGAATATGCACATTCCTGATATGAAGGCCTGGATTAGATATTGTTGGAACCCAGAGGTCAGGACCAACCTTAATTATATTTAAGTTAATTCCATATAAATTGTTATGTAAGTGTAAAATTATGGCAAATAAAACAAAATATTAAAATTTACCTGAACTAAAGTTGGAATAGATGAGAGTCCAGGAGGTAGAGAATTCTGAAATAAATATGAACGTGTTTTTACATGACCCTTTTTAATGAGAGAAATTTAAAAAAAAAGAACTAATTTAACTCTATTTTTGGTATTTTTGGTTCTAAAATGCACAATTCTTGTTTACTATAGGGACTGTCAAGTTATCTGTAGAATTTATTCTATTAAACATAATTTTATAAAAGTTCAAAGGTACCGTTGTGAATTGTTCATATGTCTTTTACTTACCAGAGAGAGATTGTTTTGGTCTCCCAGCATTTCTGTATTCAAACCTGAAATATTTCCGTATTCAGACCTGGAATATCTCCGTATTCAGACCTGGAATATTTCCGTATTCAAATCTGGAATATTTCCTTATTCAGACCTGGAATATTTCCGTATTCAGACCTGGAATATTTCCGTATTCAAACCTGGAATATTTCCGTATTCAAACCTGGAGGAATATTTCCGTATTCAAACCTGGGATAGTTCCGTATTCAAACCTGGAATATTTCCGTATTCAAACCTGGAATAGTTCCGTATTCAAACCTGGAATAGTTCCGTATTCAAACCTGGAATAGTTCCGTATTCAAACCTGGAATAGTTAATCGTGTTTTCCTATTTTTAAAGAAAATAAACAAATAAACAGGATGACTAAACACTCGCCATAGTTTGATTTTTATAATCCAACCTAGGAATATAATCTGAATGAGATAACATTCGTTAAAGACTCAAATTAAGGAGCGCATCAAAAGATGTAACAGCCAGTGCTAAGAAATTCATTGCCATCAGAAGAAGGCATTTTGAATATTAATATAATAAAATTAAGTAGAAGGGCCAACTGTGACATTCATTTATCAACAATTTGTAAATTTCAAGTTTCAACCAGACAAAATTAGCAAACTTCAAACCGGTCAAAAACAGCGTTTATCAAAAATCTAAAAATTATAGTCATTGACTTTTATTTGAATACCTTTGTTTTGAATATTGAAGAATCCTGCTCCCTTTTTAGAATAATTATCTTCAGAATACCTGAACAGAGACAAGAATGTAATGCAAGGAAAGTATATTGCAGTTGCGTATACTCTGCGTACATATTGAAACCATTTCTCTCTGGGCGGAATTTGTAAACAAGAATAGATGCCTCAGTGTTCGTTTTGTATCCGAGGAGGTTAAAAGCATTGAATTTTTATAATTTTGATAAATCACATAATAGTTTCCTATGGCCAGAATATTTCATTGATTATTTATGTGAAAGATGGATCCCATGTCAGGCTTCGACATCCGTCTTGTGTTTACATTACCACCCAGTGGCAGTACACTGCAGTACAAATGAAGCGTACACCTCTGAAATAACTTTCCTTGCATTAAATCCTTGAACAGAGAGAAGTAATTAATTAAAATTGTTTAGAAATAAAACCAAGTCACTTTTGTAAAGAATGTAATGTGAATTGGACAGGAAACCCTTTAAAGGGACCGTTCACTTATTTTTATAATTTCTTAGTAAACTAATTAGCCTCATAGCTATTCATTGGTATTAGTCTCGCTTTTCAAAGATATCTATGGCCGGAGAAAAATCCGATTTATCGTTTTCAGTAACAACAGCGGCATTCCAATGAAATCTAAAATTATCATATTTTAATGACATAATGATAATGTGTCAACCATTAGATAATAAAATATAAAAACTTTTGATTTCAGAATTAGCAAGAAATTGACGTTTTTCGTGTTTAAACATGATTTAACAAAAAAACAAGTTTATACAAAGACGACTTTCTCTAACAGACAAACCGGTTCCTAGATTCCAACTCTTCAAAATCACGGGAATGCCTGGGAAGTAGGAAAAACGTATTAAATCGTCAAATGTTTAAAATAAGTTATATTTTGAAATAGACAATTTTAAAATAATTTGGAAAAAATTTAAGGATATCTACAATTAACTATTTGATACTACAATTTAATTTAATATTGAAAAATGTTTTTATTCTTGACAATGACAAAAAGCATCAAATAATGTAAATACAAAGATTACCTTTGCGATGGAATTCTGAGAGATTAATCGGCTTTCTCTGCAGACCATTATTGATTATGAATAGCTAATAGGCTATTTAGTTTACCCTCAAATTATTCAAACAAGTGAACGTTCCCTTTAAATGAGGGTCACTTGAAGTTAAAATTAAGTGTTCCTTTAAGTTTTCGATTTTCCCATTTATTGATAAAAATCCTTGCTACCTGTTGAGATTGAACCCTTGGCTGAGAAGATATTTCCCTGCTCTTCCTCCAGGTTGGAGTAAAGAGAAATCTTGGGTTCGGAATCCTACAATCCAGGGATCAAAATATTAAAATCCACATGAAATATAATTCCTTATATCTTCAAACATAAAAAAACTCCTGATGTTTTTAGGGAAAGGAATTGAGTCTTTGCTACAAACTCTGATTTTCTAATTACTATATCTTTGGAACCAAATGTTTCAGACCTTAGATATTTCAAACTATGAATTCTTTTAGATCAAATAATCTAATAATATCAAAGGTTTAAAACATCGGGTTCTAAAGATATTGGGGTTTAAACATTTTATTTTGTTCCAAAGACTTTATTCCTTTACTAAACGAAAAAAAAAATAATTGGAGTGATAGAGTATGGTTGGGATTCAATCACAAAAATAATTATAATAAATGTATCATTTAGATCCTGTATACCCTGATACATTTGAGTCCGATCGGTTCAGCCGTTTTTACGTTTATAAGCAAACAATTCAACAAAACATAAGCAAATAGGCAAACACCAGTTAATATATTTGATCCTGTCTTCCCTATATCTAAATCTATGTCCCAAGGTATAAAGTTTCCAAGCTTGACAGCGCCCAATAATGTCCCAGATTCTATCTCATAATATATTCCATATTTATCCCTGAAAATATTAATAATTTACTCCATATTTATCCCTGACAATATAAATAATTTACTCCATCTTTATCTCTGAAAATATAAATAATTTACTCCATATTAATCCCTGAAAATAAATTTAATTCACTCCATATTTATCCCTGAAAATATAAATAATTTACTCCATATTTATCCCTGACAATATAAATAATTTACTCCATATTTATCTCTGAAAATATAAATAATTTACTCCATATTAATCCCTGAAAATAAATTTAATTCACTCCATATTTATCCCTGAAAATAAAAACTACAGTATGTCTCATACATATCGGATTGTTTATGGCTCTAAATTGCGATTTTTGGGACTAATCAGTAAATAAAAAAAGGGTTGAATCATTTTTAAAAATTTAATGCGCCTAATATGAAAATTTGCATGAAGAGAACACTCGGTTTTTAGAGTATTATGTGTGTATTTCAGCGTTAAATCTTGGAGATAATCCAATATGATATGGGAAGTACTATATCTACTCTATATTTATCCCTGAAAATGTATATAGTATACTACATATTTATCCCTGAAAATGTTATTTATCCCTGAAAATGTATATAGTATACGCCATATTTATCCCTGAAAATGTTTATAGTATACTCCATATTCGTCCCTGAAAATGTATATAGTATACTCCATATTTATCCCTGAAAATGTTTATAGTATACTCCATATTCGTCCCTGAAAATGTATATAGTATACTCCATATTTATCCCTGAAAATGTTTATAGTATACTCCATATTCGTCCCTGAAAATGTATATAGTATACTACATATTTATCCCTGAAAATTTCATATGAACCATGCTCTTTTACTGATTAAAATCTTAAAATTAAATAAATATTTATGTTTAGTTATCTTTGTTACCTTATAAACTCAAGTGCATGGAAAACCCCTCGAAAGGCCTCGATACAACACCAAGGCACTAGGATTTCTGCTGCCTGAATAAAACTATTTTTGACAGGCTCTTTATAAAAAAAAAACCATTTTTGATTTTCATTATACCTGACTCTCAGCATCACAGTAAAGTCCCAGCTCTTCACATGTATATTCAGTTTCATATTTATACGATCTACTTGTCACCAAACCCTACATGGATTAAAAAATATAACATAATGCTTAATTGCTGAATCTTTACTTATTTTACCTTGTTTTTACTTTTATGCCGCAAAATCAAAAAAGTTTTTTCAAAGGGTTTTGATAAAGTTAAATTACATAAAAAGGTCCTAGGCGAAATTTCTAGTGACTGTGCAATGTGTATGTTTATAAACTTTAAGTTATCAGTAATGAATGAGCGATCCATGTTCTTCTTTAAAAATTTATTAATTTCGATTGTGGTTTCACTATAAAAGTTACTTGGAGATTTTCTGCTTACAGAAACAATGGCGGATCATGTCAGAATTAAGCACAATTCATTGTTCAATGAAGAAAACGAAGATATCAATTGTATTCACAGTTTTAAAAAAGTGCTGATTTCTGAAAGGTGAAATTGTTAAACTAAAAATCTCTTGTTCATCTCTTTCTTAAATTAATAATTAAATCTTTGAGAGATAAAGTTCAAATTGCGAGTTGCTCCTCATTTGAGTCTGACAATGAATATAAATTCTTGGTCATCAGGACGGATGAATACTTCTTCTCCCTGAACTATTTATCAAGTTAAACAATATTATATAAAACTTTTGTTATAACCTGAAAATTATGTTTTGAAGCCAAGAGCCTTAAATTATCTCCGTTCACATCAAATTCTCTTTTACCCTGTCTTTAACTGCTGTTTAATATTGAGAAAAAACAAAACAACAAAATTTAAAACAAGATCACACCGATCTGTTATATATTTAAAGGGAGTGACCGGCTATGTAAGGTAGTTGAACTGAGTATGCAGTGCTGTGGAAAACTTCTTTCGGATTCATTTGAGACATATTAAACTTTTTAAAGATCTGTAAATCCTGAGTTTTAGCGCAAATTCAACGTTGAAAACTTTGGGGGTGGATACGTTTTCAGAATCGGTTTTTTAAAAATTATTAAATAACGTTTAGATTAAGGAATAAGATTAAAATAAAGAGAATGGGTTGGAAAAATTCTAATTTTCTGTTCCTATGATGACGATGAGTAAGAATTATTTGTAAAAAATGAAATTATAAAATTAAGCTTGTATTCCTTGTAAAGTAAAGAATATCAGGGCATACCAACCATATTCCTCGCTTTCTAAACCAACAAAATACAAAAGTTGATCAAGTTAAAACTTAAAATGTGACAGATTATTTACAAAAAATTTCAATTAAAGGGAGTGTTTGTGAAAAGTTAAATGGGTATTTGTTGATAGCTATTCTATAGTTATACCTCTAGTTCGGTATTTTTTTGCTGGTTTACCTACAGTAAAACCCTTAATAATAAATACATCGAAAGAATTCATCAAATGTCGTATTCTTCACTTTCTGATAATAGAATGTTGCAGATATTTTGTTTTTTAATTAAATGATTATATGGAACTCTTTAAAACTGTTCCCGCATATTCATGGCTATTTATTTATTTTCGCAATTTCTGAAATTTTCGTAATATAGTATAAAACTCATTGAAAAATTGTCAAGACGATATTTGTTAAATTCTTCCGATGTATTCGTTATTAAGGGTTTTACTGTACTGTTTCAGGGTTTAATTTAATTCATCTTTGCAGAAACATCAGGTAGGATTAATATTGATATCGATCAATATATAGCTACATTTAATAGATATGAACCTAGACCAACTTTCATTTTACCGAACACTACCTTTAAATATTGATCAAGGGAGTGTTTGCCACAAAATAAAATGTATGTAAAGTCTAAATATTTATTAATTTGTATTCCTGAGAGCTGAATCCAGAAGATATGCAGCAGGATCAAGAACGTCTAGAAATAAAGATATTAAAATGTTTAACAATCATTCTATTTGTAGACAAATATTGTTCTTAATTAGTTTCTTCTTAGTTACTTAGTTTACGGGCAGTAAGTATTTAGTAAGTAAGCAGTAAGTATGCAGTAAGTATTTGGTAAGTAAGCAGTAAGTATGCAGTAAGTATATGGTAAGTAAGCAGTAAGTATGCAGTAAGTATTTGGTAAGTAAGCAGTAAGTATGCAGTAAGTATTTGGTAAGTAAGCAGTAAATAAATATGCAATAAGTATTTGGTAAGTAAGCAGTAAGTATGCAGTAAGTAGTTGGTAAGTAAGCAGTAAGTATGCAGTAAGTATTTGGTTTCCGTATTAAAGTCTCGATCTAATCAAAGTTGATTTTTAAACCGAGCTAAGAACATTTCTATTGTTCTTTAAAACTTTTAATAAAACATTCACCATTTCAAAACTGTAAAACTATAATTAAAGATTTAAGTTAGCATCTTTTTATCAAAAAAAAGGTATAAATGACTATTTAGCATACTTGAAGGATTGGTGAGTATATCTTCTACCCTGATTAGAACTGGTCCTCCAGTGTAATCACACACCATACAATCTTCATACTCAGCCTCATAACCTTCCAACATCTAGAATACACAAGAATATGATAACATGAAATAGATAACAATCTAATCAGTTCAGACAAAAAAAAAACCAAACAAATTGGCGTTGTTCTATTTTTGGTTCTTCTAGAAGACATGGTTTATCCCTTTATTCAAAAATACAGAATGCTGCATATTAAGAAATTGAAGAGCTAACAAACCTGTAATCTATAATATTGTAGATTTATCTGTGTACAACCCGTGCTCCAATGCCCCGTTCTATTCCGACTGGAACCACCAACACCAAAAACAGCCAGCTCTGAATCTTTAACAAAATGGGGTAATAGTGAAGAGGGTTAAATGTTTCCCTATCTGCATTGTATACCTGATAGGACCCAGATATATCTGTAACTATACCTGATAGGACCCGGATATATCTGTAAACTATACCTGATAGGACCCGGATATATCTGTAACTATACCTGATAGGACCCGGATATATCTGTAACTATACCTGATAGGACCCGGATATATCTGTAAACTATACCTGATAGGACCCGGATATATCTGTAAACTATACCTGATAGGACCCGGATAGATCTGTGAAGGTTTGCCCAAGAGTTAAAATGTTCTATATCCGGAGCGTAAAGTAAATACTAAAAAGTGTAATTTTAGATACAAACTAAAGGAATTGAGTCTTTGCCACAAACTCAAAATTTGTTTTCCCTATCTTTGCAAACGTACTGAAGGTGTAAACCTTTAACATTTCAAACTTATAGATTGTTTGATCTAACAGAGTTATTAGCTTGAAATATCTAAGATCTAGCAAATCGGGTTGCAAAGATAAAGCCACATGATTCACAAAATTCCTAAATCTAAAGTTAAAAGTACGAAAATAAGAGCTTGTACATAACATGTAAAAACAGCGGATTTAAATATAAAGAAAAAACATTTTTGGCATTTAATTATATAATAACTTTATTCACTTGTTCCATACTAACATTTTATTCACTTACTTTTGTTGAAATAGTTTGAGCTAGAGTATCAATAGTTGGTTCTTCATCAACACAATCTAGACCATACACTGAAACAAGAATTTCAGATTTGAAAACTGATAAAAAGACGAGAGAGGACAAATGCAAACCGCACAATTCACTGATTCGGGTTGCAGCTGACGTCAAAACTTTAACTTCTTGGCATTGCACTGGCAGGATGAAATATACGGCCGTCAGTTTGAATATCGACCAAATACATAATAAGCAACTTAATTTGTTTCCTTCAGTTCGTTAGCAAAAAAAAATCATTTAAAGCAATAAAATTTTACAGAATAAATACATAAACGCATGAGTTAAGCTATATATTCATAAGCAGAACATTGCGGAATAAAAGTCGTCTTCTTACAACCTCTTCATTAGAAACTTAGCAAGGACTTTTCTAATTTGTAACTGAACTTTGAAAATGCAACCTGAGCATATTCAGATATATATAAATCATTACAGTTACAAATCAAAAAATACTTAGCGACGTTTTTAACTAAAAAATGGACAGAAGACAATTTTCATTATTCTCGTATCACTGTATAGTCATAGGTTCCTAAAAAGTAAGCATATTCCTACAAAATAACTTTCGAACGAAAAAAAAAGGAAATAACATATAAATAAATGATCTTAAAGGGACTGTAAATGAAAAATGAAATGGGGTTTAGACTGAAAGCTAATCACTTTAGCTCTTGATCGCGACCCATGAAAGTTATATCTGATGTTCCTATCTCGAGAAATTGATATAAAACTGTGTCAAATTTATACAAAAATTCACATAGATACAATTTTGTATGGAATTAGTAGGTTTAAACAGGTTTAGTTCGCGATCAAGAGCTAAAGTGATTACTTTCATTTTTCTTTTATAGTCCCTTTTAACAACAACAACAAGTTTTTTATTGCTTCCGGGTTTAAGTCTGATAGGTAAAGTATAATTTTTTTGTTAGTTTTTTATTTCGAGTTGTGGAATAATTTTTATCCAAACCTGTTTCATCTTTCGAGCAGTCTGCAATAATCCTAAATAATGAACAATTTGGTACTTTTAGATCTATTTGTCTCTCATCAAAATTACAGTATTATGTACTGTAAATATACTATTTATAAGCAAACAAAAAATGTTATTATACTAAATAATTATTTTAATCATTTACAATGACTCCTGGAAAGCTTGAGATTAGAAGAATAATGAAAACAAAATTAAGAATTAGCAAGAAATGAGAATAGATGCTTTGGTTTTTTGATTTATTGTATCTATTCATTATTACCTAATTCCTGGATATACAGAATGTATTTGCTGAACCAGATTACCAGTATTAATAGGTCCAATATAGTTTATATATATAGTTACAAGCTCATCTATCTAAACAAATTATTTAATTTTAATTAATTTTTTTTTTCGATTTGTTAAATTCTCATATTTCAAAGTTAGGATAAATGCATTTTAATCAATACATCAAATTTTTTCATATCAGGACATCAGTATCAGTATAAGTATCAGTATCAGTATCAGTATCAGTATCAGTATCAGTATCAGTATCAGTATCAGTATCAGTATCAGTATCGGTATGATCAGTTTTATAAATTTCGTGTCCTAGATTTTCAATGTACAAGTTGACATTTTTTGTGAAGAATTACTGGTAGGAGTTTGCGACCTTGTAATAGCTCTTGTTTTGGTTTTACATTTTCAAATGAAAATGATGAAATTTATGAAACTATTTAAAAACGAAGATAAAGTAAACTTTAGTTTAATGTTTATTAAATAGAAAATGAGAGCAATTATCCAGTGAAAAGGGGATAGAAAAATAATAATAAAGATAATAAGGGTTATGATAATATTCATAAATAATAATACTAGCAAAAGTAATTAGATTTATTAAAAACTATGAAAATGATAATTATGATAATAATGTAATTATCAAATTAGAAATATTGTTAATCTTATAAAAGCAATAAATGATATTAGAAATAACGCAAAACATGGCAATAATGAGAATCATAAGCATAGCAAAATGATAATGATAATTATAGAAATAATATAATAATGATGATATTAGCAATTAAAATAATAAGAATGAAAACAATGATGATAGCTGTATAACCAATAATATAACAGAAAGCTAATAATGATAATATTAACAATTTTAAGAATGTTAAGAATTTGATATACCTTAAATTTGTTGTCACAGATCTGTGTTTCCCAGGATGTAAACTGGAAAGGCCAGTCTTGGTTTCCTTTTCAAAAAAAAAATTTTAAAATCCAAAAAGTAAAAAGAGAAAAGTAAGAAATAAGAAAAGGTAAAATTTTGCAAAAATACTTGTACTACTTGCTGACCTCGTAGCACCTCTAGTTTAAATTCTTGTACTACTTGCTGACCTCGTAGCACCTCTAGTTTAAATTCTTGTACTACTTGCTGACCTCGTAGCTCCTCTAGTGTAAATACTTGTACTACTTGCTGACCTCGTAGCTCCTCTAGTTTAAATACTTGTACTACTTGCTGACCTCGTAGCTCTTCTAGTTTAAATACTTGTACTACTTGCTGACCTCGTAGCTCCTCTAGTGTAAATACTTGTACTACTTGCTGACCTCGTACCTCCTCTAGTTTAAATTTTAAGCCAAAGTATGAGAAATGAAAAACTATGAAAATACGAGTCTCATTTATTTAAGAAACTCAATCAAATCTTGTTGTTTCTTAACCCGATATTATGATAAATGAAAACCCCTGTAATAAAACATGAAAACTCCACTGAAAACATATAGTATACTAATTTAATAAATAAATAATAATAAATTAAATAACAAATATTACCTTTGTAATGTTCTGGGCAAACATCTCCCTCCCTAAAAGAATTTATTTCTCATATATTGACTGCAGTATTTTCAAGTGACCGTACCGCACATTTACGCGTGACATGTCCGATTCACTACAGTGCCCTTTAAGGCCAAAAAACTCTGTGTGACGTTACATGTAAATCTCAAAAAGTCTTTTTTATATCTTAAATATAAAACAGCTCATGCAAACCAAATATTTAACAATTTACAGGCGTTTCCGTAGATTAATAAGGATAAATCTGACATCCTTATAAGTAAATGGAAATATTTACTTCTACACTGTAACTATAGTGTATCAGTAAATAGAAATATTTACTTTTGCTGAAACTATAGTTTCAGTAAATGGAAATATTTACTTTTACTGAAACTATAGTGTATCAGTAAATGGAAATATTTACTTCTAATTAAATTATGATGTATCAGTAAATGGAAATATTTACTTCTGCTGAAACTATAGTGTATCAGTAAATGGAAATATTTACTTTTACTGAAACTATGGTGTATCAGTAAATGGAAATATTTACTTTTGCTCAAACTATAGTTTATCAGTACTTCTACTGAAACTATAATGTATCAGTAAATGGAAATATTTACTTTTGCTGAAACTTTAGTGTATCAGTAAATGGAAATATTTACTTCTACTAAAACTATAGTGTATCAGTAAATGGAAATATTTACTTCTACTGAAACTATAGTGTATCAGTAAATGGAAATATTTACTTCTTCTGAAACTATAATGTATCAGTAAATGGAAATATTTACTTTTGCTGAAACTATAGTGTATCAGTAAATGGAAATATTTACTTCTACTGAAACTATAGTTTTTTGCAGCGCGCGTAAATCTATGAGTCACTTTTATAGAGAAAAAATGATTAAAAATAAAAATCTAAAGCTAAGACAACAAGTATATTTCATGCACCCTTGATTAGACAAATGTTTAAAGGGATTGTTGTGAATCAGACATGCCACACCATAAACGGAGGGTCCCTATGCCTGCATTAGACGGATTATAAAAATACTTCAAGGCGAATCTAAGTATGTCTAGAATGTATGCTAATAATCTCCACCAAACCATTCAAATGCCATTAAAATATGTGATACAAGATTTGATATTCAAGTCGTATCTCCCACTGGCCACTACGCAGGAAATAAGAAATACAAATTAAAGTCGGTGTAGTGGTCGCAAATAAGATTGAAGACTTACTGACCATTACACCAGAACAACTATTTTGTAAAATGACTTAAATGACTTAATGGTTTAAAATTAGTTTCACCTCTTTTCTATCATATTTCTAGTTCCACCCACTTTTAGAAAAATGGTTTAAAAATATTTCTTTTTAAGAATTTTAATTGATAAATAGATAATTAAAATAAATCTATTGCTCTAGTTTTGTCAAGTTGTTAATAAAAATAGTAAAGCAGTAAAGAGTAAAGTATAAAGTTTCCTCCTGATTGAAAAAAAATCCATGAGAAACAATTTTGTAATTATTAAAAGATATTTCTACACCATGTTTCCTAGTATTCCCGCACTTTCAAGCTTTAGGAGAGATTTAGATCTGTCATACCCACTCAATAAAATATCCTGAAATATTTTTCAAAAATACATTTTCATATAAGGGGTTCCCAGAATATTTAAATAATCAGACGTATTCTATCAGATGAATATTAATCTAACCTGACGTATTCTATCAGCTGAATATTGATCTAACCTAGCGTATTCCATCAGCTGAATATTGAACTAACCTGACGAATTATATCAGCTGAATATTGATCTAACCTAGCGTATTCCATCAGCTGAATATTGAACTAACCTGACGTATTCTATCAGTCGAATATTGAGTTAAATTGACGTATTCTATCAGCTGAATATTGATCTAACCTGACGTATTCTATCGCTGAATATTGATCTAACTTGACCTATTCTATCAGCTTTATATTGATCTAACCTGACGTATTCCATCAGCTGAATATTGAACTAACCTGGCGTATTCTATCAGCCGAATGATGAATTTCTTGAAGAACCTGAGCTCTTTCTTTATCCTTGAAGAAAAAAGTTACAAAAGATTGAATTAAGAAAATTTAAAAAGGTTAAAAAATCTAATTTGTGCATTTTTTTAAATTGAGTTTTTTCAAGTTATTAAAAAATTCTTACCTTCGCAACTAAAACATTGTTTAACTTTCCATTTTCTAGATATTGAAATAAGCTAAAGCAAGTCAATAATACTACAAATTATGGCATATCAACGATAAAACTAAGTGAATATGTTTTGGGTTAGTTTTTTAAAAGTCTATGTCTTTATATGAATATTGTTTGTTTGTCTGTCTGCCTGTATCCAATAAATGTCAAGACGGCTGAACATACTTTGTCACTTTCATGTACAAAATGGTACCGATCGGCAACTCAAACGACCCCAGGGAAGGTTAAAAGTGAAAAGTGAAAAATCTGCCTTTAAAAAATTAAGATTTTTAAATTCTATTATTGTTTACAGAAACATACGCAAAATTTCAAGTTGTTGCTGAAAGAGGGACGCGAAGGCCTAGTTAATCATTTCTAAGATCTCAGAATATATATATATATATATATATTCTGAGCTTAAGATATAAATATTTGTAAATATGCTAATATGCATTCCTATAGCAAGAGGAGACCAGTAATATTTCAAAAAACTGAAGAAAGATAAATATATATTTTTTAAAAATCTCCAGAACATCAAGATTAGCTTCATCTTTAACTATTTAGATCTAAATCTAAAAAAGTTCAAAAAAGTTATCTATAAAAGTTCTTTATCTATAAAATTATTTTCCCACCTCACTAAAATACTTTTATTTTGATCGAAAACAAACTTGAAAAATTAAAAATCCCGACAAAAACTTTTTCGCACTTAATAATACCCATTACAACAACATATATAGTTTTATTCAGTTTTACTCAGTTTATTTAAAAGCAGGTCGATAAAGTTACTTAATCACCCTGTTGTAGAGAGATTATGTAACTTTATCACCCTACAACGAGACAAATTAGGTATGAAATTTGAAATTTTAATAGCAAGGTGAAAAAGTTACTTTTTCGCCCTGTTGTAGGGCGATAAAGTCACTTAATCACCCTATAACGGGAAATATTAGGTGTGATAAATTTCATCAAAATTGAATAAACATTTTATCATTATTCAAAGTAACACTTTTAATAAATAATTTTCCTCTGCGGGTCAATATTTTTGTTAAATTAAAAGATATATAGTTAATACTGTAACAAAGCATTTTATTTTTAGAAATACATATACACTGTACACTGTACACACTGTACAATCAGAAGATAGCAAGATTACATGACAGTTTTTCTTATAGTTTTAATAGTTTTGATGTAAAGGGTTACCCACAAATGATGAAACTATAAAGACGACCTGAAACTCTTTAAATATGACGATTCTAAGGTTAAATTAAGTCTTCTGCCTTAAATGCAGTTTTTCAACGGCTTGTATACCGATTTAATCCCGAATATAAGAAAAATGACAATACAGATTCTGTCTCTGAAGTCTCATCCTTTGTGGGTAACCCTGTATGTTGTAGACTTGTAACTGAAGTTGTCTGTGTACATATTGTACAATACATGCAGTCTTGTAGACTGCCTAGAGTAAACTACCTCAATTTTCTTATCTTAAATACACACAAGGAACAATTTAAGTTCTGATAACAAAAAAAAATGGTTAAAATGAATGAAATCTTAGATAGTACCAATCTAACATACATCAGATCATTCTCAAAATTCTCAAACTTTTTAAGAATATACTTGCGTGTTAAGGGGTTTTAAAAGTTTTTTGAAGTATCTTTATTACTCATGAGGTTTAGGTAAAATCCATAGCGTAAACGACATATATACTTTAAAATATAACATACTAGCTGAAATATACTTTAAAATATAACATACGGGCTGAAATATACTTTAAAATATAACATACTGGCTGAAATATACTTTAAAATATAACATACTGGCTGAAATATACTTTAAAATATAACATACGGGCTGAAATATACTTTAAAATATAACATGGCTGAAATATACTTTAAAATATAACATACTGGCTGAAATATACTTTAAAATATAACATACTGGCTGAAATGTCCGTTGTTGTCTGTGGAATTCAAAAACCCGTGAGCTCCCTTAAAAAATGTCAGGCACTTTGGTCCAGCCGTTTTGCTAACTATAGCTAACATATATATCCCCCTTTTTGGCCTGATATCCCCCTTTTCAGCCTGATATCCACCTTTTCAGTCTGATATCCCCCTTTTCAGCCTGATATCCCCCTTTTCGGCCTGATATCCCGCTTTTCAGCCTGATATCCCCCTTTTCAGCCTGATATCCCCCTTTTCGGCCTGATATCCCGCTTTTCAGCCTGATATCCCCCTTTTCAGCCTGATATCCCCCATTTCAGCCTGATATCCCCCTTTTCAGTCTGATACCACCCTTTTTGGCCTGATATCCCCCTTGTCAGCCTGATATCCACCTTTTCAGCCTGATATCCACCTTGTCATCCTGATATCCCCCTTTTCAGCCTGATATCCCCCTTTTTAGTCTGATATCCCCCTTTTCAGCCTGATATCCCCCTTTTCAGACTGATATCCCCCTTTTGAGCCTGATATCCCCCTTTTCATCCTGATATCCCCCTTTTCAGCCTGATATCCCCCTTTTCAGCCTGATAACCCCCTTTTCAGCCTGATATCCCCCTTTTCAGCCTGATATCCCCCTTTTCAGCCTGATATCCCCCTTTTCAGCCCATTATTACTATAATCCCCTCTTACCAACCTTTAATATTCCCTAGTTTTTATATCTCTCAGGACCATTTCATCCAGTTCATTTCAAACCTTTGTAGAACTCTATCCTATTCTAAAACATCCCTTCCCATGTTATCCTGACATATTACAACCAGATATATCGTCTCCTATCACGTCATAACCTATCCTGACATATTACAACCAGATATATCGTCTCGTATCACGTCCTAACCTATCCTGACATATTACAACCAGATATATCGTCTCCTATCTCGTCCTAACCTATCCTGACATATTACAACCAGATATATCGTCTCCTATAACGTCATAACCAATCCTGACATATTACAACCGGATATATCGTCTCCTATCACGTCATAACCAATCCTGACATATTACAACCAGATATATCGTCTCCTGTCACGTCATAACCTATCCTGACATATAACAACCAGATATATCGTCTCCTATCACGTCATAACCAATCCTGACATATTACAACCAGATATATTGTCTCCTATCTCGTCCTAACCTATCCTGACATATTACAACCAGATATATCGTCTCCTGTCACGTCCTAACCTATCCTGACATATTACAACCAGATATATCGTCTCCTGTCACGTCCTAACCTATTCTGACATATTACAACCAGATATATCGTCTCCTATCACGTCATAAACTATCCTGACATATAACAACCAGATATATCGTCTCCTATCACGTCATAACCTATCCTGACATATAACAACCAGATATATCGTCTCGTCTCCTATCACGTCATAACCTATCCTGACATATTACAACCAGATATATCGTCTCCTATCACGTCATAACCTATCCTGACATATTACAACCAGATATATAGTCTCCTATCACGTCATAACCTATCCCATTCTATTAATTAAAATATTGTCCTGCATGTCCTATCCTATTCTATTCTATTTAATTCTGTTCTACACGCCTTATCCTATTCTATTCTATTGAATTATGTCCTACATGCCACAACTCACATCCAATACCTTTCTATTTGCTCACGTCTTAAACTTCCTATCCTATTTAATTCCATTTAAGTACGTTCTACGCGTCTTATCTTTTTCCTTAATATTTAGATCTTTCCTACACGTCCTATCCTATTTCATTCCATTCAAGTACGTTCTACGCGTCTTATCTTTTTCCTTAATATTTAGATCTTTCCTACACGTCCTATCCTATATCATTATGTTAAATTCTGAGTTACACGTCCTATACTATCCCATTCTATTCAAGTTTTTCCTACCTATACATCCAATACATTCTATTCAATGCTGTCCTATTAGAGGAGGATTGGGTTTCCTCTCCCCCCCCCCCTTTCGTTCAACGTGCTTGGATCTATCCTAGATCCTATTCCGTTTAATCTGGTCCTTACAAGTCTTATCCTCTCGCTTTATTTTCTATTTTGAATATTTATTTAGATATGGACGATGTGAAATGTTTTCGAGAAAAAAATATTCAAACCAAGGGAAAATATTCATCAAACTAAGACTTACATTCTGCATTAATAAAAAGTTTATCAAGGGGGTTGATAGTAGTCTATCTATCAGCCTAGTTTGCTAATATATGTAAGTAATATGACCTAATTTACAATACAAACATCAAATATGTACAGGGTGTCCCAATAAACATGGGAATTTAGTGACTAATTCGATATCGTCTTTTTAAATAATTCTTTGATTTAGTATAGTGATACCTACTGATTTTTTGATTCGATTGATAACTGTTTCGAATGTTCATTCCCTGAAAAAATGTAAATCCTTCCAGAAAAAATAGACCTTTTAACCCTTGGATGTCTGAAGCACTGATAATATCGAGAAAACGTAAAGCCAAATTGTTTAATAAAAAGTTGAGGAAACCCTGTCAGGAAACTAAATCTAGATTTAAAGAATATAATGCAGTGTATACTCGCCTTGTGAGGGCAGCACGAAAAAAATACTTTAATGATAAATTTCAAGAATATAGTAAAGATTGTAAACAAACATGGCTGACTATCAATAGTGTACTAGGAAGGGGACGTAAAACAATTAACATTCCTGATGCATTTGTGAGCAATGGAAAAGTTCTCTCAGGGGCCGTAGAAATATCAGAGGGTTTTAACAATTTTTTTGCTAATATAGGTCCTGATCTGGCAAAAACTATTAAGGGCACTAAAAAACAATTTTCTGACTTTTTGTCACAGGGAACAGATGAAAACTTTGTTTTTGCAAATATGACCCCTGATATTATAAATGATGCTCTTAAAAAACTAAAAAGTAAAAACAGTTCTGGACCAGACAAAATTTCAACAAATTTGCTAAAGTCTATCATACCAATTATCATGGGTCCTATCTGTCATTTATTTGATTTATCTTTCAAAACTGGGTTTATTCCTACCACTCTTAAAACTGCAAAAATCGTCCCAATCTTCAAGGCTGGGGAAACGGATAATTTTACAAATTATAGGCCTATAAGTTTGCTTTCTTCGTTTTCAAAACTTTTAGAAAAAGTGGCAGCAAATCAAATTATGAAATATTTGAATAAATTTAAACTACTTTATGAACATCAGTATGGCTTCAGAGCAAAGCACAACACTACTCAACCCTTAATTCATTTCTTAGATAAAATATACAACGCACTAAATAAACCTGTATCCGAATATACTCTGGGAATTTTTATAGATTTAAGTAAAGCTTTTGATACCTGTGATGTTGACATTCTACTGAGCAAGCTTGAACACCATGGATTTCGTGGGACTTCTAACTTATGGTTCAAAAATTATTTAAAGGGAAGAAAACAATTTACTTCAATCAGGGGTGTTGACTCTTCACTTAAAGAAATCTCTTGTGGTGTACCACAAGGATCGATATTAGGACCAATTTTATTTCTAATTCTTATCAATGACCTTCCTAAAGCATCGAAATTTTTTACAATTCTTTTTGCCGATGATACAACACTGCAACTTTCTTCAAAAAGCTTACACGACTTATATGATTTGGCAAATTTTGAGCTCTCTAAAATAGAAGATTGGTTTAAAGCAAACAAACTGACTTTGAATCCGCTTAAAACCAAATATATTCTCTTCAAAAATAAAAAAGAAGATGTAAGTATCACCTCGCTTAAACTTCAAATAGATAATAAAGATATAGAAAGAGTAGGAACTGGATGCAAAAATGAATCTTTTAAGTTTGTAGGTGTTCATTTAGACGAAAATCTTAACTGGAACCATCATCTTAAGGCGGTTAAAAACAAAGCATCCAGTGCAGTTTTTGCTTTGTCAAGTGTAAAAAATATTCTTCCTAGTAATATTAAACTAACCATTTACAACTCATTATTTCGATCATTTATAGAATATGCAATTTCAGCCTGGGGATGTAACAAATGTTCAGAAATGAAACAAATTCACATTTTACAGAAACGAGCAATACGATTAATTGATAACTCAAAAGCCACGTCTCATAGTGATCCTCTTTTCCTTAAGTATAAGATTCTAAAGATTAATGATCTGGTAGACTTTAACCAAGCTATATTTATGTATAAATATACACATAAACTTCTTCCTGCATCTTTTGAAAATATTTTGAAAAAGCTTGGAAACTTTGAAAGATCTCTTAACTATCAACTTGACATTCTCAAAATGTGCTCATTACAGTATTTACCATCAAGCTCTCTTCTTAAGATGTGGAATAACCTGCCTCTTGACTTAAAAAGAAGCAACTCTCTAAGTATATTTAAAAATAGACTACTAAATTCTCTTTTTGAAAATTATAGGACAATGTGTTATAAACCGAATTGCTATTCATGTAAAACTAATTAGATATGTTTTAATATGCTTTGATATTTGTTGTGTACATGTCTGAAAATTACTTTAAACTCTAGTTATTCGAATTTATGTATAAACTATTTTGCATATGATAAATTCGCACCCTGATCTCTAATCGTTCTCCTTAAATCTATTTAATTGAAATATTTTGTTATTATTACTAACATTAGGTGGAAAAAATAATCAAAACAGCCAAGAGCTATTTTCCACCTAATTGCTTTATACTTGTACTGTTAATATAATCATCAATTTTGTGATTGTAAACTCTATCTGTATACAGATACATTTATTTTAGCAATAAACGTTATCTTATCTTATCTTATCTTACTGAGAAAGCTGTAATCTGTAAGAGTTTCGTCTGCTATGTTCACATTTTGTTTGTTTATGTTTTGACTGCAAACAGTTGTACTCAGTAAAACATCTTTAGAATCTTTTTACAATCTCATAAAATAAATCCTAGCAGACATAATAATATTAAGGCTTTTGAAATTAGGTATTACAATGCTAATTCATAACAAAGACGATATCGAATTCGTCACTGAATTCCCATGTTTTTTGGGACACCCTGTATAGTACTAACCTCAGGAGTTCACCAACCAAAGACAAACTAAATTAATCCAGTATGTTTTGAATATATTCTCTTCAGAAATGTGCAATTTGTTCTCTATTTGTTTTTCATAGAAGGTAAAATAAGGATAATATCACTTTTCAACATTATAAATATATACAGGGTTATCCACAAAGGATGAAACTTCAGCGACGATTGTACGGATTTGTTTAGTCCGTTTTCTTACTTTCAGATCTTCCTTGTCGGCCCAAACTGGTTTATTTCTGTGCTTAATCATTTAGCTATACTAAATTGAATGTAGAAACCAAAAATCAAACTTTAAATTATCATATCAATTTAGAGTTGTGGGTCGTCTTTACTGTCTCATTCTATGTGGTTAACACTGAATGAATAAGATTTTTTATAAATTTTCAAAACATTTGTTTAACAAAGCTTTATCTAACTCATTGAAATTTGTCTTTTGTTTTTACAACTTCAGTCATTATACAAAATATGTAATTATTTAATCATTTAGTAGAATTCCTCCAATCAAAGAACAGAATTATATATTTATGAACAGAATGCTACTCTCTTATTGGCTGTTTCAAAACAAGTAACAAAAGAAAAAAGGGAGAGTTGCTAAAAAAAAAATTTACGTAACGACCCAAGTGTCCTATTAAACATGGTAATTAGTAAAAACTAAATAGAGTTTTAGACCCCCTAATATACAGTTAGCCCTTAAAACTGAGGCATTAGAAGACGACTTTAAGAATCAATTTTTAATAATAAATAGTCAATGATAACATAGAACACAGCAATTGTACAGTTTGCACTGAACATTGAACTAAATAAATGATTTTAAAATACATCAAATCACTTAAACACTGCTTTGATATCGTCCTAAAATTCCACAGTTTTCTGGTTTTCACTGTATCTAACAAATGTGACATTCTTCAATGTTTTTAAAGGATGTTTAATCACTTTTTGGGTATTGTTTTAGTATATCTGCTGGCAGCAGAATATATCATCAGAGATGTTTTAACTGTTTTATCTGCAAAAAGGTAATTATCATTTTTATAACACAGCACAGATGGAAAGTATGCAATACAGTGGCCATCAGATACAATACTGTAGATGGGATATAAATGAATATATTGCCTAGAACCTAGAGTGTGTAGAGTATACTGTAGATGGGATATAAATGAATATATTGCCTAGAACCTAGAGTGTGTAGAGTATACTGTAGATGAGGAAAATAATCTCTACTGTATTGAGGACTTCTACCAGGTTATTAACCAACGAATCAATCAATCAATCAAACAATCAATCAATCAACGAGTCAATCAATCAACCAATCAATCAATCATTTTAACAATTATTGAATTATTCAAATATTTCAATCCTTAAATCCAATATTAAAAAAATAAATAAATTCTTTAAAGGATAAAAAGCACCAATTAATTAATCAAGCAAGCAGTCTCTCAATTAAACATTTAATAGATTAATAATTAAATAATCAAATAATCAAATAATCAAATAATCAAAAAATCAAATAGCCAAACAGTCAATCAAATAAATATTTATTTTTGTAATTTTCTTTTTATTCCTTACTAAGAATTTTTTATGGACAGGATGCTGAATATTTTTTTAGAATATAATATTGTCTAATTTAACGAGAATTTGAAACTTTTAAATGAAGAAATAAGCTTAAAATATTTCTGGTGATATACAAACCTTTCTTTTTTTTATTTAAACAGTTTTTCTCATTTGTCAAAGTAAATTTTGATGAAAATTTTTATTTTTTTTATTTTGTTAATTGTAGGTTTTTTCCCCACGTTGTTCAAAATGTTTCCATAGAATCCTTCCTGTTCAAGATACTAATATTACAATAAGGTGAATGATTTATCTTCAAGCAATAAACATATTTATCATATTTATGCACTGAAAAGTTTAGATCAAGCAAAGTGAAAGTTTACAATTTCATTGTCAAGACTTAGAATTTATGATTATGATTTCTCATCATTTCCAAAGAATAGTTTCCAAAATTTGGTTGTAAGCAATTTACCCATTCTCGTATTAGCATTCATAAAAATTACAAAATTCTTAAATTTTCAATATATTTGATTTTTAATCCTAATCCGCACTAAGCTAGGTTCTAGAGCCAAAAATTGTGCTGAAGTATTGCATTCATACTTTTAAGTGATTTTCTTTTATACAAATTATGTTCAGACAAACTAATAATGAATTTAAAATCACACTGCAACATGTGTATATAGTTCTCATTGCAGAGTAGTTTTCTCATATCAAAATTATAGATAATTCTTGCATCCATTCCTTATAATTCTTGCATACATTCCTTATAATTCTTGCATACATTCCTTATAATTCTTGCATACATTCCTTATAATTCTTGCATACATTCCTTATAATTCTTGCATACATTCCTTATAATTCTTGCATACATTCCTTATAATTCTTGCATACATTCCTTATAATTCTTGCATACTCGTTATTATGCTCTGGTAAATAGCGTTCAACTATTCTTTTCCTTCTCATAATTAATTTTAACTTTTTAAAAATTTTCTGTGAATCAAGAACGATTGCTGTTTACTGTGTTTAATGACGAAGAGATAAAAAAGCCAATAATAATGAAAATATTTCCAGGGTTAGATCAGATCAATCAGATTTCCACATGAACTGCTTCAGGTTATCCATTATCATGATCTCTGTAAACTCTGTCAACATATAGAAGTAAATTTAATCATAGCCTGTGTCTGCTATTTTTGTACTGTTCTGTGATAAACTGTACTGTACTATACTATACTATACAATAATGTACTATCCTGTACTGTACTATACTGTAATGTACTATACTGTACTGTACTGTACTATACTGTACTGTAATGTACTGTACTATACTGTACTGTAATGTACTATACTGTACAATATTGTACTGTACTATACTGTACAATATTGTACTGTACTGTACTATACTGTACTGTACTATACTATACTGTACTGTACTATACTGTACTGTACTGTACTGTACTGTACTGTACTGTACTGTACTGTACTGTACTGTACTGTACTGTACTGTACTATACTGTACTGTACTGTACTGTACTATACTGTACTGTACTATACTGTACTGTACTGTACTACACTGTACTGTAATATACTGTACTGAACTTTATTGCACTATATTGTGCTGTCTTGTATTGTTCTATACTGAACTTACTACACTGAGCTGTGCTGTACTGAACTGCACTATACGGTAATTTACTTTACTGCACTACACTATTCTGTACTGAACTGCATTAAACTGTCATGTACTTTACTTTATTTTACCACCGTTTATTGTACTTTACTATACTTTACCATGCTTTACAGATATGTACTGTACTTCACTGTATTGTACTTACTGTACGTTACTGTACGTTATTGTATTCTACTTAATGTACGTTACTGTATTGTCTTAATGTACGTTACTGTAACGTACTTACTGAAAGTTACTCTACTGTACTGTATTGTTTAGATGTGATGATTGTTGTACACCACTTTCTGATCAGGCGGGTCGGGAATGTTTTCCTATTGGGTCAAGTTTACTTTGCCAGGTTCCCTTTATTTCCTATTGGGTCAAGTTTACTTTTTCAGGTTCCCTTTATTTCCTATTGGGTCAAGTTTACTTTGTCAGGTTCCCTTTATTTCCTATTGGGTCAAGTTTACTTTTTCAGGTTCCCTTTATTTCCTATTGGGTCAAGTTTACCTTGCCAGGTTCCCTTTATTTCCTATTGGGTCAAGTTTACTTTGTCAGGTTCCCTTTATTTCCTATTGGGTCAAGTTTACCTTGCCAGGTTCCCTTTATTTCCTATTGGGTCAAGTTTACTTTTTCCGAGGTCGAAATTAATGAATAGCAAGATGTAGTTGAACTGAGTGCAGAGAGTTTAAGGTTGAGATGTTTTATATTTCCTTTTTATGTTCGTGTTTGAAGGAATTAAACTTTGTTCAATGTCTACTGAGAAGATTGTAGTGAGCAGTGACTTCAACGCATGAAAACGGTGGAGTTCTGATTATTTTGTTTAGGATTGTCACGTGAAGAGAATATCTAGAGAGAAACCTGGAGTCGTCAAAATATTAAACTAAATATTTCTAAGTAATCCGTGTAAAACAGTATTTAGTACTGTAGGTTTTGAGTTTCTAATTTCTTCCGGATAAATTTGGATGATTTGGATCCGCACCAGGCCTTAGGAAAACTTTCAGGAAGCTGTTTAATAGTAAACAATTTAAAAATGTTGGAAATTAAGAGCGGAATGTTTCGTAACAGATTTTCAAATAAATCTACCTCTCATATGATATACAGAGCTTACGGATGATTATTTCACAAGGAATAATCGTCCCGTAAACTTTGTTCAGCATGTCACATCCAGCTCTGTTTAGCATCTAAGAGGTACATTTGTTTTTGATTTGTGGTTTTTCATTTTCTTTCTAACTTTAACCTCGTTGGTCAGGGATGATAGTTCTGTACACTTTAACCTCGTTGGTCAGGGATGATAGTTCTGTTCACTTTAACTTTGTTGGTCAGGGATGTTAGTTCTGTACACTTTAACCTCGTTGGTCAGGGATGATAGTTCTGTACACTTTAACCTCATTGGTCAGGGATGATAGTTCTGTACACTTTAACCTCGTTGGTCAGGGATGATAGTTCTGTACACTTTAACCTCGGTATAACTGTAAATATTGTAGAGAAGGGTGACAAACAAAAAAATTAAAGTCAGAATATCAAAGGTAAATAGGTTCTATGGGTAATGTCAACCCTTAGTATTGAAATGCAAAAAAAAAGTTTTTCTCTAACTTAATGAACTTAGGTGGAAGAGGTGTCGTAACAATCTTGATTTTTGTTAAGGATAGGGAGACAATTCGCTTTTTGTACAGGGTTACCCTCAGAGGATGATACATGTAAGGATTTTATACAAATTGGTTTTCTTACAAAGAAATTTTTTTTTCTTCTGGTAACCCTGTATATATATAATATATATCTATATATTTAGCACAGGGTTCATATCTATCTGTTTAGTACAAAATATTCCAACATCTTTATATTTCAATATATCTATCTAAAAAACTTGGAAAAGTCCGTTTTTTCATTCAAAATTTTAGTGTGAAAATTTTGTTTTTTTTTACGCAACATAGATTTAAATCATTTACCTAAAATCTAATACGAAGAATCTGAGTGCTAAACACTGTAGAATATAAATATTCTATATTATATATTAAATATGTACTCCTTGTTTTACAACTATTTCGTGGTAATTTTAATTGTTAAATATTTCTTAAATCGAAAAAATATTGTAAAAGTTAAAAGTGAGTATTTTTAAAGTAAGGTTCAGAAAACAGTGGAATTCTAGTCGCATTTTACTTTTTAAAAATGTTTGATTGTTGTTAAAATTTGTATTTTGCAATTCAACCATTTCAAAACCCGAACAGACATTGCTTCATTTCTTAAGTGAAAGGAATAACGAAGACGACCTTCAACATTTTTCTAGTTATCACTGTATGTATTTAATCTAATAATCGAGGCAAACCAATTTGTGCTTTATTTCCATATATGAATGAAATGGCCAACATATTCAATCGCTTTTTTAACTTTTTTATGAAACTCCGTGAAAATGTGGAGAGCTTAACATACTTTATCATTATATTCTGCACAAGTTTGCATTACATTATGAAAAATATTTAAACATATAACACGAGTCTGAACTAAGGAAACCCAGTTATAAGTTTTCGAACTAGTCGAAATATCGCCAGGGCATCTGTCAAAGTAAAAATTTTACACAGTGCAATAAAAGTAAACTTCTAAACTAGAATTTTTAAAATATGTAAAATTTTGTTGATTTGTGAGGAGCCTGGAATTAAATCTTTTCTGCGATTAAGTTCTAATCTACAACCATTGATGTCGATATCTACCACGACACAACTTTTAGAATAATTTGCTAGATCCTTCAATTTTAGTTTGTACTGCCATTGGATACCAAAAAATTAATCATTTCATTTAGACAACAAAATATACAGATAACCCAACGTTCTATGTATGATATTTAATATGTATTCTGTAAACCATCAGACTATCGTTTGTAAAAATTTTAAATATCACAAAGTTAATTAAAAGTAGCAAGAGTTAATTTAGTTATTAACAATTTATGTAAAAGTTAAATTTAAAAACCATAATTTTATTAGAATTTTCTAATTTGTATCGACTCTGTAAATAAGTTTTATGAAAAGAATTTTAGATGAATTATACAAATAATTTCATAATAATATGTAATATGCCACATAAATTTAGAAAATTAGAAAATTTAGAAAAATTAGTACTGTTGTCAATATTCTAAAATGTGTAGGTTGATAAAAAAATCAGGAAAAGTAATTTTTCAGATAATTATGAAATAAAATGGGACTAATTGACACCGTCAAGGAATTATTGGAAAACGTTTAAAAATTCAGAAAATAAAATAATAAAAAATTTTACTTTCCATTATTTCAATTTAATACGAAAATAATTAAAATTATATTTTCCAATTTGGAAAACAGGCAATTTTAACCAGGCTCATATTCGGGGCACATGGAGCACTGGCTGTTTACAGGTTTAAGAATATAAGAATAATTATTATTCTTATTATTATTATTATTATTATTATTATTATTATTTTATTTCCAGAATAGTTACACTGAAAGATGATCCCTACTACTGGTATCTAGCTATAACTATTCTACTGCTTGGTTTTGAAGGAATATTTACACTTACAATAAAGGTTGTTTATCTACAGATTCAATGTGTTATAAAATGACCATTCTGAATTTTAAAAAATTGCTAAAACATCAATCATTCTACTTTATATTGTTCATAATCGTAAATAATAATAAATATTTTTAAAATGTTCAGGAAACTCAAGAATGGAAATTCTTCTGTCCAAGTGTGTTTCTTTACTTAACAAGGTATATTCATCTTTCTATATATATATATATATATATAATGAGTTGGTTGAGCTCTCTGGTCCCTATTTCATTGCCAAACCATCAGGATTTGATGGAGCAGTGGTTAGCGTGTTTGATTCATAATCTAAGGATTCATTGTTCACCCGTCAACTGCAAAAATCAAATCTAATGAATAGAGCCATACTGATAAGTCCTAATAGGACGAAACATTGTATCTATGGATATATATATATATATATATTTATATATTTATATAATGTAGTAATCACGGAAATGTTCTTAGCCTGGTTTAAAATTTCCAAATAGAGTTAAATAATTTCTAAGGAAAACTTTTTTCTGGCAAAGCTGGGTTCCCAAGCTATTATATACAGTTAAATACAGTGATCTCTAATAAATGTAGTGTATGTCCTGATGGCTGATTGTGAAGTGTATGTTCTGCTATATGGCTGATTGTGTAGTGTATGTCCTGATGGCTGATTGTGTAGTGTATGTCCTGCTAAATGGCTGATAGTGTAGTGTATGTCCTATTATATGGCTGATTGTGAAGTGTATGTCCAGCTAAATGGCTGATTGTGTAGTGTATGTCATACTATATGGCTGATTGTGTAGTGCATATCATGATATATGACTATATGGCTGATTGTGAAGTGTATGTTCTGCTAAATGGCTGATTGTGTAGTGTATGTCCTACTATATGGCTGATTGTGTAGTGTATGTCCTGCTATATGACTATATGGCTGGATTGTGAAGTGTATGTTCTGCTAAATGACTGATTGTGTAGTGTATGTCCTGCTATATGGTTGATTATGTAGTGTATGTCCTGCTATATGGCTGACTGTGTAGTGTATGTTCTGCTATATGGCTGAGTGTGTAGTGTATGTCCTGCTATATGGCTGATTGTGTAGTGTATGTCCTGCTATATGGCTGATAGAGCTGGACAAGCTGGACACGAGATTACAGCAGAAGGAGAGCAGAGAGATGTTGCTCAGTGGAAACTATTCTACTTTTTCTACACTTCTATCAGACGGTAAGATTAGTAGCAAACCAATGCAATGGTAGTAAAGAATTCGTAGAAAATTGTAGGAGTAATAAAAAGAAGATATTTTAGAAGTAGATTAGTTACCGACAAATTCTTGGGGATGCAGAACTCTACCTCTACAGTTTGGAGACCACCGTTTCCAGTTCCCGTTCTTACTGGCCTCCGTAGATAACAGACAGATCTAACATTTAAAAGAAATAACTTTTACCGTACTTTCTCCTGTTCTTTCCAGGATTCCTAGTTCGGATTTGAGGAGAAAATAGATCCTCTACAGAGACTAGATTTTAGAAGCTTAAATCCGAGTAAAACCCAAACTCGGGCTTAGATAGAACCCAAGTCAGGATTGGTTCTGATTCGACCAATGGGAGACTGTTTAGCAAGATTTCTCTTTGTAGCAGACAGAATGCCGTCAGATCAGCAGTGACAAAGAGATGTAAATTTCTAAAATTCAAACTTAATGCAGATACATTATTTTCATCGTATGTTTATTTCATATATTTAATGAAACTTGACACCTCAAATAATTCCCGAGATTTTAAATGATTAAAAGATTTTACGAAATTTTCGATCATCACCTGCTGAAGACTCGAGCCTTAAAGAGAAAAACCTAAGATGGTTGGTTTTTACTAAACTCAAGGCCATCCCCGGGTCTTGACGTGAGCTTTACTTGGGTCTAAGCAGACGCAAAGACCCGATTTTACTACTCGAGTTTAAGCTTTTAAAATCTTATCTCAGGAGTTCCCCCCAAGTCTCTAGATCCATTGGAGGTGGAGACTGATGTGGATTTGACATAGGATATAGAGATATAGATATAGGACAGGGTTGATTTGGGTTCCTTATGAGTAGTTGATTTTCCACCTCCTCACGTCATGGTCAACCTAAGTAAGGCTGGCCAGTGGCCATTTGAAGAGATTATTTGTAGTGATGGCTAGGCAGGATTGACTAAACCTGAAGAAAACTGGTTTCCAGAATATCTTTCAGTAGGTTTAAGTTTTTGAAGTGCTGAGGAAATCATTGATGAACAAGGGAGACCTGAGGTGCAGGACAAGCAACTAGTAAGGCATCCATGATATTAGATGATTTTCTATCAACAAGACCAGGCATTCAACGAACCATTTCTGCCTTTTCTAAATCTGTATAACTAAACTTCTTAAGGAGGCGGAATTTCAGGACTGTGTATCTGATTCTCCTCTGGAACATTTTCAAAGAAATCTTATAGCTTGACTGCTATCTAACCAGGAAGAGCTGCTACGACACAATGATATTTGGTTTGTTGTGCAGTGTTATTGCGGATGGCAAATTGAGATTCTGCTTGCTGAAACCATATTTTAGCACCATGAGCCCAGAACTGGGGCAGTTTAAGAGAAACTGATATCTGTCATTGTGCTTCATTGTCGGGGTCACCACTTTAGAAGTAGATTAGTTAAGACAGATCTAACATTTATTAGCAATATATTTGTAGGTAATAAACTATTATGCAGGAGAACATATTGATCCGATGCAGGTTCGAGAACTACTGGATTTCCAATAGCATATATCTTTTCCCGTATTTTCTCCTTTTCCTTCCAGGATTCCTATTTCTAATTCAGAGAGGACAGAGAGTTACTTTAAAAAATATTCATTCCTGTTTCGAAGATTTTTTTATAATGAAGACGACATTTTCATATTTTCCAGGAATGTTCGAAAATCCAGCGTCAGCAGTGAAAACAAATTGTAAGCGAAATATTAATTTTAAAAAAGTAATTTGAAATATCAAGTTTATAAGAATGCATCGAAAGGCATTCGGCAGTTGTGGATTGTAATATCTGAATGAGTAATTTTGAATTTATTTGAATAACTTACGATCTACACTCTTGGGTGTTAGCCGTTTTTAAGCATTTTCCCTCATTAGACGCAATTCAGATAGAAGTAAAATTAGTAGTGATCGAGATCAAATTCTATTCGACGTAAATCTATATCCCCTTTCATTTTTCGCGAAAACTCCCTTTAAGAGGAAAACAACACTTTTTAAAACTCTAGGTTTTGTTAAATGATACAGAATTGAATCCTTGTATTATCTCCAGGTATGGTTGATGATACAGAGGATAGAATTGGATTTAACTCAACCCTAAACACTACACTAGATCTGAATGTTCTCAAAGATGTCGGGGTAACTATTCTGTTAACATAATTGTATGGTAACATGGATTAATATTTAGATAAGGATATCAAATATTGTAAAAAAAATTGAGAAAAAAATAAAGAAACCAATTTATAACTAGGAACTTTTATTGCGATGAACTTGAGCCATAAAGCTGAACTCCTTAAACTCATCAAAAAATTTTGACTTTACAAGATTTATTTGTTAAAGAGCGAAACCTGTTTCATCGAAAATGTCAAATCCTTTTTGCCCCAGCAAAACATCATGCAGTGGAAAATTTGAAGCAACATTTGTAAAAGAAAAAAATTGAAAAAATCGAAACCCATTCAGTAATTAACGATTGAAAAAAAACAGCGATAAAAATGTCAATTTTTCAGTTTTTTTTCAAAGTATCAGTATCAAAAGATGCATCTTGAACCGCTAAATACCGCCAATTTCTCCGTCTTATTTAGGACTAAAACTAGTTTTTTTGACACTCCGACAAATATTAATAAAAAAACCCGGATTTCTAAACTCAGTGCATTCAACACGGTTATTTTGATACCCTTGATACACATATAATTTATAGTGATTTGAAAAAAAAAATTAAAATAAATCTGAATGAGTTTGAAAATTTTAAGAAAAATTCTTGAATCTTCTTTAAAAATGAGTCAAAGAAGACTGGCGGATTTGAGCAGCATTTTTATCATAAAAGTGTCAAATAGTTTCATCCTTGGTTGGGAATTGTATCAGCTGATTCGAGTTAAATCATTGCTACGAGCTTTGACAAATAAGAGACGTGTTAATGTTGAAAATGGTTCAACTGTTGTATGGTTTGTCGCAAATACAAGAAAGTTTAATTATTGAATACAGCAATAAAAAGGTCGAATTAGCAGACTCGTTTGAATGCATATAAAGCATTTATTTCAGAAACATTTTGGATTTTAACTATTTTCTATTCTTATTAGATTCCAGTTGATCTATCCAATATTCCAATACAGGTTAGAGCAGATATTTTCAAAATAAAAAATCTCAAGGTCTTTGCCACAAACATAGATTTTCTAATTCTAATATCTTTTCAATCTGAAGCTTTGAAGGTTCAAACTTATATTATTTGATTTTACAGAATTCATGGTTTGAAATATCTTGGTTGCAAATCTAGTTTGTGGCAAATACTCAATTCCATTAAAAATTGTCACTTAGGACTTTACACATTGAAAAGTTGATTTTACTCTGCTTTAAAAAAAATAAAAAAAATAATTTCAGGTTGATAATGATACATATTTCAGGTTGATAATGATACATATTTCAGGTTGATAATGATACATATTTCAGGTTGATAATGATACATTAGTTCTTATTATTGAACAGTTTCTTATGCTTATTCTCATTATCGGGAGATGGATGTTACCAAAGGTAAAAAATTTTAGAACGGAATTTTGATTTTTCTGGAAAAATTCAAAACAAATCTGCTTTTAAAGAAAACTGTAAACTGTAAACTGTAAACTGTAAACTGTAAACTGTAAACTGTAAACTGTAAACTGTAAACTGTAAACTGTAAACTGTAAACTGTAAACTGTAAACTGTAAACTGTAAACTGTAAACTGTAAAAGCTGTAAAAGACTGTAAACTGTAAACTGTAAACTGTAAACTGTAAACTGTAAACTGTAAACTGTAAACTGTAAACTGTAAACTGTAAACTGTAAACTGTAAACTGTAAAAGCTGTAAAAGCTGTAAACTGTAAACTGTAAACTGTAAACTGTACAATAAAGGGTAACCTGACTCGTGATGAGCTGGCTCAAATTCTTCTCTGCTATATTGGGACTGCTGCGGATATTATTGAATTCTTTGATTCATTTAAGGTAAAAATATCTTAAACTTCTCCGGGTTAGTAGTTAGCATATACTATATGAATGAATGAATGAATGTCTAGGATGACAAGGTGAATACAAACAAGGTATTGTGTGTGGCTGTCCTGTCTATCTGGTCCTGGTCTTTGATGCAGTTCACCTTCGTCATCACCTCCTCCAAGGTCAGGTTTAAAGGGACAGTTTACGAAGTTTTAAAAACTTCAACAAACAAATCTCAAATCACGGTGATAACAAGGTTGGAGGATCGGGCATTATATTTGCATTAAATAAAAACCTTTTTATCTTTGGTTAATTTTTCAACCTTCACAGTTTGCAGTTAAAAAAAAGTAGAAAAACAGATTTTAAAATGACATTTTTTTCAACGAAACTAACAGGTGCACAAGTGATCAATTCAAAATCAATGAAAAAAAAGGATTAAAAGAACTGCAGACGTAGTTTTTTAATGATGGAATACTCCTTAATTTAAAACGATATCCTTCACACACTTATCTGAACAACATTGTTGAAGATATTGTCATTTTTATATCTTATTTATCGCATTAAATTCGGTCAATCTATATCCATAACTATGTCGAATTAGTTGATAAGCATTGTATGGATCAGTGCAGCCGAAACTACGGGAACAGTCCCTTTATGTAATTTTCTATTCCAGGAGAAACCTATAGACCTAAATGCATCGGCTTGTGAGAAAGCAAAGCAGATTTGTTGTAATGTTGATGTCTGGGGGATTCTTATAAATATCATACTTCAGGTACATATGTATAATATATATCAGTCCTATTAATAAAGTGGTTTGATGTCGTCTTTTTTTCAAGTTTAGAGTTTTGTATTTTCGCACTTTTAGGTTTTCGATATTCATATTAATCTTTTTAATTTGGTAGCTTTGCAACAGTGTGAAAACGAATCCCATTCGATTCAGCCGTTTTTAAGTTTTTAGTTATTAAAAATCTAACATCCAAAACAAATACCCATGAGTCCTATTGTTGCTGTACCAGTACAAGGATATACCGGTATAGTGTAATTATGCTGCATACACAGTAAACCCAGTATGTAGTGAACCCAGTGCATTTTATGCAACAAATGTAGGCTGGCAGGATTTATTTAAATATGCATACATTTTCTGATTAAACTTTGTTGTTGTAAAGGATGCTCCTTTCTTTGTATTCCGCTTGCTGTTAATCACCTACTACAAGCTCATCTCCTACATGAACATATTCTTCATCTGTAAGAACACCTTGGTCATCACATTACAGGTTTAAACAATTCATGTTTAAAAACGGATCCGGAAATCTAAAAAAATAAAATTGAAATTAAATGATTATCTTATGATTTTTAAAATGTGCAGCCTGCCAATTGTGCACTGTTTAAAGAAAGAAATTTGTAAACAATACCATTCTATATTGACATAACAAATTACTGAATATCTTCAGGCATTTAAAAAATCCAAAGAATGTAGAGGTAGTGTATTGACCACACTTTGGAGAGCTCAATATTGTGGAAACTTTGTTTTTGACTAAATAATATTGGACAACCTTACAATAACTAATTAAATATTATTATTTTAGTTCTACCGGCTGTTTGTTGTTCAGCTGGAAGCAGCTGAGGCAGCTGCTAAGGAAGCTGAAGGACAGAAAGGAAGATTATCTAAGAAGGGAACAGTAGGAGGGAAAGGGTAACATTTATTCATATTTTTAAAAAGTTTTTTTTTTAAATGAGATCTATTAAAAAGAAAAGTACCACCTCCGTAATTTATTCTGTCCCTTCCTTACAGATGAAAAGTGACTTGAATGCTACAAAAATTTATCTATGTATTGAGACCTGAGAACTTAAATAAATCTCTGCATTTTCTTGTTTGCCTGAGACGCATGCTAAATTTCAGATCACTAAAAAACAAAATATTTTAAAATATTAAGTTGTGGAGTTGGAACAGCAAGCATAAAAGAGAATATTATTAGAAGTAGAGTAGAGTCTGAAAGGTGAGTCGATTTATCAAAAAATCTAAACCGTAATTCTTTAGTTCTTGTACATTTTTGTTAAAAATTACTTTCTTTGTGCTGTTATTCTGACAACTTAATGCATTTTATATGGTGTCAGGTATTTTGTCAATAGCATTTTTTCCAAGGGCGACTTCGAAAGCAGCAACTTTCCTAAGGTTGGCCGGGTTAGGCCTTCTGATTCACCACAGGTTGCAGGGGGCCGAGTGCTGCGGCTAGTACAGAATTTGGATCTAGCCACTTGGGATATTGCACATTTGAGAAGTTACCACTTGGGAAAATACCCTTGGGAAGTTGCCGGTTGGGAATATACCTTAGAGAGAATACCTAACATCTTCTTTATTTACTTTAGGAATACAAGGAACCGTAGTGGGAGAGGATTCAAGGGTAGGAGGGAGAGTGAGAGAACTAAAGGAGAATATACAAGGGTAGAAACAGATAAAACCATCAGACTCAAGGAGGACGGTTCAAGAAGAAGAGAGAACGGTTCAAGAAGAAGAGAGGACGGATCAAGAAGGAGGGAGGAGGGATCAAGAAGGTTGAGGGATGAAAGCAGCAGATCTAGACAAGGTAGCTCGTCCAGGAGTAAGGGAGGTCAGTAACTCTAAAATTCTTCAAATAATTATAAAAATATTTATCCGACAAATATCAGGAGTTGTAAGAAGATTGGAGCGAGGTAGATCTAGAGGGTTGGATTCAACCAGAACTCTTTCTGAAGGATCATTCTATAGTAATCCTATAGAGTCCAGAGGTTAGTATACAGTATCCAGTATAGACTAGAGTTTATTTTCCAGTATCCAGTATACACTATAGTTCATTATCCAGTATCCAGTATACACTAGAGGTTAGTATTCAGTATCTAGTATAGACTAGAGTTTAATATCCAGTATCCAGTATACACTAGAGGTTAGTATCCAGTATCCAGTATAGACTAGAGTTTATTATTCAGTATCCAGTATCTAGTATAGGCTAGAGTTTATTATCCAGTATCCAGTATACACTAGAGGTTAGTATCCAGTATAAACTAGAGTTTATTATTCAGTATCCAGTATACACTAGAGGTTAGTATCCAGTATAGACTAGAGTTTATTATCCAGTTTCCAGTATACACTAGAGGTTAGTATCCAGTATCTAGTATAAACTAGAGTTTATTATTCAGTATCCAGTATACACTAGAGTTTATTATCCAGTATCCAGTATCCAGTATACACTAGAGGTTAGTATCCAGTATCTAGTATAGACTAGAGTTTATTATCCAGTATCCGTTATACACTAGAGGTTAGTATTCAGTATCTAGTATAGACTAGAGTTTATTTTTCAGTATCCAATATACACTAGAGGTTAGTATCCAGTATCTAGTATAAACTATAGGTTAGCATCCAGTATCCAGTATACACTAGAGGTTAGTATCCAGTATAGGTTAGAATCCAGTATCCAGTATAGACTAGAGTTTATTATCCAGTATCCAGTATACACTAGAGGTTAGTATCCAGTATCCAGTATAGACTAGAGTTTATTATCCAGTATCCAGTATACACTAGAGGTTAGTATCCAGTATCCAGTATAGACTAGAGCTTATTATCCAGTATCCAGTATACACTAGAGGTTAGTATCCAGTATATAGTATAAACTATAGGTTAGCATCCAGTATCCAGTTTCCAGTATATACTAGAGTAATTATCCAGTATCCAGTATAAACTAGAGGTTAGTATCCAGTATCCAATATCCAGAGGCCGAATTTAAAGAATTTGAGTCGCGGCTTAAATTTGAGACGCAGTTCAAATATGGTTGGGTTGGTTCCACTTAAAATTGTATTCAAGGTTTCAAGATCTTAGGCGGCGCTTGATTGAAACTGATTTTTAGTGGATTTGAGACGCGACTCAAATTCATTAAATTCGGACTCAGTATACACTAGAGGTAAGTATCCAGTATCCACTATAAACTAGAGGTTAGTATCAGTATTCAGCATACACTAGAGGTTACTATCCAATATACACTAGAGGTTAGAATCCAGTATCCAGTATACACTAGAGGTTAGTATCCATTATCCAGTATAAACTAGTTTAGTATCCAGTATCTAGTATACACTGGAGGTTAGTATCCAGTATCTAGTATACACTAGAGGTTAGTATCCAGTATCTAGTATACATTAGAGGTTAGTATCCAGTATCCAGTATAAACTAGAGTTTAGTATCCAGTATCTAGAGTAAAGTATTCAGTTTAAACTAGAGTTTAGTATCCAGTATCTAGAGTAAAGTATCCAGTATAAACTAGAGCTTAGTATCCAGTATCTAGAGTAAAGTATCCAGTTTAAACTAGAGTTTAGTATCCAGTATCTAGACTAAAGTATCCAGTATAAATTAGAGTTTAGTATCCAGTATCTAGACTAAAGTATCCAGTATAAACTAGAGTTTAGTATACAGTATCTAGAGTAAAGTATCCAGTTTACACTAAAGTTTAGTATCCAGTATCTGGAGTAAAGTATCCAGTATAAACTAGAGTTTAGTATCCAGTATCTAGAGTTTAGTATCCAGTATCTAGAGTAAAGTATCCAGTATAAACTAGAGTTTAGTATCCAGTATCTGGAGTAAAGTATCCAGTATCTAGAGTAAAGTATCCAGTATCTAGAGTAAAGTATCCAGTATCTAGAGTAAAGTATCCAGTATCTAGAGTAAAGTATCCAGTATCTAGAGTAAAGTATCCAGTATCTAGAGTAAAGTATCCAGTATCTAGANCCCGGCCCCTCCCTGAGAAAGATAAAAAATTCAATTAAGGGTTGCTGTACTTAGCAGCGGGTTGAGGTGTAATGTTCCAATAAAGATATGATGAGATTTCTCCCTTTCTTCATAATATTCATTCATTCATTCATTATTCTAGTTTTATCCTTGTACTTTACATTTATTCATTCATTCATTATTCTAGTTTTATCCTTGTACTTTATAATATTCATTCATTCATTCATTCATTCATTCATTCATCTATTCATTTATTCATCCTTTCATTCATTATTCTAGTTTTATCCTTGTATTTTATGATATTCATTCATTCATTCATTCATCCATTCAATCATTATTCTAGTTTTATCCTTGTACTTTATAATTTTCATGCATTCATTCATTCATTTATTCATTCATTTTATAATTAACCTATTCTTTCATTTATTATTCTTGTTTTATCTGTGTACTTCAGAAAATTTAATCATTCTTTCATTCATTTTTCTAGTAAAATCTAAGTAGTTAAGAGTATTAATTAATTTTTTTATTTATTCATTATTCTACCCGCAATCGCATATATTTATTTACTTAAGTTCTATTTATATTTTTTAATATATGAACTTGGTTTGGTTTTTTTATCGTTAACATGATAAAAGATTGAGATTAAGATTTACAAATTCACAAAACTTTCAAATTCTTTTTTGTTGTTGTTAAGGTTACCTACTGCATGGGGAACCAGATTCTAGACTTGTTTTAAAGGACTCACAATGGACTTACAGGAAGGTGGGTTGTAAATGTAGAACATGATTTTAACTATTTTTACTCAAACCTTTTGTATGTACAAGATAACCTGTACAGTGTACATGATAGCCTATACAGTGTACATGATAACCTGTACAGTGTACATGATAACCTGTACAGTGTACATGATAACCTGCACAGTGTACATGATAACCTGTACAGTGTACATGATATTCATTACAGTGTATATGCTAACCTGCACAGTGTACATGATAACCTGTATAGTGTATATGCTAATCTGTACAGTGAACATGCTAACCTGTACAGTGTACATGATAACCTGTACAGTGTACATGATAACCTATACAGTGTATATGCTAACCTGTACAGTGTACATGATAACCTGTACAGTGTATATGCTAACCTGTACAGTGTACATGATAACCTGTACAGTGTACATGATAACCTGTACAGTGTACATGATAACCTGTACAGTGTACATGATAACCTGTACAGTGTACACGATAACCTGTACAGTGTATATGCTAATCTGTACAGTTTACAATGTAACCAGTACGGTGTAAAAGATAACCTGTACAGTGTACAGTATAAAAAAATACCTGTACGTACAAGATAACCTGTAAAGTGTACAAGAAAAACTGTAAAGTGTACAATATACCCTGTAAAGTGTACAAGATAACTTGTACAATGTTCAAGATACCCTGTACAGTGTACAAGATAACCCTTAAAGTGTACAAGATACCCTGTACAGTGTAAAAGATACCCTGTACAGTGTACAAGATACCCTATACAGTGTTCAAGATACCCTATACAATGTTCAAGATACCCTGTACAGTGTACACTATTCAGGGCGAGATGAGAAGAAGTAAACATAAAGCAGACAGAAACCAAACTGAGGTATTTTACTATACATAATATAATGTATTTTTTAAAGTAAATCTTTCTATATCTATTTATCCACTATCTAGAATTAGGGTTTCCAACGCAAGTGGATTTTACTTGCGCGCAATTGCAAGCCCTTGCGCGCAAGTGAATTTAATTGCCCGCAATTCCGTAATAATTGCGCGCAAATAAAAGCAACGGAATTGAGCCCAACTTTCTTGCGTCGCGTTTGTGTTTCAATTTTTTGATAAAATTCAATTTAAACCTTATGGCACGCAATAAATGCAATTAATTATTGCGCAATTCCTTTCATTATTGGCATACAATAAACTGAACTTCACTAACATTTCAATCTCAAATGCTAAGAAAATTGAATTTAAACGTATTCTTTTGTTTTAAAATATTCATGTACAGCATGATAACCAGAAAACTCTGGCATAGGAAGACGACAGTTTAGACTCAAGCAGACCCATGTAACTGAATGGGTGATTTTATAAATTACTAATTATTTTTGTTTGACTTGTATCTACATCAAATACACTGTGATGTCTTTCTGTACCATAGTTTTCTGGTTCTCACTTTAGCAAAATATCTAATTTTGATTAAACGAACCTTACAATTTTAACCAAGAAAAGTTTCCATTTTAATGTTTATCCAATTTGAACAAATGAAAAATGTATCGTATTAATTTGTTAATTATTAGCTTAACCACAAAAGACTTTAAAATTTGAAAACTGTTGAAATAAGTGACACTCGGGCCTCGATTATTTTAAATCAACAGAGATATTTAATTCCATTCTTGTATCTGCTGCATAAATTTGTAAGTCGAACAGTTAAAATTATTGATTTTAGATAGAAAAGCTATTCCGCGAATATGTAATTGCTTCCTTTTTCACAATTATAGCGCAATTGCGTGCAATGAAAAAGCGCAAACGTAAGCAACCATTGCGCGCAACGGAATTCCGATTGGAAACCCTATCTAGAATATAGATGGTATAATCCATCTATCTATATATATCTATATATTTATCTATCTAGAATGTAGATGGTATAATCCATCTAGAAGATGAATATCTCGACTCCCAAGATACAGAGGATGAAGACACACTAAAAGGGAATTTTTCAAACAAAAAATAAAAAAAATATTTAAGAAAGTCCGAACCCTAGGTTAAACAAAAGTTTTATCGAATATATTTACCAATTTCTTGTTTGGAAAATTTCAGATTTTAAAACCAGCATTTTTTCTCCAGATGAACTCTCCATGCTTAAAAGGAAATTATCGTGAAAAAGTTTAATGAAGTCATAAACCTGTAAACTGGTTTCTTGCTTTAGCAAATCATTTAATATTTCTTTAAAAGACTTTATTTAAGGCATAAGCTTTTCCTCAAACCTCAGATGCCAGATTAAAAGATCGTTAGGTCGTCATTAAAGGGAGTGTTCGCGAAAAATGAAAGGGGGTATAAGCCTACGGCGATAAATAATCGCTTCTAATTTTACTTCTCTCTGTTGCGTCTATTTGGAGAAAATTGTTAAAAACGTCTCAAACCGAAGAACGCATTGTCCATACAAATTGAGGAAGTTGGAAAATCAAACAAATCATTTTGATATTAAATCCTGAAGTCATCGATAATTTTTCAATGCAATTGTATATAGTAAATATTTACCAATATTTTTTATTTTTTCAAATTAATATTTCGCTTAAAACTTGTTTTCACGACTGGCACATTCCCGTAAAATATGGAACATGTCGTCTTCATTATAAAAATCCTCAAAACAGGAATGTATGTTTTCAAAAGTAACTCTTGGATCATAAAAAGTAAAAAATATTATGAAATATCAACTATATACGACTGTAGGTTGTAATATCTGAATGCTTTGTTTGGAATCAAATTGATTTTGTAACGATCTAAGTCGTATGTTTAAACTTTCTCAATTTGTAAGGAATCTATGTGCGTTGTTTGAAATTAAATTGTTTTTGTTACGATCCGAGTCGTACGTTGCAACTTTCTCATTTTGTAAGGAATTTACGTGCTTTTTATGGAATTAAATTGATTTTGTTACGATCCGAGTCGTATGTTGCAACTTTCTCATTTTGTAAGGAATCTGTGTTCTTCGGTATGAGACGTTTTTAACAATTTTCTTCTTATAGACGCAACAGATAAAAGTTTAAGATTAGTAGCGATCAAAAGCGATTATTTAGCCTATACCCCCTTTCATTTTTCGAGAAAACTCCCTTTAAAGTCTCATCTTTTTTAGGTATAAAACCAAAGTGATTAAATTTAATCACTTTGGTATAAAACAAGAAATGGTCACGGTACATTAATAATTGAATTTAAAGTTAAAAGTGACATAAAATAAGTCAGATGAATTATTTTGGTAAAAAAAACGTTAAGTCAGGTTAACACATGTTGAACTGTAAAATAATGATAATAATTAAAATAAAGACCCGAAAAAGATGGCTCCGAAGAAACTGATACTGATCCTCTTCTCATGCTCAATGGTAAACAAATAAATGTGTACGGTTTGTAACTAGTAAATAGTAGAATTATTGATGGCGTATTAAAAAATGTAAACAAACCAATGTGTTCGGTATGTAACCAGAAAATAGTAGAATTATTGATGTTGTATTAAAAAATGTAAACAAACCAATGTGTATGGTATGTAACCAGAAAATAGTAGAATTATTGAAGTCGTATTAAAAAATGTAAACAAACCAATGTGTACGGTATGTAACTAGTAACTAGTAGAATTATTGATGGCGTATTAAAAAATGTAAACAAACCAATGTGTACGGTATGTAACCAGAAAATAGTAGAATTATTGATGTTGGCTTTCATTATATTAAAAAATGCAACTACTAAGTTTGTAAATATAGTTTATTTTCATAAACGTACATTTTTAGACTTACAAATAAAAAATCCTTGGCGATATTTCTTAATCAAAAGAAAGGTAGACGACGGGAATAACTTCCAGCTAGGGCTGGACGTTGTTCTTATTAGAACAATCGTTCTTTCATAAGAACGAACGGAACTATCAAGTACGATCCCATCGTTCCGAAAAAAAGAACGAAACACAAAGAACGCATTCTTAAAAATATTGGAAGGGAACACAGAAGAACGGAACGGAACGAATATTAGCTTAAAAGAACTTATTCTTATTATCAAGAACTCGTTATAATTCAGGAATGCATTTTAATGAGGAATGTGTTCTAAATCATCTAGAAATAATTAAAAGACCCCCCCCCCTTCTCCTGCCTCCCTCTCTCGGGAGGGAGGGGAGATTTAGGTTGAAAGAAATTGTTTTCTATAATTTATTTATATATCTTTTTAATATTATTAAAATATTGATTATGAAAAATAAGTATTTTTTTAAATCGAATTGTGCACCCCCCCCTTTTTTAGATAAACCTGGATTTCAGTACTTACACGCATCATACATTTTCAGGATTTATGACCCCCGCCCCTCTCCCAGCTTCACAAAAAATATACATTTTTACTATTTTAACAACCTCTTTTCTATAAAACTTTTGTCTGGGACACCTCTAAAGTAAACCCCCCCCCTCCCCCCTCCTATCTTCTTGACTAAGAACGGAACGGGGGATGGAACCGTTCTTTGACTAAGAACACCAAGAACGGAACAGAACAGGATATTTGTTCTTAGACTAAGAACGGAACGGAACGACAACGGAACAATTGGAAAAAAAGGAACGAGAACAGAACGATCTAGCTTAAGGCGCACGTTCTAGAACGGAATGGAACGATTAAAAAAGTAGGAACGTGCCCAGTCTTACTTCCAGCGTTTTCTGGTTACAATCGTACCATACTTTATCTTAGAGTTGGCGTCCCTAGGACAAAGATATCATTAAAAACCAAATTATGATTTTTTTTTCAAACTCTGTGAATAATGCATTCTAAAGAGCAAAAATAAATCATGATACTTTACCTAATATTTTTAAATTATCTTTCGAGTTGTTTTGAATTCATCAACGAATCTTATTATCAAAATTCTAGGATTTCTAAAATGTTGTCTGTCTTTTTCAGAATAATCTGAACTTTTCCGAAATAATATAGATTAGTGTAATCACTGTCCTTTATATAGAAAACGATAGTGGACCCTATTTGAAAAGCTCTGATTGCGGTTAATATGTTTTTCATTTAATTAAACGTTGTCTGTTATCAACTGTGAAATATTAAAAACTACTTTAATACTGTAATCTAATCTAATCTAATCTAATCTAATCTAATCTAATCTAATCTAATCTAATCTAATCTAATCTAATCTAATCTAATCTAATCTAATCTAATCTAATCTAATCTAATCTAATCTAATCCCATTATATTTACAGCGCAAGGATCGCAGGACTCTAAAGCATTAAAACGGCAAAGAAGGTAAATTCTATTTCACGTTGTATTGAAAACCTATGAATTATGTTTGAGATGTGAATCATATACTAGACAAAGATTATACCTCAAGTATTACTGTATCTGTGACTGTGCTCCCCCTATCTCTTTCTGTATCCCTTGTACCTCTAACCGTATCTCATGTATCCCTGTTCTCTAGCTGAATCTCATGTAACTCTGAGTGAATCCCCTATATATATCTCTTAATGTATCTCTTGTATCTCTATCTGTATCCCCAGTATCCCTTGTATCTCTGACTGTATCCCCTGTATCCCTTGTATCTCTGACTGTATCCCCTGTATCCCTTGTATCTCTGACTGTATCCTCTGTATCTCTGTATTTCTGACTGTATCCCCTGTATCCCTGTATCTCTAACTGTGTCCCCTGTATCCCTGAATCTCTGACTGTATCCCTTGAATAAAATGAGTATAATTGATGATATATTAACATAAAATGAAAATATCTAGATAAAAGCCCACTAACCTACCACAATTATGCTAAATATATATTTTAACCTTCTACTCGTCCTTTAACACCTTCAGTATACAGTACACTATACTTCAGGGGGATACTTATACTCGTCCTTTAATATCTCAAGTGTATACTTTACTTCAGGGGGATACTTAAACTCGTCCTTTAACATCTCTAGTATACACTATACTTCAGGGGAATACTTTAACTCGTCCTTTAACATCTCTAGTATACACTATACTTCAGGGGGATACTTATACTCGTCCTTTAACATCTATAGTATACACTATACTTCAGGGGGATACTTATACTCATCCTTTAATATCTCTAGTATACACTATACTTCAGGGGAATACTTATACTCGTCCTTTAATATCTCTAGTATACACTATACTTCAGGGGGATACTTATACTCGTCCTTTAATATCTATAGTATACACTTTACTTCAGGGGGATACTTAAACTCGTCCTTTAACATCTCTAGTATACACTATACTTCAGGGGAATACTTTAACTCGTCCTTTAACATCTCTAGTATACACTATACTTCAGGGGGATACTTATACTCGCATCTCTAGTATACACTATACTTCAGGGGGATACTCACACTCGTCCTTTAACATCTCTAGTATACACTATACTTCAGGGGGATACTTATACTCGTTCTTTAACATCTCTAGTATACACTTTACTTCTATACACTAGGAATCAAATAGAAAAAAATACTTCCCTTATTGGAAGAATAAACTTTTTTGATATTATCTATACAATAATGTGATAATTTTAGACTTCTTAACTCTGGATCAAAGGGAAGCTGTGGGTCAGGTTCTGGTTCACAGGAGACTACTCCCAGGTATATCATGTTCTCCAGGGTAGCTAGGAATCAGGTTCAGGATACCAGGAGACTACTCCCAGGTATATCATGTTATCCAGGGTAGCTAGGAATCAGGTTCAGGATACCAGGAGACTACTCCCAGCTATATCATGTTATCCAGGGAAGCTAGGAATCAGGTTCAGGATACTAGGAGACTACTCCCAGGTATATCATGTTCTCCAGGATATCTAGGAATCAGGTTCAGGATACTAGGAGACTACTCCCAGGTATATCATGTTATTCAGGGTAGCTAGGGATCAGGTTCAGGATACCAGGAGACTACTCCCAGCTATATCATGTTATCCAGGGTAGCTAGGAATCAGGTTCAGGATACTAGGAGACTACTCCCAGGTATATAATGTTCTCCAGGATATCTAGGAATCAGGTTCAGTATACCAGGAGACTATACTCCCAGGTATATCATGTTATCCAAGGTAGCTAGGGATCAGGTTCAGGATACCAGGTGACTACTCCCAGATATATCATGTTATCCAGGGTAGCTAGGAATCAGGTTCAGGATACTAGGAGACTACTCCCAATTTATCATGTTCTCCAGGATATCTAGGAATCAGGTTCAGGATACCAGGAGACTACTCCCAGGTATATCATGTTCTCATGGGTAGCTAGGAATCAGGATCAGGATACCAGGAGACTACTCCCAGATATATCATGTTATCCAGGGTAGCTAGGAATCAGGTTCAGGATACCAGGAGACTACTCCCAGGTATATCATGTTCTCCAGGAATAGGCTATTTGGTATACCCTGAAATTACCCAAAAAAGTGAACGGTCCCTTCCAGGATACTTTTCAAGTATATCATGCTCTACAGGTAACTTGGAATAAGTTTTTTTAGTTTTAAATTTTCATATTATTGCAGAGGAGCACAGTTTCTTCTGTCGTCTTCATTCTCTGTAGAATCCGAACCAAGGTGATCAATTTGAAAAATTGTAATTAGTCATTTATAGATATATTTTGGAACGGATAACTATATATTAAAACATATTATCTTCTATTTAATAAAGCTCTTCGCTCATATATATATATATGTGTATGTATTTATGTATATATTTATATGTCAGCTATCGCCGGCCAAAATGATTGACCTAAAGGGCAGACAATGTTTAGGGAACCGTTAAGTAATATAGGCTAAAATGTTAGATTTTTGTTTTATGTCAAAATCGGATTTTTTATTCCAAACATCGATTTAAAAAAATTCGATTTAAAAATATTCATGGGCAACGCTGAGCCCTTCAGCACTAAAGTATATCTATATAATAAAGCTCTTCGCTCATTTTTATGGACGGAATGGGCTTAAATTATTTTAGGGAACCCATGAAGTGCCCGGCGTTGCCCGTGAAATTTTCGAGTTTTTTTAAATTATGAAATTTAATTTCTGAAAAAAAATCTATTTTTTAGCTTATATTACGGTGTTACCCCCATGGGTTTCCTCAAAAAAAATTAAGCCAATTTGGTCGGGTCGTTTGGCCAATTATAGCAAATGTTTTTTATGAATAACATGACTGAAACAGTTTGACCTATTTCAACTGCAGTGGGGACATAAAATAGGAAGACGACTGGAAACCTCAAGTTATTATATTAACTAGTCCATTGAACATAAACCATAACAAATGTTCAGTAAACACAGCTCAATATCAGTTGATTAGTTAATTTCAAAGCTACTGGTAAAAGGTAAAAATATTTGGTTTATAACATCCAATACAAAAAAATTGCGTTAATGTCGTCTTTCTATTCCACAGTTTTATTAGCATTAAACATGTCGGTTTCACTGTATGCCATTCGTTTAAATTACGTCCTGGACATTTAACTTTATTTGTAGACCTGGTAAAAGACAGGATACTGGATATTCAACTATATATTTGTAGACCTGGTAAAAGACAGGATACTGGATATTCGACTATATATTTGTAGACCTGGAAAAAGACAGTATACTGGATATTTAACTATATATTTGTAGACCTGGCAAAAGACAAGATACTGGATATTCAACTTTATATTTGTAGACCTGGTAAAAGACAGGATACTGGATATTCAACTATATATTTGTAGACCTGGTAAAAGACAGGATACTGGATATTCAACTATATATTTGTAGACCTGGCAAAAGACAGGATACTGGATACTCAACCGCTTCCTCAGAATCAAGACCATCTAAAGTAGTGCAGGTTAAGAAAATAAGAATAAAAACATTAAATGGAAAATTATTAATTTGAAATTTTCAGAATATATTTGAGGAGGAAAGTACAACTAACAGTTTTGATAGAGAAAATGAGGTAAGTAAAAGGTGCACACAAATATCAAAATTTAATTAATTATTGAATTCCATAGGTTAGAGAACTAAGGAATATGAGCGAGGAAGGATCAGAATACAGAGAACTAAGGTTTTTTTTTTGGTAATTTTTTTTTATTCAAAAAAAATGTTTGTTTATTCTAGAAATGGAAGTGAGAGTGACGAAACTGTTACATCTGGTGCTAGGAGTACAGTTAGGTAAAACAATGTAAAAATAAGAGAGATGCGAAATATATCTATAAATAATTCTACTTGTAATAAAATGGAGTCCAAATGAGTCATTGGTACAACATCTATGACCAATCTGCAGACACAATCAAAACCATTTATCATAAAGGAATTTAATATTATCCACAAACTCATATTTGCAGCCTGCTGCCTAGGGTTTCGAGCAAAAAAAAGAAAATCGTTTCGCGAAAAAAGTTTTCGAGAAATTGTTGCTTATTTTTTTTCTTACGAAATTCCGCAATATTCATTTTCGCGAAAAAATACGAAAGATAAGTTTTCGTTCGCTGGAAACCCTACTGCTGCCTGATGGTGTAAACCTTTTATATTTCATAATTAGATTATTTGATCTAACAGAATCCATAGCTTTGAAATATCTTAGGTCGATAACATTGGGTTGAAAGATTTAGGGATTATAGAGTTTGTGACAAAGACTCAATTCCTTTACGAAATTTTGTTTAGACTAAAAAATATTTACAAATCTGAATTTTAAAATAGTTTTTGTATAAAAATATTTTGATAAAAAATATCGAGATTTCAAAGAAGACTGTGCAGAATTTATTCAGTTTTCGTCTTTGTGCATACATTGGTGTCTCCCTGGAGTTAGCCTGCATGTAAAAACTAAATATTTTGTTGTAGAAGTTCCAAATCATCCAGCGGGGTTCTTTACTCTGTTGGAAGGTACAATATTTTAAACTTATCGTGATAATTTACTAACTTTCTTGAAGAGACTGAAGACATAATTTCAAGTGCCCCAACATAATGGCCCATTATGAAGTTGATGAAGGATGAATCAAATATTTAGTAGAAAATAGATTTTAATAAAAAAGAGACTGAAATTGAGTTTTACTTCATGGCACTCTTCAACTATACAGAGGGTCACTTCATGGCACTCTTCAACTATACAGAGGGTCACTTCATGCCACTCTTCACCTATACAGAGAGTCACTTCATGCCACTCTTCAACTATACAGAGGGTCACTTCATGCCACTCTTCAACTATGCAGAGGGTCACTTCATGCCACTATTCAACTTTACAGAGGTTCACTTCATGCCACTCTTCACCTATACAGAGGGTCACTTCATGCCACTCTTCAACTATACAGAGGGTCACTTCATGCCACTCTTCAACTATACAGAGGGTCACTTCATGCCACTCTTCAACTTTACAGAGGGTCACTTCATGCCACTCTTCAACTATACAGAGGGTCACTTCATGCCACTTTTCAACTATACAGAGGTTCACTTCATACCACTCTTCAACTATACAGAGGGTCACTTCATGCCACACTTTAACTTTACAGAGGTTCACTTCATACCACTCTTCAACTATACAGAGGGTCACTTGAAGTTACGTCTTCAGTCCATTTAAAATTTCTGCAAAGCATAATTTTAAATGTTTTTATAAATAACAATATTTATCTTAATTATTATTACACTCTGTATTATTAAGGCGAAGTGTTATATCTGGTGCTGGGTATAGAGGCTATTCAGCAACTGATCTCAGCATCTTTGCCGCTAAAACAGCAGCTCATCAGGAATATACAGACAAAGGCATTATATCAAGAATTTGGGATTTCTTTAAATTGACTGTAGACATAATGCTAAGTGAACCTCCATTTGTAGAGTGGCATGTCCTATTCACAACAATACCTTTTAAATAGTTTGTATTGTCACAGAAACTAAAGTTCTCATTGGAATTCTTTTAGACCCTGTTACACATTAGATATTCAGGATTTTAGGAATTCTGGTTCCATTGGGTAACCACATTATAGTGTAAAACTCAGTTTAAAAAAATTGATAATCAAACTAGAAGTTTTTTAATGGATAAATTGTTGTGAATCAGACAGTGAAATTCCACTCTAAAGATTTTTTACCTCAATAAAAAAGTTTCTTCCTTTATAAACAAATTTTTAGAATTAGTATTATCAAATTCCCCTTACTTAATAGCTTTCCTGAATTTTAAAATGATTTCAATGAATGATAAAGAACTGTAAAAAACAAGGCTGAACTCGCAGAGCGAGTGTGACAACGGCACGCGGCAGTTTTCGTCGTCTTCTTCCTTTTTATCATAATAACGATGGTTGTTATGGTTATTATTTACGGTGGCATACAACAGGTCAATAGAAACACTCCTAAATCTGAACTTTTAACAGTCGGACTTCCTGACAAAGAAGCATAACTATTTGTAAACGGAAAACTTTTAATTGCACAAAAAGTCTAAAAATTCATAAACTTGTCAGGTAACTATTAATAAAAGCTAAAAAAATTTCAGGAGGGGCTTGTCCTTTCTATTCATGAGACTATTGTTGATACCAGTAAACGTAATCGTAGGTAATTGAACAAATAACATATATATTATATATTTGAACCACAACTTATGATTCTATTACATACTTATTAATGGTTTTATATGTATTAAATTATATATATTTGTCGAATACGAAAATGAAACAGTAAAATTATGACTCCTCACCGACTAAAAACTACCTCTTGATCAAATTAAAAAAAAGTAGGTAAAAAAAAAACAAAATACGAGGCCGACAAATAAAAATATGCAAGGGAATTAATTACAGAAAATTCTAAGTTTCTCATTCCTATATTTTGGCAACCTGAAGGTTATCAGTTCCTTGAGATTAATTTTTAAACTGTTTCAGTTTAGCTAATTTGAGAAACCAGACATTTTCACAGGAGAAACTAAACTTATTTTATTTTTTGATAATTCGAAAATCTTCTCAAGTTCTGGTTTTGATTTAAGTGAGGTTGTGATTATACATCTGGGAGAATATATTTAGAGGATTCTTGATTAATTTAACTTTTTATAAATTCTTCTCCAAAGAGTTAAAAAATTTGCATAAAACTTTATCATTGAGGTATTTTGACAACAAAAAGTAAAGATTTAACTTCTTTTTTCTGGAAGAGGTAAAAAAATCAGAAATTTTATCTGAACTTATTTACTGAACTATTTTAAAATCTTATTTTTTTATTTTTAAACCAATCAATAAGTTTTGTTTGAGCAGAGTTCTGTTCACCAGATAAATATAAAGGATAAAGGAGGGACTCATCAAGGTAAATATTTTAAAAACAAAAATAAATAAAAAAATTAAAAATCTATAAAAAATATATTTAAAGGGCTGCTGCATAATGAAAAACATAAAAATTACTCAGGTAAATTTTTTTTTCAAAAGGCTAATTTTTATATCTATAAGTAAGTAAAACCTGATGTTGAACCGATATTTTCATATAAAAATATTTTCTTTAAAGAACAAAACAAAAATTGAAGCCTTTCTACGAAATGAGAAATTTACTCCATAAAAATGTGTTTAGAATTGAATACAACACAGTCCACTACTGTTCCTGGTTCAATAAAAAAAGAGATGAAAATCATGAATAAATCAATTAATCCTGAATTACCCATCAATAAAACCCAAATTACAAGAAAACCCAATCCTCAAGAGGAGGTTCAAACCCCTGAAAGGGTAGAAATAACTGAAAAAGGTATTATTTTATAAACGGGATTGTTAAAGTAAAATTAATCGAATGTTCTATGACAGGAACAGAAATTGTTGACATTAGTTTACCCACTGAAATGGAAAATGCGGAAACCAGACAAAAAGAAAGCAGAGAGAAGAAAATCCAACATGGCGGATATTTTCCCAGTTCTCAAACAGAGATCTGGGTAACTAATGACATTGCAAATGGACTGGAAAACAATTTGGAATTGAAGTCAGGTCCTAGTTTTCAATCACCAGGAAAGCTCTCAATACTTTAAGAAAAGATTTTAAAAATTATTTTCATTTCAAAAATGATTAAAATTATAAAATTTATTAAACAAGAAAAATCGTCAATCTTTCTAATGTAGTATAAAAAGTTATTTTCCAAAATCAGGAAATAACGACCGAACGAAAGTTATGCGTTTTTTAAAATATGAAACAGTACTGATGTTGTTTAGACGCAGCAGAAGAAAGTACAGGAGATAATTTCCTAAATAGATTCTCTACATTTGCGCCAAAACTAAAATTAGCTAAAGGTATAAAGTTGATCAAAATATCTTTGCAGTTCTTTGATATTTCTCCTTCTAGATTCAGTTCCATCCTCTATAGAAACCAGTTCTAGTGCTCCTACCACACTTCAAGATATATCCCAACTAGAAAACCAACTTTTAGGTAGGCATTTAGGAATCATTTTAGGAGATAATTGATGTAAATAATTCTGTTTGCCATTTAATTTTATAATCAATAATAATCAGTATTTTCTTATACATCATGCTACATACAGTTATAAAATGGCAGTTTAATCAGATTTGCTGGAGAAAATGGAGGAGAGCTATAGAACAAAAAATTTAACTGAAAGCTAGAACATCTTAGTTCGAATACAACTAGGTTCCTAATCATGAAAAGCTGGACTTTTATGATCCACTCATATCTAATTAATGTAAAGATTATTTTAATGCTTAAAGGGACCACCTGCCTAGGAAACCCTTTTTATGGTGTTGTAGTAATTTATAACTTTAGTCCTGTCAATCTTACTAATGGATAGAAATCTGTGAATACTTTTAAAAAAGTAAATAAGTTGATTAAATGAAAGATTTAATAATACCTTTTTACTCTTGAATATTATTACAATTGTTTTGACGACCTGTACCATGCCAAAAATAATTCTCAATTAAAAGAAAGTTAGAATCTCTTTTTGTCACTGAATTTAATAAACTTTTTGACTTGGCTTACATTCAGCAATGATACTGATGTAAAAGTAAACCTATTATTTTGTTTAGGCTTTAAAGGGTTTTCTTAGTAGGTATTCTTTAAAAGAAATTGTTAAAAATATATTATAAAACTTAACTTTTAACAGCTTTAGAAATGAACACATTTCACATTTTTGTAAATAAAAGAATTAGAATTTTCAATAATGGTGAAACTAGTTGGATTTAATTCAAAATATATTTGTTCCAATTGTAAAAATTATTTAAAAGCAGGACACAGACTACATTGTCTAACTGTCTGTAAGGAATTTACCCGACCCGCCCTCCCCCCATCCTTACAGACGTTGTTTTGTCCTAAAAATATTACCCCTCCTCTTTGTATAATAGTATTCTATTTTATATCTGTATATTTAAAAGTAAATAAAAAATTGATTTCATTAGACTTTCATATTTGTTTATTTGTCTTGTCTGTTTATTTTGGGACCTCACATGGCCCCAGGAATGGTTTATAGCCCAAGCCGACCAAAATTTTAAAAATTCAAAAATAAATCGTTATTTTTCGTAAAATATTTTAAACCAAATTAAATGCTCAGGGAAAAAAAGCGATTTTAATTGATTTTTTAAAATTTCATAAGTAAATAAAAAGCATCATACATAGGTAATAAATTTATTTTTACGTTTCTTCCTGATCTAAATTTCTTCTCAAGTTTTCAATAAAATAATTAACCATGAATCCATGATATGGTTTACTCGCAACCTTTCGCAGAAAATTCTTCCCAATCAGACTTTCCCTAGAACAGACAACATTTAGTTTTAACCTTAGTGTCATCAGATTTAGAGCCAGGATCTTTGTAAGGGTGGAACCAAGGAATTGGACTTGGAACACCCATCCATGTTAACTGTAGTTTTGTGATGAATATTATAAACAAACTCGGTGCAAACAGGCTAGTTTCTGTTTACATCCCCCCCAACTGTAGTAAACTTTGTTACATTAATTTGGGTATTGGGGGTCCTATAGTTGTATCTTTTTTGAACTCACAGTTTTGTTAGGATAGGAATTGAGTCTTTACCACAAACTCTAATTTTCTAATCCTTATATTATTCCAACCTCATGGTGTATTGATATTTGATAATACGACATTGGATTGTAAAGATAAGGAAGGGGTTTAACAAATAATTAAGTTTGTAGTAAAAACTAAATTAGAGTTTGGTCAAATATTCATGATGTTTTACCTTTCTGTCCAGATTAAACTTTCTAAGAAAAATCTTCTTTGTGGATGAATATTCTTTTTCATTTGTGGTGCAGCACTTAGCTCCATATAATTCTACAATTTTAAAAAGTGAATTTAGAATAGAAGAACTCTTTGTGCGGATTATGTACAGGGTGTCCCAAAAAACATGGGAATTCAGTGACGAATTCAATATCGTCTTTGTTATGAATTAGCATTGCAATACCTAATTTCAAAAGCAATAATATTATTATGTCTGCTAGAGTTTATTTTATGAAAACGGTAAAAGACTGTAAAGATGTGTCTATAATGTCTCCGCAAGATGAACAGTGAAGACGGACAAGTTTACTCTGTTTGTATACTGCAATTTTCTTGTTTTACTAAGTACAACCGTATGCAGTCAAAACATAAACAAACAAAATGTGAACATAGCAGACGAAACTCTTACAGATTACAGCTTTCTCAGTAGGTATCACTATACTAAATCAAAGAATTATTTAAAAAGACGATATCGAATTCGTCACTGAATTCCCATGTTTTTTGGGACACCCTGTACTTCTTTAGCAATGATTTTTTCTTCTGGCTAAAAATGATGAAATAAGATTTTTTTGGAAAATAAGGATTTAAAAAAAAGTTGTGCTAAAACATAACATTTTCAATTTTTTTCAGAGTAGTTTTAAAAACTTAAAGTGATAGAATCTCAAGTTGTTGGTCATAACTTACTCTTTCTGTTGAGTATGGTGTCCATTGAGCTAACTGTATATGATTTTTCTTTAAAATGTCATTTTTATCAAGATTTGTGGTTTCATTATGATTGTTGAGTATCTGATCAACAGTTGATTCAAGTTTAATCAGATGTTTAACAGCTGATTCTACTGCAATCAGCTGATCTACATAGGACTTAGATCTTAATATATCACTGATAGTTGGTGACGGGGTTCCATACTTGGCAAAGTTAGCCCAATATCTAATCATTATTCTAGTCAGAGATTTATCATAAGGAGTTTGGTTCTCCTTGTAGTCCGTATTATTGAAGAAGAATGATATATCCTCTGAATATAAGGGAGGAATATACAGGTAGTTGTAAACATTAACATGTCTAGAGACAAGCTCAGCTAGCTGCTGGTCAGAGCTCAGAAACAGGGTATCAGTCAACATAGTCAACCATTTATCTAAATTAATATTGATAAAACATCAAAACTCTTTCTTAAACAAAAGTTCCTGGGTATTAATATAAATCATTAGTTAAGTCATAAATAATATACATGGCTTCATGTCTTTTACTGAAAAGCAAAATTTAAATATTTTTGTTGTAATGTTAAAAATGTTTTCCCAGTAAAATTAAAATACATATTTAAATAATTTTAAAAGAATTGAGTCTTTGCCACAAACGCGGATTATCTAATCCCTATCTTTGCAGCCCAATGTCGTAGATATTAGATATTTCAAACTATGAATTCTGTTAGATCAAATAATTTAATTTTGAAATATCAAAGGTTTAAACCAACGAGGTTATAGTGTATAGAGTGATGATGTACGCTAATCCTTTACTAATTTTATAGGCCATCAACTATACCGAGAGCGTACTGCATATTTGTTTATTATAAGTTGATTCTGGCCTAACCTATAGTTTATCAATATTAGTAAACAGTTGTAAGTGTACAGTACAGCTAACTGAGCACACAGGTAGAGAACTATCATCCCCCCTGGTTTAAACCATCAGGTTGAAAAGACATAGGGATTAGCATATTTAAGTTTTTGAGTATTTAAGAATTTGATTCGATATTTTTTAATTGATAAGAGGGTTTGAAACAAAGGTTGTAATCTAAGAGATATTCATATTTAACCTCTGGTAGCATTGAGGTTAAGGGAACCTCCAGTATAGTAGTTAAGTATAACATCTGCCCGAAGTAGATCATCTTCAGATATCTCTGAACTATTACAGGTGTGAGATACCTAAAAAAATTTAGAAAATATGACAATTTTCTTTAAATAATTTGGTAAAACATATTTTGTTACAAGGTGTCCCACGAAACATAACAGTTTGTGAATAGTTTTGATTGTCTTCTTCCATATACTGTATTAGATATTATAGACTTTTTGCAGTTTATTTAGTTTAAAAAATCTTTTACTCAAATATATTTTGAAATCAATATTACTATAATATGGCTGCCATGAAAATGTTAATATTATTCTCTTGGGGTTCAAACAACTTAACAAAATATGGAAGAAGACATTTTAAACTTTTCACCAACTGTCATGTTTGGTGAGACACCCTGTACCTGAAGAAAAATCGGAGCATTAGCTTTCCAAAATTCATCTAAATTTTGTCCCAAAGACTCTGCAAATATTACAGCAGTTTCTCCCCCATTATTTACCGTTCCTAACAGACAGGGGTTTAAATTTATTTCGATAAAATAATGTCTAGTTTAGTAAAAATGTTGGATAATTCACAGATTTTACATTTCACAAAGACATAGAGTAATTTTTGGGATCTAAAACAGATAGATGCCGTCAGCCTTAATTTGACCAGAAAGAGGCAGGATATTCCTATCTCTATGCAATGTCCAATATTTGGAATTTTCTATATCCATGTTATAGGTCTTATCTTAGAAATTATTATATGTTAAATGTTCTAACACTAATCTATTATTTCACCTGTCAAAAGTGGAACTCTGTTAAAACTTCCCATCAAAACCGCCTTCAAAGGATCAATAGGTAATACTGGGTTTGAAGAAAACTCATCAGTAGAAGGCCAGAATATTGATTGGCCGAAGTTTGATTTAAAATCATCCATTTTAAATTCACCAGTTGCTGTCTGAAGCCTTTCATATGAAAGGTACTGCAGACAATCTAACATTGCCAAATCCAACAACAGACTTGAACAGTTAAATTCTTTTGCTAAATTCACAGAAATTCTCCAGTCTTTAGAAATTTCCGGGATACATCTAATATTGAGCATTGATCCACTTTGAGCAATTGCACCTACAAACATACCTTCAGCCAGTGGAGAGAGGTGAAGGGCGTGTACACTTATTCCACCAGCACTATCCCCAAATATAGTTATTTTACTAGGATCTCCCCCAAATCCTTTAATATATTTGTTGGTCCATGTTAATGCTTGAATTTGATCCCTGATACCCATATTTCCACTTAAGACTGTGTTACCAAAATTAAGAAATCCGAAGGCCCCAAGCCTGTAGTTAAAAGTAACAACAACAATGTCCTGTTTGACTAAATCTGATGGATCGTATTGATTACTGGATCCAACGGAGAAGTCACCTCCATGAATCCAAAACATGACCGGGCGGAGATGTGCCTGATGAGTGCCAGGTTTAGGGATCTGGGGTGTAAAAACATTTAGAAACAAACAATCCTCTTCACCAATAATCTCTCCAATAGAATCCCAGTCAAAGCTTATCTGCACACATATTGCTCCGTAAGCTGTAGCTTCCAGGTTTTCAAATGTTCCTCCAGGTTTAGGAGGCTTAAATCTGAGATCTCCTAGTGGGGGTTCAGCATATGGTATTCCCAAGAATCTATACTGATTACCAACCAATAGACCAGTAATATTTCCAAGTTCTGTGCTCACACTAGCTTTTTCATGTTCACCCTAAACACATTAATAATTACCTACACTACTTCAAAGTATAAAATATGCAACAGTGTTCTGATACAGATTTGATAAAAAAATATTTGTTTTAAAAAAATAAATAAGAAAAATGGAAAAAATGCCACTTGCAGTAATTATCAAATTAAATTTGATTGGTATTGGTAAATTATCCTCATTCTATTTAACCTAATTTTGTGTAAAACTTACAAATACTGTAAACGGAATTTCAAATGACCCTCGTAGAGAGGTATTTCCGATTTATAAAGGTAAATTTTTAAACAAATATATTAATGAAAATGCAGTCAGCAACGATTCCAAGGTTTCTCTGGTAAAAGAATTAGAATATCTCTGTTATTCTTGATAATTCAAATGTTTAAAGGGCACTGTTGTGAATCAGAAATGCCACTCTATAACGGGAGGTTCACCTTTAAATTATGTGTACAGTCCCTTTACAGGAAATTATTTACCTTTACAGTTCCTATGCAAAGGAACCAGTAAGCTAAATACAAACTTATTCTCATTACTTCTGAAATTATACATTTCGTACCCTTTCCAAGAAACGCAATATTTTCTTTCAATTATAATTATAAAATAATTCACTGGTTTGGAAAATTATTTTTCTTTCTTGGGTTCTTGAAGTGTTGAGAACTTTGGAATCCTTTTACATCAATTAAAAATATATAAAATATAATTGTAAAAAAATTGTATTTTATTAAGAACATCACATAATATACAGTGAAACCCTTAATAACGAATACATCGGAAGAATTTATCAAATGTCGTCTTGACAATTTTTCAATGAGTTTTATACTATATTACGTAAATTTCAGTATTTGCGAAAGTAAATAAATAGCCATGAATATGCGGGAACAGTTTTAAAGAGTTCCATATAATCATTCAATTAAAAAACTAAATATCTGCAACATTCCATTATCAGAAAGTGAAGAATACGACATTCGATGAATTCTTTTGATGTATTTGTTATTAAGGGTTTCACTGTAATATATTTATTAAATGCTGCTGTAAAGTATAAATAGATGATCCGATCTTTAAACTGTTTCATTTCAAGAAACTTATCTCCCAGTATCCAGCATATTCAAGGGAGTGTTAAAGTTTTTAAAAATGGGGTATTATTAAAAGCTCTCTGCCTGAGTTGTCCGACTGGCATGACAGTGCATGAATGTCTCGAGGAGGTTTGATAAACTACCACCCCCCCCCCCGGAAAAGAAAAGTGAAAACTATAATTGACAGGGATGGTATTGGTGTCTCCCCGTTCTTTAGTTCAATAGAAATTAAGGTTATAGTGTTTTTAAATGAAGAAGGGTTGAAGGAATGAAGAAATTATGCTCCTTAAAAGAAAAAATTTAACAAGACTCTATACTCTATGTTTAATTTTTATACAAAACCCCCTTTCCTGATCACTCCCTTAATTTCTTATCTTTAGGTTCTATAAATATACAATATCTGATCTAACCTTGGCCAGGTTCTATATTGTAAACAATATATTTATATATATTTGTTGACTTCTTGTATATATAGGGTTGACTCGAAACAAACACCCGGAAAACATTATAAAATTTTTCTATATTACATTTGCTTTTCACGTTGGGAAACCAGTTTTATTTGAAAACTAACCATTCTTTGTATTAAGTCAATCTACTCAATGCAGAATGTTTAGTTGTTCTACTACTACCAATCTTAATTCTAGATGTAGAATGTTCAGTGGCTCTACCACTATCAATCTATTCGAAGTAGAATGTTTAGTGGTTCTACTACTATCAATCTATTCGATGTAGAATGTTTAGTGGTTCTACCACTATCAATCTATTCGATGTAGAATGTTTAGTGGTTCTACTACTACCAATTTACTTGGTGTAGAATGAATAGTGGTTCTACCACTTCCAATCTACTAAATGTAGAATATATAGTGGTTCTACTACTACCAATCTAATAAATTTAGAATGTTTAGTGGTTCTACCACTATCAATCTACTTGATGTAGAATGTTTAGTGGTTATACTACTACCAATCTACTCAATGTAGACTATTTAGTGGTTCAACTACTACCAATTTACTAAATGTAGAATGTTTAGTGGTAATAAAATGACCAATCTACTAGATGTAGAATATAAAGTGGTTCTAATACTGCCAATTTACTCGATGTAAAATGCTTAGTGGTTCTACTACTACCAATCCACTTGATGAACACTGCAAATTATAACATAAAAGAAAGTTTTATAGTCCTTTTTTACTGTGTATGATGGACTTTGCCCCCTTCCTCTCTGTTTACTCTGTGCGCCCCCCTTCACTGTTCCTGCAAATTTTCGTTAAACAAACCCTACCCCCCTAGAGGAATTATGGGCGGGTAGCATGCCCGACCGCGAGGATTGACAATTTTTGTCCTCCCCCCATCAGGAAAAACCGCCCTGCACTTGTTTACGCCTATAATTCTCAGCTTTCTCAAACCCATTTTCATATCAAAAGAGCCATGTTTCGCGTCATGTTTTTCATATTGCTAAATATGCTAAATAATTTTTGAATAATTGAACTTGGCACAATTGGAACTTTTAAAGTTAAAATATTGATTTGACAAATATATTGATTTATGCATTTTTATTCATGTGTAGAATGACGTCTACAAAAATCCCCCTCTTCTTTAAATGTACATGTAAACCTTTATGCCCAATGCCAAGGGGTCTGTACAATTCCCCTGTACAAAATGTCCATCAGCATTCTATACTCTAACCAGAGATAAGAGAGTTACAGAGATCGATTAACACCTATAATTACGATATTTTTCACAGCATGTTCTATTGTGACAAGGACTGTACACGACCAATCAGGAGACATCTGTATTCAGAGATATTTATGGATCCTTTGAATAGGAAATGCAAAATCTTTAAAAATATAAATTTTCATAAAAGTTATGTTCTATGTTTAAAATTGGAGTATTTCTTTAGAAGTTGTAAAACTTAACCCCTGAGTGCAACAAATGGTCGCGAGATGGCAGTACAAAAATTACATGGAACCGTAGCATGGGGTGTTGGGTCACTATAGGCATACTCAGCCTATCCAGGTAGAGTCTGTGACTCTAACCTTTCTCCGGTTTATTTATTTTCTTATTTTTTTATGTTAAGAGATTCCATTTCAATAAATATTTCAGCAATGAATTTAATCTGGAAACTCAGTGATTTTTTAAAAATTCATCTTCAGGTTAATATTTGACACATTCAAGCTCTAGGCTTAAGATTTTAAAATATTTAAGAGCACTCTTGTATTGGTTACTACATAATACATGCTTCTCCAGGTTATTTGAATCTTAAAAGCTAATTGCCGATTACTCGAAATATGACCAGTCAGGCTTAGGATATGGATCCGTTGGATCGACATCCTTGTGGCTTCCTGGATCCCGATCCGCAAAAATAATGCAGATCCGCGGATAGGATCTAAGGGGCAAAATATCAATCAAACCCTGCTAAAAAACTATCAGCTTTTTAAAAAAAGGCTAATCGAATGAAAGGTACTAATGCAAGGAAAGTTAATTGCGGTTGCGTATTCTCTGCGTACATTGAAACCAGTTCTCTCTAGGCGGAATTTGTAAACAAGAATAGATGCATCAGTGTTCGTCCAGTATCCGAGGAGGATGAAAGCATTTAATTTGGATTATTTTGAAAATCAATTAGTAGTTTCTTATGATCAGAATATTTCATAGATTATTTTTGTGAAAATTGATTCCATGTCAGGCTGTGACATCCGTCTTGTTTACTTTTCCGCCCAAAGACATTAAACTGAAGTATCAAAAAATGCGTACACCTCTGAAATAACTTTCCTTGCATTAGTACCTTGATCGAATGTATCTTTATCACTGCAAGTCAGAAATTAAATTAGATTTTGTTTCGTTGCAACAGAACATTTATCCTGCACCTTACCCCCAGTTAACAGCATGCAACAAAATCTCCTAGGTCTTCAAAGTAAAACAAATCAATAATATTCATAACCATTAACGCTGAAAATACGCAGAATCCTAATCACAACATTGCAATCCTGTTCTAAACAAAAATGTTGTAGATATACTTTATACAATAATCAATTTCACCTTCAGCTTTACCAGTTCAAGAAATATACAAGAAATCAAATTAATAAATAGACGAGATATCACAAGAAAAGTCTACAGAACAATTTATTTATTTTTAATTTAAAATTATCTTTGAAAATGAGGGGTTTAAGATCTATAATTATCTCTTTGCACCATGCTTCTTCATTCTGTGGGAAGCTCTTGCACTCTTGCTTGCAAAATTGGATTCACAAATACCACAGTGATATCTTATACCGAGATGTTTAGTTTCAACATGAATTTTAAATGTAGATATACAGGTGCTAGTGTAATCACAATGCTTACAGGGATAAACAAGATTTTCATGAACCTTTCTGATATGCCTTATCAAACAATGACGCCATGCACCTACATAATCACACTGTGTACAGGGATAAGTAACACCTTCGTGCTTACTTTCTTTATGACGTTTTAATTCAATTGGAACAGAACATCCAAATTCACAAGCATCACATTGAAAGAGTTTTACATCATGCCTTCTTTTTTTGTGGGCTGTCAGAATATGTAACGATCTACCTTTATATTTACATTGGTCACAATAGAAAAATACTCCCTTATGCACAGAGTCTATGTGCGTTTTTAAATACCATGTTCGTGTCGCCTTATAATCACAGAGATGGCAGGGATACCGAACATTTTCATGTGCAGTCTTCATGTGAATCTTCAGATATGTTGGTAGCCTGGTAGTAAATTCACACTGATCACACAGATACATTGAGTTCTCTTTGCTCGCTGAATCTGAAATAAACTATTACTCATAAAATATTTAATAATATTTCTAGGACGGCCTACATGATATAAATTGATTGACCATAAAAAATTGCTAAAATTAGGCCATCTACGATGAATGCCGAAGGCCTTAGATCAACGAGCCCTTTAATGTAATGTAACCATCCCCAACCCCCCCTCCCTGCTGAGGATGGGTATAGAGCATGGAAAATTCTTCAGGACAAATCAACCCAAACCTGGCCCCCCCCTCCTCCTGCTCCAGCCGCCTTATCTAGTGTTTCCCCCTACAGGGGTTGACCAGTTAGCTGGCCCCAGGATTAAGAATTGGCGGGATCTGGGTTCAGAACACAGAGAGGGAAAGAGAAAGAAGCCAGTTGTGCGCCAGCTCTCACAAGGAGAGGATGAAGACATTCGCCAACTCCCCACAGTGGTAAGAAGCAGTCAGTCGAAAGGAATAGAAACTGCTTGTACGGATTGGAGCTGTGGGAAAACAACATGCTGAAGAAGATTTGTTACCAGAACAAAGATGGTGCCAGAAGAGATATGTTGCCTGAGGATATACCATGTTGAAGGTATCTAGCCAAGGAGTATCCAGCCAAGAAGTATCCGGCCATAGGAGAATCCCATCACTGAGTGCCAAATCTGTGTCTCTTGACTTTAGTCATTTATTCCTTCATTTTGTTTCTTTTTAATATAGATGCTGAACTTCCTTGTTCTATTATTGGTGTGTGACTTGAAGACTACTAGAGTTTTGTTACAACAGTAATCAATCAATTTGTATTATTCCAGGTTCTTATAGATTAGCACTATATAATGATAAAAATTAAATGGACGTAATTGTAACTGTAATTTAAATATTTTTTATTCTTATTTACCTTCAGATTGATGATTGGGTTTTACTATTCTCTTCACACATTTTTTAACTAAAAAAAGATAGTTTAGAATAATACAGTGCTTAAGGGCAGGAAAACGTTCTTTAACGACAAACAAGCTAGTTTGGTATGATCTTTAACGACAAACAAGCTAGTTTGGTATAATCTTTTCAAGAGAGTGTTCGCGAAAAATGAAAGGTGCCCAAAGGCTGAATTTGTATCTGAATCTGGAACCAATTGGCACCAATTTGACTACTTCAGCCTTAGAAATTGAGGAAATCGATGAAAATGTGCAGAGTAGTTCAGTAAATTGACAGGGATAGAATCAAAACTCAAATCATTCAATGATATTCAAACTGATTATTTAAATCTTTAAAAATCTAAAATTTAAATAATAAATTTTACTAAAGAGAAAAAAAAGTTGTTAAATAGCTACTTTGTTTTTTAATTTAATCTGTTTTTGTTGTTATTTTACCCCTAAACATAAAAAAAACTATTTTTTCAAAATATTTAATTTTTAGTAAGTTGATTTTAAGTTTGACTTTATAAAACAAAGAAATTGCAGACTTTCAAAAAACAAGTTTTTTTTCTGATTTACAATTTTTTCAAAATTTTGCTGCCCTATAACTTCTCGACCCCGCAGGTTACAAAACAAATTTTGTTAATTGAAATATATTTTTTTTTCAAACATTTAGCTGTAAGCAAAAACACCAAATCGGAAAAGAAAAGAAGATTAGGATATGTATTATTCTGGAGTGTCTTGAACCTAGAAAGGGTCTCTACGCCCCCCCCCATCTCTCTTCACCTCCATGGTGCAGGCATTTCTCTAACTCTCTAACACTAACATTAAATGACATTATTTTAATGAATTTTAATAACTTTTACCTTTCTCCTCGTTTACTGGGTTTTCCTTGCATGCAGCATTATCTCTAACATGTTTTCTCAATTCCTTTATATTCTGAGCTGAATATCCGCATTGAGCACACTGTGGTAGAATCCTTTTATGTTCACTAGCTTTGTGCTTCCTCAATTTAAATTTAGAGGTAGTTTGGAATTTACATGAAGAACATGAGTAGGGATCTTTAGACCTGACTCTCTTCACTGCAAGACCAAGCTTCTTGTTCGACATGGTCTCATGGTCTTTTTCAACCGGGGTTTCTTTAATATATATATATATTATTAGAACAAATAGAGTATTTGGTTATTTTAAATAAACTGGAATTAGGCACTTTCCCAAAAGTATTGTTAGTTCTTCTAAATGAAAATCATTCTATGAGGACTTTTCGCAGATAAGTTTTCACAAAAGATATGTTGAATGAAACCAAGGTGCGTTCAAGGGTTCTCAATTTCATAAACCTTAATTAAAAAAGTAATAATGAACACAATTATTTGGGAAACCTACCTGTAAGTGTACTCCTATTAAGTTCATCACCTGGGTTTACATCACAGTTTATAACATCTTCTACATCAATCTTAATATCTTCCGAGATATCTGTACAAACTTTATCATCATCTATTTCTTCGATATTCTCACTGATCTCCACAAAAGATTATTTTTATACATGTTAAAATTCTAAAACCTGAAGTTCAGTATATAACTCCAATCTCCTAGAGGCCAAAACTTCAACATCTAAACTCTCAAACTCAAAATCCATTCTGAGGTCGGAGCTCTTGTATTGTGGATATCGAGATCAATCAATCTCTTTCTAGTACAGACCTAAAGACTAATATAATCTATATCCGATAGGAACAACCATAAAGAAACATTGATCCTCAAATAAAAGTGTCCTCAAAGGGTATCAAGATATCAAGATCAATCAACACAACGGGTATTCTAAACAAAGGTTCAGATTTAGTTCGATCTGAAATATATCAAGTGACTAGATATCTGTTGGTTAAACAAATGGTCGACCCTAAAACTTTAAAAAGAGGATTAGAAGAAAGGAAAATACAATTGTGATTTTATGCTCCTATAGAATCGAGTTGATTTGATAATCTCGTCTCTCTTGTTACTTTAATGCAGTAAGGAAGTGGGTATTTAATGACTTTTAATTAAAATGGAGTTCATAGTTAAAGCAAGTTTTATTTCATTAATTATTGTATAACACATGCTGTATAAATTGAGACTCAACAGTAAGAAATTAAATCAAATAAAAGCAGTCTTTTAAAGGGACGACCAGCAAACATATTTTACATTAAGTTAAGACTGAAATTAGGGTTTCTAGTTTGCAATGACACAAATCTAAAATAGAACTTCCTACCCAGCTGAAGGGCAAGTTAATCGATATTTCTATTTCTCAAGTTACATTTCCGATTCCTAACGGTATCTGATCAATGATCATCCATGAAGGAGAAGTTGCTTTTGTAGTTCAAGGTGTATAATCACTATACCTGTAAACACGCAGCTGACTCCACGTATTTCTCAAATTTCAGGATCGTTTTATTTCCTCGAAGTAGAAGTAGACCAAGTTTTTCAAAGGAGCTTAGCTTATACTAACTTGTTTGCTTATTATCCCCTAAAATTGAATATTTCTAAAATTTGTTGTCCCTCAACAAATAGAGGTAATAATTTCTGATAAGCTTTGATTGAATTTGAAAACTGAATGTTAATTACGGAAAACAGATCAGGATAACTACTTAAATTTCTCTTCATTAACTTTTAAAAATAACCTTTTCAGCAAATCAAAATATCAAACCTTCTACTCAGGAAACATATATCAAGATTAAATTTTTCCACCATCTTTGATAAATCTGAAATGATTAGGTTCTACTCGAAAGTATCAATGAATTACAAGAAATTGCAAATAGTTTTCACTATTAGTTTGCTAATTTGTATTTATGAGTAATCACATAATTTAAATCAAATAATTTAAAAAACAAAATTTGAAAACCAATGGAATTTTTACATTTGCTGCGATAACATATTCCAATCTTAACAACTTTATTGAATACCAAATAAATCAACAATAATAATCTTATTTGCAAAAAAGTAGAGAGAAAAATTCTCGCATTATATCTTCGTATTGCTGACATTTTTCAAAACTTAATCCATTTAATAATGCATTTATTTACTATAAATAATATTTATTTATTGAATCATAGACAAGGAGCCTAATCGGCTGTAATTGGCACGGTAAATGCGAATTTTATTTATAAATCACAATAGTTTGATATCTTGATTCCATGTTTATAATTCATATTTTTACAGTCAAGTGTTAATTTATAAGGCTATCATCTCTGAACAAAAAAAAATAAGATAAATAAATCTAAATATCTCTTTTACAATATTAAAATATTGTTAATTTTTTGGTAAAAGGAAACTTGAAAATTAAAGATGAAAAAATTCAAATCACTGATCTTAAATATTGCCTGCCTAAATGGTCTCCAGTGTGGGAAAACAGGAAAACTCGAAAATGAAAAAAGAAATGTCTAAGTTCAGCGTGATTGTGATATAAATCTCACGAAAGACCCAATAAAGAATGGTTTGATGTTAAGATGTTATAATGCGCGCAGTTTTCTCATAAGTGCTTCAGAATCATTTTGAGCACCGGTATCTCCATTTTCAACCATACCTGAAAACAAATTGATATAAAAATAATAATTCATACATTTTTTGAAGGGACGAACCTATTTGATTTAAACTCTTCCAGAATTAAGATTTTTGTAATGTTAGATTTTTGGAAAAAAATAAAGATTTTGTCTTGATTTTTCCTAAACTAAAATTTTAAATTTTTTACCGGCAAACTCCCTTTCTCTTGGCTGTAGATGTGCTGCTTGTCGATTAGCACGGCGTTCCCGCCGCACTGCAGTATTAGCACCGCCGCCGCCCCCCGGCAATGGGGGTTCGTTCTCTTCTTCCATTAGAATATCTCTGAAAAATTGTAAAAAGTTATCTATGGGGTCTAACCTAACAAATCTGCAGGCTTAGAAAAATTTGGCTAATTGTTATACAGAGATTTTTGATTAATAAGGTTGTAATTTTCAAATATAAAGATACGTACACTAAATCCTTGTTGAAGGGGGATCCCTGACCCTGAGGTCCCCGTGACCGGCTCCGGTTCAGCTGCGCTCGACGCTCCGCTAAACATAAAATCCATTAATCAAGACAAAAAAGTATTCATCTCCCCAATATAAGATAACATAGCAATAAACCTAAACCTAATTTATCACCAGACATGCAGATTTCAAAAACAATCGATAAAATCTTTAATCAATAAGTTCAAACTAAAGCTCGACCCAACAAGTGCGACCAGTCTCCATCTCGTGGTATAGATCACGGCAGAATTCCACTCTTGAGAATAAAATTAAAAATGGCATAATTTGATTTGATTTAATCAACACACATCCTACCCAACACTGGCGATTAGATCATCAAGTTTCAATAATAACTCATCTGAAAATGTCAAATAAAATAAGTTTATGGAGGGAAAACGGAAAAATGGCTGTTTTAAACCTTCACTCCGTGATTATCCTACCTCCTGCTGCTCTAGGTGCCCGCTTTCTTTTCTGATCTCTAGAGAACGCAGTTCCAGTCTTCAGGGCTTCCAGTAAGCTAAAAATAATATTTTTTGCAAATCATTCATTTCGAGAATTGCTTTAGGCTCCCTGATTCGGATTCAACGTATAATTAATTTTGCTACCCATAGGCATTAGGCAACAATATATGTCATTCAGACTTCAGACAATTTTTTTTGACATTTTCTAAAGAAACCAAGGTGGGAAAAAATCCTGTGACTTAACAAATAGTTTAATAACCTGTCCATAACTCCTTCCTGGTCATCGGGCGCATTAAAGTCAACGAGAGCTCTTTTCCGCGCATTATTCTCCGTTCGTACCTAAATATCCTCAATTCAGTATCAGATGTACTTGACACAAAATCACAAGCATAAACGGCAAATTTTAGGTAATGAGTGAATATTTGTTTCTATTTGGATGCCTATTGGTTATCAGGTTCTAGGTTTAAAGTAGAATTTATCACAAATTCTGGCATTCGATAAATCTAGGTCTTTTGTATACTGTACAATGTACATTATACATTATACACTATACACTACAGTGCAAGCACTTCATGAGAAATTTACAAATAATGTTTCATATTGAACTATTAAAAAATTGATAAATAATAAGAAGAAATAATAATTATTAATAAGAAATAATTGAATCAAACTAAATCATTCTTTGAAGGGTGCTTGAGACATCCTTGCTTTGATGGAGTTTTATCCCCTCCTCTCAAATTAAAACAATTCAAATCAATAATAAATAACTAATATTAATAAGTATCCGACCTTCTCAGCCTTTTCTCTGGCCTCTCTAACCCTCTGTAACCTCGCCTCATTCTCCCGCTCCTTCAAGATGTTCTCATACGAAGCCTTAAACTGGTCCTGTAAAAATTGAATCAATAATTAAATCATTTAATATATATAAATTATATAAACTATTTTCATAAAATATCCATTAACATTGACATTATTTTTACCTTGAAAACTTTAATGTCGGAGAAAAATTCTTCTAGAGTATACTTCTGCTTATCAAATACAAAATATTCAGATAATCCTAAGCAAATCAATCAATCAATCAATCAATCAATGAACCAACTAATCATGTAAGTAAGAGGCATATTGCTTATGCTTAAAAATATTTAAAAAACAACAAATCAATCATTTAATCAAATGTGTAATTAATTAACCGCTAGCCTCTTGGGTCTACAAAAACTTCTTTATTGCTAATTTGCTTTTAAATCCGAGAGAATATGAAAGGTTTTGTAGGAAGCGTTGGATCGTTAGAAAAAATTTATTTTATGTATACAAATAACCATGCAATATAATTGAGTAAACCAACCTAAGTATAATGAATCCATTTTCTGGTACATGGATTGAAGGATTTCACACTGTGCTCGGGCTTCTGCAAATAACATGATGTAGATTTAGATCTAGTAGAAATACTGAATAGAACATGACATAATAAGGGGTAACGAAACTTTTATATGCTTCCTGTAGTTTTAAAAAAATGTATTTTTAACTGTAAATTGCACTTAACACGCTTGAGTCTTTTTAAATTAAAGAAAAAGAATTTATTTAACTATTTGGAATTAGGAATTTCAGAATTTTCTCTCTTTTTCCCCTAGCTCATCCCTAAGCTTTAGCCTCAAGGGGAGCAATTTAGCCTCAGGGGTGAGCAATTTAGCATAAGAGGTGAGCAATTTTCCAGAGATGAGCGGTCACTCCATCGCTCACCCCTATATCTTACCCTGCATCCCAGAATTAAATGACCAAATTTTCAACGGTAGGGTACTTGATTATTTTTTCATAAAATAAATGTATCTTAAGTATTTTTGTCAGAAGTAAAATGTTCTTGAATTTTTTCAATTACTAATAAATAGTTTTGTTTCTTAAGATTTTAAACTTGAACTTTTCCTTTCCTTTTTTCCTTTTCCTTCAGCCTGTGGATTAACCCCATAAAATCAAATTCAATTTCAGATGAAAGAAAAAACATTTATACAATTAAAATATTTCTACCAAACAATTTCAAACAAAAGGGATTGTTTCACCTTTCGAGAACTGTCCCATTGTCTCCTCGAACTTGTCGTCAGGGTCCGTGTTCCCCCTGGACGCATTCTTCAAGTCAGTCTCAAGATTCTTCACAGAGTTGTCCATATTCTTCAAGGCCTGAAAATCAATAAATCAATTCATGTCAAAATCTAACAATACATAGCTAAGTAAACCACAGTAATGATGAAACTAAATAAATATCATCTGTATCTGGGACATTATTAGTTGATACAACATATCCAGAGTGGATTTTTAACTTATAAAATTAGCTAAATAAAATAAATACAAGGTTAACTAATATTGCGAGGACATCAAGGCCGATCCCCCTTCAAAATAATCGCCTAATGAGGAAAATTATTTCTGATATTATTAATTAAATGATTATGTTTGGAGTAGCTTAGATAAATCCATAAGTCTAGTGATAAAATGACTAAATCAGGTGGAAAACTGCATTGGTATAAATCTACAACTGGGCTGAATACATTAAATGTACCTTCATAACTCCTTCACAGTGTACCCTTGCTGCCTTATCCACGTGCATAATTTCATCCTTTACAGAAAAAAATTTAATTAAAACAAATAATGATGTTCTCACAAAAATAAGTTATGTTTACCAAATTATAATTTTTATAAGATTACGATTTTTAATGAGAAAAGTTATCGTAATCACAAAATAGAATATTGTTCAATGTAAATAATGATCATTTAAGATAAATTCTAATAAAAATAATTATTATAAGATATATTTACAAAGAAGTTTAAAAGTTCTGGATAATCCTTCTCGATAGTTTCGACCAGGAAGGTGAGCAGTGTCGTCTTGTTGTCCCTGATCAATATCATCATTATTAGTATAATTATTATTATTACTATTATTATTTACCCCGGAACTACTCCTTACTTTATTTATCTATTTGTATCACTTATGATAAGCTTTTTTCTGTAAAAATTACACAATTATTACAATCACTTTAAAATTTATTTTAGGGGAGTATATTTTCTTGAAAAAATATTCCCCCCTTTTAGTTTTAACCCCCCCCCCCCCGTTATGTATTTTAGATCAGAGCGGAAATTTAGTGCATTCGGTTTTATTTTCTCAATTTGGGATAATAACTTCTTTTTTTAAAGTGATCATATATTCATTTTGCCCCTGTTTTCCAGACCCCTCTAAACCCCTCTCACCTGTCCTTGGTATTACTAAGTTTAGTGAGATAAGAAATATCAAATCCGACACTCTGCTCGTTTTTACTAAACAATAAAAAATTACATAAGAACTGTAGTTAACTTTAAGGGACCCCTATTTATATCAAGTTTTTATCTCAGCAACCATAACATAGGTACGATATCACCATTTTCCATCATACATTTTTTCCCTCGGATGCTTACAATCCGTTAGTTACTTTTCTAGAGAAACCACAAATAGAAATGATGAATTTTGAGAAGGATAAACCTTTATAGCTTGCCCCCTCTTTATATGGGATATTCTTGAAATTACATAGACTGTCCCTTTAATCAAATATTTTGTTGTGGCATCTAGGAACAAAATTATGAATGGTATCACTTCATTATTATTCGAAATTTTTCATAGCATTACAAAAACATTTTGAATTCCAATTAGAAATGTTCAAAATAAATTCTTTTTAAAAAGTAATATGTGTTTAATGTTTACCTGCCAGTATTCATAATGTTTCCAATCAACAGAATTATTTCCAATAGTTTGCCAAACTTTTTAGATTTCCGAACCTGAACCAGTCAATATTACATTACAATAGTATCATTATGTTTCCGAACCTGAACCAGTCAATATTACATTACAATAGTATCATTTTGTTGCATGCACTTTGATTAAATGATGGTTTGATGTACTTTGTTTTGTTGCATTTATAAATAGATATTAACAACACTTTGTTCACTATTTTGATAACTCAAACAATTGATTGTTTTTTAGTAATAATTTTTATTGAAAACAAGTTTAATGAAGTGTTTATATAGTGCACAGTAAACAAACAAACAAACAAACAAACAAACACAAAACACAGACAAACAAGCATTACAACTTTGGCATGTGTTTTATTTTTAAGTATAAATGAAACAATTTCATTTTATCTGTGTGTGTATCTGTGTACATGTATTGAAAATAAACAATGGTGTAAAATTGTACTGTACTCTACCTCTTCACAAGCAGCTGTTGCGGCAACAATATGAGGTTTACAGTCCTGTACAAGCTCAGGATAGAAAAGCTGAAATCTGCAATATATTTCAATACAATTAAATTAGATGAACCTTACTACATAATTATTAATGAATCTTAAAAATACTTTGAATCAGATTCAAATTTGCGATTGAAGTGTGAACAGAAGAGGTTATAGCATATAGAGGGTTTATGTACAAGTGAACACGAAACTTTGACCTAGACTCAGCCACCTGAGTTCCGTACAGGGGTTGATTTCAGCAAGATGTGTATTAGAATGTTTTAGACAGGATAGAATAGAATAAAAAGAATAATCACATAAATCTATTAATGATTTAACGCATAATATGATTAAACGCATAATAATTAAAAATATCCCCACCCCCGACCCTCTCGTAGAATTTTATTTTATCTCAGGAAACTAATTAACGCCATAAAATATTTATCAGGAGATTTTTGCTAAAAAAATGCAGTTTTTAGAAATGTGAGGTTATGGTGAAATTATATCCTGTCAGTGTACAACGTAGGTGTTATTTTCTATACCTAGACTTTTAACATCAAGATACGAAGATTAATTCTCATTTTCCAGACCAGCTGATTTGTTACCATTTTTCTTATTGTTTGCCTTGTAAGTTTCTGTTTTTGAAGTCTTCTCCCCCCTGGTTAAGACATTATAGTGTAAATATAAGGCAGCCAACTAACCCACTTTCCACCATCCACAAAAAAGTTTAGTTGTAACATTCATCCCTGTTTAGGCCATGTACATTTTCGTTCCAGTTTTGTAAAGTTAGCATTTATTATTATTGTTGTTATTATATTATATTATTGTTATTATAATTTTTAGATATACAACCAAAAAAAGACAAAGTTTGACGGAAAACAATTGACATTGTCGTGAAATCAGTGGGATTTGATGAAGCATAATGAGGAATTCCTATTTTGGGTGAGCAATGAGCAAAGTTGAGAAATTGCTGGTTAAAGCTGAAGATGAGAAATGAATAGGTAAAGAATATATATGGTAGGGCTGCTTTCCCTCCCCAAACAGAGCCATCTAGCGGCTGTTCTTAGAAGTTTTAAACGCGATCCGAACCAAGGTTATAATGCAAGGAGAGTTAATTACTCTACGCACATATTAAAACCAGTTCTCTCTGGGTGGAATTTGTAAATAAGAAAGGATGCATCAGTGTTCGTTTAGTATCCGAGGAGGTTAAAAGCATTAAATTTTTAAAATCTTGATAATTCACATAATTGTTTCCTATAACCAGAATATTTCATTGATTTTTTTGTGAAAGATTAGCCCTTGTATTCCTTGTATAAACACAATGTTTACCTTAATGATTTTAATCTAGGCACTAAACGTTTAATGTCCGCCAAGGACAGAGCAAATTGTTCGGCTTCCGCTAAATTATCATAACTAAAATAAAATAAAAATCAGGCAAAATTTACAAATTAAAATTTTCGAATAAGACATATTTTTAAAGTTTGTCAACAGTTGATAAATCCGAAGTATTCAAAATCTCATTATGGTTTTCCACTACTGTGCCATTATGTTTGCAAGTTAAAAAATCAAACTGACCAGTAATTAGTTTTAAAAAATCTTATTTCGATAAGATAAAAAAGTAAATAAAAATATTGAGTCTCCAATACCAAAGTAGCATATTTCTTACTCTGATTGATGTTCTAGAAGACGGTTGAGTTGGTCCGGGGTTGGCAGGTACTGAAATAATATCATTCAATTAATAAACTTACAGACTAGGGTTGGCCGTGTTTCTACTTTTTTTAAAATCTTTTGTTCCGTTTGTTCCCGTGTTATAACGATCATTCCCCAGGAACGACGCCCAGCCCTATTCCAGACTATTCACATTTTCCTCCATAGATTCCTTTATTTCGTCAAAATTTCTAAATTTGGCGATAAATTCTGATATAATTTTTTTATCATTATGAAAGGTCGAAAATATAATAAATATATATTAACCTTAAGCCGAATTTAAAGAATTTGAGCCGCGGCTTAAATATGGTTGGTTTCAATTAAAATCGTGTTAAATGTTTGAAGATTTAAGCCGGCACTCAATTGAAACCGGTTTTGGGGGGATTTAAGACGCGGCTCAAATTCATTAAATGCGGACTTTGTTATACTTATAAAATAAGTAAACCCATTGAGAAAATATTCAAATCAAATTAAACTCTAGGAAAATATTAATAAAGACCTGAATAAGTGATTGAAGAAGGTTTTCTGTAAGAACTGAAGTATCACATCTAAGAATACATTTCCGTAGATCAGAGTAGGAGATGTGCTTTAAAGATCCACCTAAACAAACAAACTCTAAAGTAAACTATCTAACTAATCGTAGGGTTTTCAACAGCTGTGGCAAACCTCGGTCTTTCAAAATTCACAAACTGGTGGTTACAGGTTCCACTTTTTTAGAAATTAAAACAAAGATATTTTCAATCGCTTCCCAATACAAATTTTCAAAAATGTAACTTACCTAGTACAACTGAAAGGTTCTGCGCTGCTTTGGCATCTAAAACCTTTAATTCCTGAAGATAAAAATACGAATTATCCTTATGAAGTCCTTTAAGTAAACTAGTTTATACCTTAGTTTTCTTTTTCGTAGCTGTAGGTTTCCCCTCGTCCACTGATAATTTACTCGGAGGTTTAGAAGAAAACCGGTCCTAAAAATCAGATCAGACTTTTAGCGACGTCCTTCTCCAACACCCCAAACTCAACTGGTTTTATCACTACTAATATTATTGAATTTGATCAGTTATTAGAACAGTTTGGAAAGAACACAATATAGATTTAATATGAATAAATAAAAATGTTTTGGAGGGATTAAAAAAAAATTAACAGAACGAAGGTAAAGAGAAGCTGTGGTCCTAAGAACATTTAGGTTCTTATGAACGAAGGTAAAGAGAAGTTGTGGTTCTAAGAACATTTAGGTTCTTATGAACGAAGGTAAAGAGAAGTTGTGGTTTTAAGAACATTTAGGTTCTTATGAACGAAGGAAAAGAGAATTTGTGGTTCTAAGAACATTTAGGGTTCTTATGAACGAAGGTAAAGAGAAGTTGTGGTTCTAAGAACATTTAGGTTCTTATGAACGAAGGTAAAGAAGTTGTGGTTCTAAGAACATTTAGGTTCTTATGAATGAAGGTAAAGAGGAGCTGTGGTTCCAAGAACATTTAGGTTCTTATGAACATCAGTCCAATGTATTGTTTATTCAAATCCAACCCGATTAGGAAACAAAATGAAGAATTTATCGAACCCGTTAAGACCCATCTTTGAATTTGTTTTCACCTGTAGGTTTTCTATTAAAGATTGTGAGGCTAATCTTTCCTCGTCCACCTACCCAGTATCCAGGCTTATTTTAACCAACAACTACAAGAGACCAGGCAGAGTTTTAAGACTCATAATATTGGAACTTTTGCTGTACTATATGTTTAACGGAGTTAAATATTCAAATCAAAAAACTAAGATAAGGCTGGATTCCTTTGTCCAGAAAGCATTTTCTGTCAGTTTATTCACAGGTACAGCCTTCCAGTTAGTTCTCTTTATCTGTCCTGCTCAAGGGATAACTTTAAACCCGGAATATTTTAGAACGGAATGTATCCTCATAATTTACCAAAAACAGGCGGGGGGGGGGGGGGGGGGTCAACAAGCATTCTAGGTGGGATATAAAAATTGCTGAATGAAATTCATATATTTTGAAATTCTGGTTTAAAGTTTTTTCCTTCCACAGCCCACTTCTTCTTTCTCTTCATACCAAGCTTTATAAGAATATCTAGAAAAAAACCATTAAAGAATTTTACGAATTACAATAAATAAAAGTAAGAAAAATAATACCTGAAGCTTGAGGAGCAGCTGGAGGACCAGGAGGACCTGGAGGTCGAGGAGCTCCAAAGGGTGGAGGAGGAGGGGGTGGTCCTCCTCCTGGAGGTGGAGGAGGGGGTGGAGCTCCAGATCCAGGTGGAGGTGGAGGCGGTGGAGGACCACCCATACCAGGTGGTGGGGGAGGGGGAGGAGGACCCCCTCCAGGTGGAGGAGGGGGAGGTGGGGCGCCACCTCCTGGGGGTATTGGAGGTGCAGCTGGGTTATACATTCCAATGCCAGGGGGAGGGGGTGGTAGTTTGCCCGGCATTACACCACCATTACTAAACAAACACGTTTAAAAAACCTTTTAAATAGATCTAATATACTGTGATTATTCTATCCTTATTATTATTCATAATGTTTAAGATATACCTGAGGGCGTCCTCGAGTTGGTTGATCCTCTGCTGAGCTTGAGATAGTTTAGCCTCGGTTTCCTGCTTCTCTGTAAGCGCAGCCTCCAAGCCTTTTAATAAAAAGAAATAAGAAAAAGCTGAACAAAGCAGTAAAAGGGTAAAGGAAGGATCAGTTGGGTCTGTGAACAGGATTGGAGGGATCTGTGAGTCTAGGACAGGATTTGAGGGATCTGTGAGTCTAGGACAGGATTTGAGGGATCTATGGGTCTAGGAAAGGATTGGATCGGAGGGATCTATAGATATAGGACAGGATTGGAGAGATCTACGGGTCTAGGACAGGATTGGAGGGATCTATGGATGTAGAACAGGGATAGATAGATCTATGGGTCTAGGCCAGGATTGGAGGGATCTATGGGTATATAGAACAGGATTGGAGGGATCTATAGATGTAGGACAGGATTCGAGATATCTATATGTCTAAGCCAGGATTGGAGGAATCTATGAATGTAGAACAGGGTTAGAGAGATCTATGGGTCTAGGCCAGGATTGGAGGGATCTATGGGTATATAGAACAGGATTGGAAGGATCTATGGATGTAGGACAGGATTGGAGGAATCTATATGTCTAAGCCAGGATTGGAGGGATCTATGGGTCTAGGACAGGATTGGAGGGATCTATGGGTCTAGAACAGGATAAGAGAGATCTAAGTATAGTACAGGATTGGAGGGATCTATGGATCTAGGACAGGATTGGAGGAATCTATGTGCCTAGAACAGGATTGGAGGGATCTATGGGTCTAGAACAGGATAAGAGAGATCTAAGCATAGTACAGGATTGGAGAGATCTATGGATCTAGGACAGGATTGGAGGGATCTATGGGTCTAGTATAGGATTGGAGGGATCTATGGGTCTAGAACAGGATTGGAGGGATCTATGGTTCTAGGACAGGATAAGAGAGATATAATTATAGTACAGGATTGGAGGGATCTATGGGTCTAGGACAGGATTGAAGGGATCTATGGGTCTGGTATAGGATTGCCGGGATCTATGGGTCTAGGACAGGTTAAAATGTATCTATGGGTCTAGTACAGGATTGGAGGGATCTATGGGTCTAGTACAGGATTAAGTTGGATCTATGGGTCTGGTACAGGATTAAGATGGATCTATGGGTCTGGTACAGGATTGGAGGGATCTATGGGTCTAGTACATGATTGGAGGGATCTACGGGTATAGGACAGGATTGGAGGGATCTATGGGTCTAGGACAGGATTGGAGGGATCTATGGGTCTAGTACAGAATTGGAGGGATCCTTGGGTCTGGTTTAGGATTGGAGGGATCTATGGGTCTGATACAGGGTCGGAGGGATCTATGGGTCTAGGACAGGTTAAGAGGGATCTATGGGTCTAGTACAGGATTGGAGGGATCTATGGGTCTAGGACAGGTTAAGAGGGATCTATGGGTCTAGTACAGGATTAAGATAAGATCAATTTATCTCATGTGAAGGGAAAATCACTTACCAGCATTCATCCCTATACTCCCTCCTCCACTCCCATCTTCTCTACCTCTCTCTATCAACTGTTCTATCAATGGTTCTACGTCTATGTTAAATCTCTGGGTTGCTCTACAATAATAAACGATGATTATAAAAGTGCATACAATAAACTTTATTAATCATGATAAACAAGTAATTTCGATCAAAATAATGCATATCTGACCTAAAATCTGGATCACAGCCGGATTTGTGAAGTACAATTTGGGAAACACACTCTTCTATCAGCTTGTAGTATGCAGGCCTAATCAATCAATCAATCAATCAATCAAGCAATCAATCAATCAATCAATCAATCAATCAACCGACCAACCATGAAACCAACCAATCAACAAATCAAGGTTAAATTAAACAATCTATTAAACAGACCAAGCGATCAATCAACCGATTCATCAACCAACCAATCAACCATTTAACATATTTTTACTCAAAAATTGTATTTTGCTTAAATATGACACTTCGAAAAATGTTTCAACTCAGAATTGCTTCTGGAAAAGTTGACAGCTTGAAATCATCTCTGGATTAAACGGCAGACTGACCCATCCCACATAATTCAATAGAACCCATCAGCATTTAACTTTTTGTATTCTAAGGAGGTTTTTCGAAAAAGAAAAAATTTAAATTGATCCATTGATCTAGGGGGGGGGGGCGGACATATTAACCTGATCTGAGCATCGTCTCGAATACAGACAAGATGTTGAAGGATGGAGAGGAAGTATGGTTCTGCTGGTGAATCCAGAACAAGGTTCTTTATCAATTCAAAACATTCGTTCACGTCGTCCAGCTCCAGCCGGATATTGTCAAACCTGAACATTCGCAAAATATTTTATTTAAATCCAAAAATGTTTATTTTACTTACAACTTATTTTATTGGTTTTGTTGAAAATATTTAAATAGAACAAATAGAATAAATGAAACGAACCTCTGCGCAAACTCGTCGAAGTCCTCTTCCTTGTGATCGTTGAAGACCTTGAGCTGGAGAATCAGATCCTCGCTGTTCTCATCTTCAAGGGTCTAACAAACATGATTATATAATTTCTTCACAATTTGTTCATAAAAATGACTTTTATCAAAACTTACATCTAGTACGTCTATCAGTCCAACACGCATAAACTCATTTCGCAAATGGATTCTGAAGTCTAGATCATCCGGGCTTGTCATAAGAGCATTGATGAGTTGAAGACAAGCTACCCTCAACCCATCGTTATTCCTGCAAAAAAATAACAGTAAACAAAAAAAGAAATAGAAAAGTAAATGTCATATCAAAAAATAGGAAGTACCGGAAGAAATATTTTTCATGAAATTCAATTTATATATATATTTTCTTATAACAAATCTATAATAAACAATAAAATATAGACCTGAGCAGTAGACCCTGGACAATCGGTTGAAAACGATCCCTTCCCTTCACTTCTCCAGCAATAGTGATGGCTTCCAGAGTCTAAATACGTTGCAAAGTAAATTTTTAAACTAATAATTACATGTAAAATCTAAAATATGTCGAAAGTACTTAAATTAGATTAGAGATCGAGATTGTTAATAAAACATAAATAATCTAAATCTGAATATGCAAACTCTGCTCTAAATGATTTAAATAGTTTTTATATAAAAAAGTTTTTGGTTCGGCCTAGATGTGACTATGGAAGCAACATTTTACTGTATTAAAACTAACGCAAGAATGCTTTAAAAAAATTGCTTAACACCTTCTAGATTATTACGAGTGAATGAATGAATAAAGAAATGAATAAATGAATGAACGAAAAAATAAAGAAATAAAGAAATGAATTAATGAATGAATAAATATGTAAAGAAATCAATGAATCAATGAATAACGAAAGAAATAAAGAAACAAAGAAATAAAGAAATGAAGGATGAATGCATGGATGAATGAATGAACTACCTTCTCGTGTCCATCAGGAGGAATAAGGCAGATCGCTGACATGAGTCTAACCGCCTCCAGCATCACGTGGGGCAGAGCAGGATTTATAGATCTTAAATATTATCAATAAATAATAAAACATTTAACTAAATTTTTTTATGATTAAGAAAAAAATCTATATCATTTACCTCGCCAATAGGGTTAGAGCTTCCTTGTGTTCCAACATTGCTTTTAACCCAACCTGTATAAGATTATTCATAACGATAAGAATATTTTTTAAGAAACTTTTGATTATTTTAAACTTTAAAAAAAATCACCTTGTTGTTCATAATTGCCTTGAGACATTTAATACACTCGTGTTGAACTTTGTCCCAGGTAGAATCACTGAATAAAAAACATATTTCAGATCAAAGCTTTTAAATGTTTGCAGTGTTGAGAGAATCGGCGCTTTCAAATTCAAATTCTGAGCATATAAAGACAAGGAGTTGACTTTTTGTATGCAAAACAACCTCTTCTGATAAAAGTCTTTATTTTTTTATCCTGATCACTCATTAATCCTGGATCCATATCTAGGATTAAGGTAAAAAAAAATATAAAGAAAATATCTGTTTTTAAAACCCAAGAATGTTAAATATATCCTAAATATTGCTTCTCTGTGTTAAATGAGACTTTGGAGCAGATTTGCACTTGCTACTTGACAAATAAAACTAAGTAAGTTTAATTATTTGCAATTTTTTTAATGCAGATTAAAAAATACATATTTGAAAAAAATGTGTCAAACAACTGAAATCTAATGAAAAAAAAACACTATCTACTTTTCCTAAATAAAACTCACTGTATTTTGATGCTTGAAAACAAAAACCAATTATCAATCTAAATATTAAACTAGGGGATAATTAGTTGCTTCAATTAATAGAGTAACTATAAACACAATAATCAATAATCATGCATGACGTCATAGAAACACACAAAGGGAAACCTTTATTTACAGATGATATTGTTGCGTCACAACTTGTTCTTATCTGTAACAATTATTTGGAAATATTATTATTATTTGACAAAAATAAAACTTTAAAATTAAATACAATTTTTTTAAAACATTTTTTGTTTGTATTAAACTATAAATAGAATCAATCAGAGGAATTGGTACATATCCTCTTGTCATTTCCAGATAAAAACTTCCAAGGGGACTAAATTGGACATTTCCTCCAAAGGATATTTTCCAAATATTAGGTAAGAACGGTGCCAAAGGAAAATCCATATTTCCAAGGGATGGATCCGGATCTTTATTTCCTAGGGTGGATCCGTATCGATATTTCTTAAGGGCGAATCCGGATTTATACTTCCTGAGGAGGATACAGGATCTGGATCCACATTTCTTGAGGCGGAAAATAATCCGGATCAACTTTTCTCAAGGCGAATAAAAGATCCAGACCCTTATTTCCTGAGGCGGATCAAGGATCCAAATCCATAATCGCAGAAGTGGAATCAAGAATCCTTATCCATGTTTCATGAGGCCGGATCAAGGATCCGGATCCATATGTCCTCAATACGGATTAAGAATCTGGATCCTTTTCCTGAGAGCGGATAAAGTTTATTGATTCAAATTACTGAGGGCGGATCAAGAATTTGGATCCGCCCCAGGGCAGATTAAGTTTATAGAACCATATTTCTGAGTGCAGATAAAGTTTACAGATCCATATTTCTGAGTGCAGACCATGTTTACAGATCCATATTTCCGAGTGCAGATAAAGTTTACGGATTCACATTTCTGAACGCAGTTCAAGTTTACAGATCCATGTTACTATACGCAGTTCATGTTTACAGATGCATATTTCTGAGGAAAGATCAAGTTTACGGATCCATATTTCTGAGTTTAGACCAAGATTACAGATCCATGTTTCGAGTGCAGTTCAAGTTTACAGATCCATATCTCTGAGTACAGATCAAGTTTACAGATACATGTTTCTATGCGCAGATCAAGTTTACAGATCCATATTTCTGAGTGCAGATCAAGTTTACAGATCCATATTTCTGAGGGAAGATCATGTTTACATATCCATATTTCTGAGTGCAGATCAAGTATATGGATCCATACTTATGAGTGCAGATCAAGTACACGGATCAGCAAAAGTAATGGATTACAATTGTTACTAATGTAATTGATCAAGGTGTAAATTCGTCAGAGATAAATCAGTATTTAAAAACTTACTTTCTAAAGCATTCATTTAGAACAGAGAGAACCTGCTTCAAACCCTGGACATAATAAAAACCATGAGAGAAAACCTTGATTGTCATTTTTTTTAAACTCAATTTTTTTTAAAGAAAGTAAATTTTGTCCAAGTTTGGACGATTTTCGCCAAAGAAAACTGTTTCAATCAATCAACTATACTACCATCATTTTTCAAATCTTAAAATTTTTATTTTAAACTAAGATAAAATATAAGGGTCATAAGATTCNCGGATTAAAAATCAAGAATTTAAAGAAAACAGATTAAAGAAAAGACTGATAGGATTTAACATTAAACATGCAGGTTTTCTTAATGGTAAAATATTCCTTGTTTCCAAAATCTTGAACCCATTCTAAACTGTTACTCGTGAGTGCAACCCTAAAAATAAACGGTATATTTTTATTGTTCTATTCCTCTTGGTCTCTGGTCTATTTTTCTTGGCTATTCTATTCTTTATTTCCCGCTCTATTTCTCTTGCTTTATTATTATATAAATCTTGGTTTCTTATTCTATTTCTCTTGGGTTATTATTTTATTACTCTTGGTTTGTTATTCTACCATTTTTGGTTTCTTATTCTATTCCTCTTGGTTAATTATTCAACTACTCTTGGTTTATAATTCTATTATTCTTGGTTTATTATTCCATTATTCTTGGTTAATTATTCTATTCCTCTTGGGTTATTTTTCTATTCCTCTTGGTTTATTATTTTATTCCTTATAGATTTATCATTCTGTTATGGTAAGGTTTATCTTTTAGAATTTGATGTTTTTAAACTATTTTTCCTAGTTTTAATATTTCACCATTTTTAACATTCTCTTTATGCGAGATTTATTTTTTTATGATTTGATATTATTTTCTTTTGTCTCACTTCTTTTATGTTTGTTTTTATGTTTGTGATTCATAATTTTATTGTAAACTTTAAAAAATTCAAGAAAAAAAATACCTTAGGGATTCGACACAATTATATTTTTTGGTTAAAGATAGTTCTGGACTGGACAGATACTGTATATAGTCGGTTGGGGAGTCAAGCCTGAAATAAAAAAAAATATATTTTATAAAAAAAATATTAACACTTAATATTTATTAAGTATTTAGACTTAAGAGATGCTCTGAATCGTATTCAACTTATCGTTATTTAAGTAAATCCGTTAAAAAAAAGACAAAATGATAATCGATTTTGGTAATTAGCAGTGATACAAAATATACGAACTCAAAACTTTTTTAATGGAGGTCCCTTGAAATTGCGTAAAAATTCCGAATTACGAAAACCTAAAAAATTATAAAACAACCTGGTCGCTAAGAGCTTTTACCACAATTCTAACCCCGATCCCTACTTAACCCTGGATCCATAGGGAAATAACCCCTCAATAACCTGTTTTTGGGCTTATGAATAATTGATAATTATACAGCCTGACTAACCTGTTTCTAGCTGTTGTTTTAGAATTCATTGTCAGCATATCACGCTTCTTACTAAAATCAAAGGTTGCTGTCAAATAAACAATTCAATTAAGGGGTATAAGGGGCCAAGGGCTTTAATATTGATTTAAGGGATTTATGAAAGTAGGCAAACTAATATTTGTGTGAAATATTTATATTACCCAAAAAAAGTTTTTAAACTAATGTTTATGTCTGGAGGGGGGGGGGGTACCCCCCGTACCTTTGAGCTGGCTTGCGTTTTAAATTTAAAAAATATAAGTTTACAGGGTTGTAAAGAACATATTCTCCACCTTAAAGGAAGAAGCCGCAAAGGTTCCTTCTTTTCTTCGTTTAAATTCATATTCTCCAACATTTTCTCAAACTCCTAAAATCAACATAAGCATAATATTTTAGTCCTTTTTCTTATCAATGTTTTATTAGGAATTAAGTTAAATTTTTTTATATCATAAAATGCAAAATACAAGTTCATTGTTCATTATTATAACAAATACTAATAAAATGTTTTTATTTGGGTTGAATCTTATTATCCCCTTGAAAGGATGTAAATAATTTAGAAAGCAATAAATTATAAAATTAGACTTGAACTGATGAATCAACATTAATAATTTAAATATTAATTGTCTATTCATTATTTTAACAATTGAAATTAATAAACATCAATAAATCATAATCCACAAAGAAATCTTAAATAAAAAGTAAAGCAGACGATTTTAATTTAAAACCATGTTTCTGGGAACACTTTAAACTTTTTAAGTGTAAGGCATTTTCATTTCGTACATTGTTTGCCAATGAGGGGCGGATACAAGATTGAAGTGAGAGGGGTGATAGATTTATTTCGGAACCAAAAATGCTGATTTAGGAACCAAAAGACGCAGCGCAGGCGAACATTTTTTTAAGAAAGAAATTTTTTCTGCTTTGCACTAGGTTTTCTTTTCTTTAAGTACTATTGAGAAGCTATTCTGAAATCTCAGGGGGGTGCAAAGGTCCTTCCGCCCCCCCCCCCTGTATCCGCCTCTGTTACCAATAACAAAAGAATGTTTCCTATCTTTCATGTTTTATCTTATTAAAAAAAGAAACAATTTAGAATGCTGAGCGGCCAAAAAACACCTTAGCTCTGAGTATGATGTATCTAATAATTTTTTTTAAATTGTAAAAGTAAAAAAGTGATCTCACATCCATAATATCCTTGTCACTCATCCTGTCAATACTCCAGCTCTCCTCTTCGGCCTCGTTGAAATCACTAAGTGAAGTTGGCCTCTGTATATTTCCTGGAGGTTGTCCTCTAGCTTTAGTTTTACCTCCGGCCAGGCCTCCAACCATCTTGTCCAGCTGAACAAAACAAATATTTATCAATAGGAAAAACATACCTTACTAACTATCTTTTTAAAATTATTACTTTGAAAAAATTTGGATTTTTTTTCGTTTATCTATTTATTATATTCTTATTAAAGTAATTTTATTCCATTTTACTCTTTTGTGGGTAAAATTTATTTTATGATAAAACTTAGTTTTAAGGATAGACTGGTTAGAAGAAGAGTTTTGTAAAAGAGTTTTAGGGACCAAATAAAATGAATGATGTAGTTGAACTATGTAAATTAAGCTGAACCACTTCTCTTCTACTTGAACCACGTCTACGTAGTTCAACTATATATCGGTATCAGTTGAACCCGGTCCATAATCTTTAAATTGATCTACAATATTAATCTCAACTCAAGTTGGATTTATTTTACCAGGATTCATGGTGGTTTAATGTAGAAAAAAAATCTTAGAAAAATGCGACTCTAAATGCTACCTCCCCCCTCAGTCTTCTACTTTGTACCTGTCTACTTATATTCATTCTATGTTTTTTAACAATAAATATTTAGGCTTGTTGTTGGCTAATATTCACTCTACTCCTACTCACTGTATACTTAATACTAACTAACATCAAACTCAAGGAGGGGGGGGGAGGGGAGGGGACAGTTGCCCCAGAAATAAAAAATAAATCAAAATCATCAAACCTATTTCTCGCTTAATTCTTTTTTTTTTAAATATTCTAAATATTCAAATTATTCAAACATCCCTGTAAAAGATTTACAAGTCACAAAACTATCTTTCGAGGCTGATTAGTGAATACAATTATACATAGTAGTATGATAAAAATAATGTGTTTAACAAATGAAATCGGCAAATAGTGATTTATTTTTGAGTTTAAATAATAATTTTTAGATTATATTAGACGTTTCGACAATAAATTGCATACTTTATTTATAACACTAAATCTCTTTGAAATAATGATTAGGACTTCTATGAATGAGAATTTTTAACAACCAAAGCTGACTAAAAAAAATTTCACAATGATCGTGTCTGAACATTTTTAACTTTTCAAAAATATAATTTCGTAGACTTAAAAAATGACAAGAAAATGTCCCACAGTTCTTAAGATGCATATACGTTATATTTAACAGACTATTTCCCGTGGGAATCTATTCCTTTGCAACTTAACTATTTCTGACAATTTTTGAAAAAATATGTCCGATGCAACAAGTGCATATTCTCCTCCGGGACATTAACTTATTAAACGAAAGAACAAATACGACATTTATTCCATAGTTTTCTATAGCTCTTTGCATAATTGAGTTCTCAGATATAATTGCCCAGTTGTGAATTTAGCAGGGGAACCCCTAGTTTGAATTGTTAGCATCATATGATAATCGATGTCTAAGTAGAATTGATGAATCGTATTAAAATATCAAATTACAGTTTTCAAAACAATACGCTGCAAGCCAGCTGGTACTTAATTCATATGGGGTGGGGGGGGGGAGAGAAATTGGTGTGATGGGGATTAGAAGTAAACAAATGCACTAAAATTAAGATAAAACTTATATACTTACAAAACTATGTTTTCTGCCAAGATTTGACATTTTTAATATTCGTTAACTCTGTTCATACATTTTAGTCTAAAGGTATACCTTATAGTTAGTTTGTTAGTTAGGTATTTACGTAGATATTTAGCTGTCTAACTATTTAGGTAGGTATTTAGCTAGTTAGCTATTTGGGTAGGTATTTAAATAGTTAGCTCTTTAGGTAGGTATTTAACTAGTTAGCTATTTAGTTGATTATAATGAGTAAACATTTATCAGTTTGTTTACTTTGGGTAAACATACAACCTCAGGGACAAACTACGTTTTTTAAAGGTAGTCTGACGGCCCCCCCTCTTCCACCCTACCACCCCCCCCACATTTCTTACCACCCCCTCCCTCCAAAAAGGATGACACGGTGAAAAGTATTGACTGTTTGTAAGCCTGTGTATAACACAATAAGACCAGGAAAACCAATTCAACGACAAAATAAAAAATAAAAATGATGAACTGATGACTTCTAACTCATCATTGTTAATCTAAGAAAACAAATACAACAATAGATTGGTTTTTAGGCTGTATGTGGACAATATTGTCAACAATATACATATATATTTAATATTCAGTAATTCATATTATTAATAAATCGAGGGCGTACACAGGAATAAATCTAAGGGGGCCAAATATGCGCGTAGGGCAATTTCTTGTTTGTTGCCCCTCCTAGGAGCTTCTTAGTGAGGGTAAAATTTGAACTGTAAATTAAAACATTTGGCTTCTTGGATACTTTAAAGGTACACACTACACATGCAGTCCAATTACATTACAAGTACTACTTTATCTCTCCTTCAAACAAAACTAGCAGAAAAAAGCAAACTAATTTTTTATACTCTTCAGTCTCAGATTTGAAAACTAATATGGCTCTGAGTTCTAGGGGGGACTCCCCTCCTTGCCCCCCCCCCCTGTGTACGCCCTTGATACAATTATGTATACATGATTGTATATAGCAGTAATCTCTGTTTGTCTATCTGTCTGTTTGTGTAACCGATCATAACTCAGGATCCGAACCTTTTGACTGATTTGCCTCAAATTTCGATTGGGGACCTACAGGAGTGTTCTTAGCTTGATTTTAAGGTTATTAATCGAGTAGGTTAACTTTCACAGGAAAAATTTAGTTTCCAGGGTTCCCGAACTAGTATACCAAAAAAATCTAGGATATAATTTGTAAATACGCATATTAAGTTATCAAAGAGTTCAAGGGTTTCATATTTCACCCTTGTTTTAATAATTTGAACTTGAAATTTTAATTACACTGGTCTGGTATGGAGGAGGAGGGGGTATTATGAAATATGTCATTGTCAAGACACATACATGGTTGTCAAAAGAAACATTTGGAAAGAACAACAATATAAAGGAGGAAGAAGGAAATACTTTTAAAAACGTATTTTATGTATGTATACAAGGTTAAAAGTTAAAGGAAATGAAACGTTTAGAAATATGGTAAAAAATAAAGCAAGTAAACAGAAAGGAAGGGAAAAGTAAGTGTATGGAAATTAGTAATAAAGTCAAGAAAAAGTAAGAATGAAAAATGTTCAGAGTCAGGAGGAAAATGGGGAATGTGGGAAGGAATGCAAAGGAAGGTAAAGCAAATGGGAAATTGGAAATGGAATACAAAGGAGGGTAAGAAAATTGGGAATGTGAGAAGGAATGCAAAAGAAGGTTAAGAAATTGGGAAATGGGAAAAGGAATGCAAATGAAGGTAAAGAAATGGGGAATTTGAGAAGGAATTCAAAGGAAGGTAAAGAAAATGTGATATGGGAGAATGAATGTTGGAAGGTAAACAAAATGGGAAATAAGAAATGGAATTCAAAGGAAGATAAAGAAAAGAGAATGAAAGAATGAATGCAAAGGAAGGTAAAGAAAAGAGAATGAAAGAATGAATGCAAAGGGAGGTAAAGAAAAGGGAATAAAAGAATGAATGCAAAGGTAGGTAAAGAAAAGAGAATGAAAGAATGAATGCAAAGGAAGGTAAAGAAAAGAGAATGAAAGAAGGAATCCAAAGGTAGGGAAAGAAAAGAGAATGAAAGAATAAATGCAAAGGAAGGTAAAGAAAAAGAGAATGAAAGAAGGAATCCAAATGTAGGTAAAGAAAAGAGAATGAAAGAAAGAATCCAAAGGTAGGTAAAGAAAAGAGAATGAAAGAAGGATTGCAAAGGAAGGTAAAGAAAAGAGAATGAAAGAAGGATTGCAAATGTAGGTAAAGAAAAGAGAATGAAAGAAATGCAAAGGAAGGTAAAGAAAATTGGGGAATTGGAGAAAAAAGTGAATGAAAGAATGAATGCAAAGGAAGGTAAAGAAAAGGGAATGAAAGAATGAATACAAGGAAGGTAAAGAAAAGGGAATGAAAGAATGAATGCAAAGGGAGGTAAAGAAAAGGGAATGAAAGAATGAATGCAAAGGAAGGTAAAGAAAAAGGAATGAAAGAATGAATGCAAAGGAAGGTAAAGAAAAGAGAATGAAAGAATGAATGCAAAGGAAGGTAAAGAAAAGGGAATGAAAGAATGAATGCAAAGGTTAATTGAGAAATGATAAGGAAGGAAGGAAAGTTGGAAAGATGAGTGAGTAGGTTAGGGATGTGAGTACAATAAAAAAGGTCAGAGTCATCAGAAGCCTCACATCTTTTTATATATAGATCGTATAGAGCGTATAGATAATATAGAGATTATGGAAAGGGTTGGGGGGTGGATGGGGGTTCACGCAAAAACACGGTGGAGGGTAATAATTTAAAGGTCAAGGAACAGGAGAGGGGGGCGGGGAGTTAAACTGAAAATCAATTATAACTGAAGAGAATAAACTCGATGCAAAAAATTGCTGGAAAAGGAGGAAGCAGGATGGGTTAAGTAAGGTATCATCACCATCATTGACATATACCCGGAAATATAAACCCCGTGACACCTGATCTATACCTATATATATATACAAGATTTATCTGAGTATAATCTGACAAATATTAACCCAAGATAATGACAAGAGGAGCAAGAGGAGTTGAACCTGAACCCTTGATCTCAGGGTAAACAGGGACACAGGGAAACAGGGATAGAGAGATACAGGGATACAGAGATACCAGGATACAGAAATACAGAGATGCAGGGATACATAGATACAAGGATACAAGGATACAGATATGCAGGAGTACAGGGATACAGAGATACAGAAATACAGAGACACAGAGATAAAGAAATACAGAGATACAGCGATACAGCGAAACAGCGATACAGAGAAACCGAAATACAGAGAGATTCAGGGATACATAGATGCATGGATACAGAAATACAGGATACAGTTATACAGAGATAAAGGATACAGGGAAACAGATATACAGGGATACAGAGATATAGGGATACAGTGATACAGAGATACAGGGATACAGAGATACAGAGATTCAGGGATACAGGGATACAGAGAATCAGGGATACAGAAATTTAAAGATAC